ATTACTAAAATACAAAATATTATAATAGTTGGTAATATCTATAATAATTTATTCAATGTAACACAAGATCAATGCATATGTGAAATGATAAAAGTAAATGATGGAATATCTGCTTTGAATTATTTTTCAACAAATCAAACTTGTCAATTATTTCGGTCAAATAGTAGTACAATTTATGTTGAATTTTATTTAAATTGTACTATTATATTTCTTAATCAATCATCAATAACAATATTAAATATTCTAGAATATCGTAAGTTTATGTCAGATATGACTTGTAGGTTTTCATCTCGGAATACTACAAAAATATCGTAGCCACTTAGAGACTGAAATTTCAATAATTTGAATGAATTTGATGCTTATACTTTTTAAATCATAAAATGTTTACCCCTGGCGAAGATTTTTTCCACTGACTGTAATTTGTCGTGTTCGATAATCACTATTATCTGTCCTCAGAATGAGCTCATTCATAAAAAATGAACTAAATTAATGCATCAAGAAGTGCTAGATTCTTAGCAAAGCCTTACCCAACTTTCTTGTCTCATATTAATTCCATTTTTTGAAATAGAACCGAGTACATCATCATCAATACCAACAGGAATATCATCAATCTCACCATCATCAACATCAACAACGTCATCTTCATCAACATCAAAATCAACAACATCATCGTCAACAACCTCATCATCATCAACAACATCAAAAACGACTTCCACATCAACTTCAACAACAACATCATCGTCATCATCATCAGCAACATCGTCATCATCATCATCATCATCATCATCAACATCAACAACAACAACAACAACAACAACGTCAACAACAACAACTGGTGAGTGTTGGATTAAATACCTAGTGCTTACGTCGGTTGTTAAAAAGAGAAATAGTTTCACGAGCTTTAAAAATTCCGTGCTTGATGCTTCGAATCATCGCAAATCCGAATAAATAAGACGGGTTTATTGGATAAAAAACTTCTAAAGATGAAAAAATGATCTTTTTATACAGGCAAGCTAGTATCTATATATGAAGCTGAAGACAATATGAATTAATATTTGCTCAATCGAATTTTTTTTAAATATCTGACATTTTATTATGTTATCGCCTTTTTTCAATGCATAAGAATGTTTATCTTAACGTGCGAAGTATGTTTTGAGAATGATTATTATTGTATATAGAGCAACTGAAGGTACTAGTTGACGTTTTATAGCTTCTGGTGATTTTCTAGACTTGACTGTTTTATCCTTCTCTATACATCGACTAAACTAAGAAGTAGGCCTGTAAACTGATAAGTAAAATTTTATCGAACTATCAAAGACTATTATATTTTTATCAATGTTATGTAGTAGTTGTGGGTATGGGTGTCAGAGTAAGGTTAATGTAATACCCACGCCCACATCCAAGAGAGCCATAGAATGGAACAAAAGATTATTTCAGTTAGACTTGAGAGTATGAAAAATTATTCAAAAAAGGCTACACGATTCTGTTTATCATCTTAGTGCTAATTGAGACAATTTTATGCAAATTATATACAATTCAACGATGACTTTTTGTTTTTAATAGCCTGCAACTTTTTTCATAATCAAGTTACTTATCCAGTTGGTATTAACCCACGCTCAGTAGCAGTCGTCGATGTGAATAGTGATAATAAACCTGATATGATTGTTGCTAACTCTGGTTCGAATACCGTTGGCATTCTTCTTAACGCAGGCAACGGCACTTTTAGTGCTCAAACTAATTATACAGTTGGCTCTAGTCCACGCGCACTAGCAATCGTCGATGTGAATGGCGATAGTAAACCTGATATTATTGTTGCAAACTATGGATCGAACAACATCGACGTTCTTTTCAACACGGGGAGTGGCACCTTTAATACTCAAACTGCTTACTCACTTGGCGCAGATCCATCCTCAGTATCATTTGTCGATGTGAATAGCGATAACCAACCTGATGTTATTCTTGCATACTATGGTTCGAACACTGTCGGTGTTTTTCTCAACGCAGGCAATGGTAACTTTAATAATCCAACTACATACTCAGTTGGCGCAAATCCATCGTCAGTATTAGTTGTCGATGTGAATAGCGATAACAAACTCGATATTGTTGTTGCGAACAATGGTTCGAGCACCGTCGATGTTCTTCTCAACACGGGGAGTGGTACTTTTAATGCTCAAACTAATTACTCAGTTGGCATTAACCCAGTATCAGTAGCAGTCGTCGATGTGAACAGCGATAATAAACCCGATATTGTTGTTGCAAACTCTGGTTCGGACACCGTCGGTGTTCTTCGCAACACAGGCAATGGCACTTTTAATGTCCAAACTACTTACGCAGTTGGTACTACTCCATACTCAGTAGCAGTCGTCGATGTGAATAGCGATAATAAGCCCGATATTGTTGTTGCAAACAGAGATTCGAACAACGTCGGTGTACTTCTCAATTTAGGCAACGGCACCTTTAGTGGTGAAACCACTTTTCCAGTTGGTTCTGTTCCATACTCAGTAGCAGTCGTCGATGTCAATAGTGATAACAAATCTGATGTTATTGTTGCAAACCGTAATTCGAACACTGTCAGTGTTCTCTTGCATTGTTAAGACTTATCGATGACTAACCTTTATCTATTCATTAATATTTTACTATTCTGCTAAAGACATTACGCTTATAAAACATTATACGATGTGAACTGCTATTTACGCTCGCTCGATATTATGAATGTCAACAAAACATTGCGATTATAGATAATATTGGCGAATACACCAGTATATCCATATATCGGACAGTAATTCATTATTTTATAAATAACATTCCTAGTTATGGAACTTTTCCGAATGCATAGAACTATATGTATTGCAATTGCTCGAAGTTCAAAACATTAGTTTTGGACGTGTAAAACAATATAGAAAAGTTTATTATTTAAAAACTAATATAATATCTCTTCCCATAAACTATATGACTTACAATAGTAAGTCTTTTTGTTTGTTGTCCTCAATAATATTGAATTAATGTGATTATATAAATTTAATCGCATGTTTAGATCAAATCTTATCATAAAAATTGGCAATATATCTTATTAAATATTTCGAGGATAAATTAGACTACTGATTTTTATTTCTTCTCATATGAGAAACAAAACAACCCAACTTAATAATCGTTTGTATGTCTTTTTTGATAAGAAACACATGATTGTATTGTTAATAGTCCCAATAACAATAGAAATCAAAACAAGCTTATTTTTCTCATATGACACTGAATGACAAGTTAACATAAAACATCGTTCTTCATATCACGTGTAATTTTGTTATAAAGATACTTATCTCACAAACGATATGCTAATCAGTTGTTTCATTTAATATTTGTAATACTGAATAACGTTCGCTTTCATTAAATCTTTCCATATATTTAATTAAATTATAATTGTCGATCTCAGTCACATAAATATGTTTAACAAGACGAATATTCATATTCACTTCAAGAGAATAAATAATATCATGTAAAACAAAAATCACAAATTCCAAATATATTATACAAGTGCTTTTTTGTTCATTATATATTATTTTATTCTTGGTGCCTCGTGTGAGAGCGTTTACAAACATCAATATGAAAGATGAAATAATTAAGCACAGAGTAATGTATTATCAAATGTAAATTTTGCTTCGTTGAAATACTAGTGAAAACAGATAAAGAGAGAGTAAAAAGAGATAAAAATAAAAACATAGATAGAAAAAAACGATTACAGTAAAGCTTGAGATATGTACTTCGCTAGCTACCGTTTAATTCATGTGATGTTAATAAAGAGAAAATAATCAAGTCTATAGCCAGAAACATAAAACTTCGGAGCAGTATATACAACATGCATTATTTATATGATGAGTAACTAGTTGTATACCATTTAAAAAACAAGGTAATCATTGATCATATAATATTCCATCAAATATGAGTTTGTGTGGCAAGAACTTCAGCTTATTTTATTATTTATTACAATGCATGTTAGAGAATTGTCAATAACACAATCTAACTTTATTATAAATATGTATGAGACACAAATGTCGAGATATTATTAATATTCGTAAGAAAAAGAAGTCATAAGCTGTTGTAAATAAAAAAAAATGCCTCTCCTATTAGTTTAAGAATTAAATAAAGGCTAGAAGTATATTTATTTAGTTTCATATATATGTGTAACTATACTTTTTTTCTTCATCAAAAGAGTGTCTGATGATATGTTTATTAGCATGTCTATCAGTTAAGATTGACAGCGACAACTGATGGCGTTTCTTTTCGTTTTTATTGATGTCAAATTAATCGTAGGAGGAAAAGAAAAACTCGAGAGAATTATTTCTTATCTTATAGATATGTCAAAAAAAAGAATATATTGTTAAATTTGACATTTGACAAGATCAAAATAAAAAGTTTCAGATATCGAGTAGTTTCGTTAAAAATGAAATATGATCAAGTTTTTTTACTTCTTCTTCTTCTTCTTTTAACTTCAAATTGTTTATCAATTACTGATAAAGATAAGCAATGTTCAATTCGAGATACTTGTTCAAATTCATCATTAATATCTCCATTAATATATGGCAATGAATCTTTTATTCAATCTCGAAATTGTTTTTGTGATCCGATTTGTCAAGAATATGGTGATTGTTGTAATCAATCAAAATTAATGAATTCAAATAAATATCAATGTATTGATTTTCTTTCACCAGCATCACCTGACCGACCACTAAGATTTCCACCATTATCTGTATGGATGCGTACTAAATGTTTACGAGTTTATCTTGGATCGCGTTCTGATATATATTGTCGAAATTTAAATAATCAAACTTTCAAAGATAATCCAATATTATTTATTCCAGTTACAAGTATACGAACAAATATAACTTATCGAAATTATTTCTGTGCATATTGTAATAATGCTACAAATTCTAATATACAAATTTGGGAATATAGAGCAAACTGTCCTAAAAATCAAACTAATTTTGATAATATAATTTTAAATAAGGAAGAACAAATGAATAATATTTATAATTTAACACAAAATTGTACAAGAACAATTATTTATCCACGTATTAAGAATGATTATGAACAACCATCCGTTTTTATTCGACCTTGTAAAAATTCATTTCCATCAATATGTCCTTTGGGAACTTCAACTGATTTAGCTCGAAATTGTTCTTTGTCTTCGACTACTTATCGTTATGATGTCATTTCCAAAATTATCTATTCAAATCCATATTGTGCACAATGTAATAAAAATAATAATAGTGAAATAACATGTTTAGATCCATATCCACGTTCTGGTATATCTAGTGCATCTCAGGGACTTCCTGATCCATTATCAATATTATTTGATCCAGATTTATTAAATTATTATCTTAATTCGGATTTTAATAATATTTCTACAACTCACATGATTTATTCATTAAGTTATAAATGTAAACAATCAAATGAACTTTACAATTTATTTCTAAACAAATGTTCTCCAATAACAGATTTAAATAAACAAATAATTCTTTCATTGAAATGTTCATATCCAGTTTTAACATTAGAAAAATCTAGAAGATTTAATAATGGAAGTTTATATCTAAGAAGTCAATCAATATTTTTAACTAAAGATCAATATGTATCTATTAATGATTATGGAATTATTTTTTGTTCTGATCAATGGAAAAATATTAAAACTACATTTCCATTTTATCGCCATATCTTATCTATGATATGTACAATAATATCTCTAGCATGTCTTTTAATATTCATGATAACATTTTGTTTAATTCCATCCTTACATAATCTTCCGGGTAAATGTCTTTTACTTCTTTCAATTTCGATATTTCTTGGTCAATTAATATTTCTTTTAACATCTGATCTTATACAATATTCATTACTTTGTTTTATATCAGCTATTCTAATACATTACTTTTATTTATCATCATTTTTTTGGTTATTAATTATAGCAATTCATATACATTCAACATTTAATCGTGAAACTGTTCGACGAACAACTGTTAAAAAAGATAATTTTCATTTATTAAATTCGAATATATTTGTTTGGTGTTCAACAGGAATTATTATCTTCATTGCATGTCTTATACAATTTACAAATATTCAATCAAGTTTTTCACCAAATTATGGAGATTTATTTTGTTCAATATCAAAATCAAATGCAATGATTGTATTTTTTCTTTTACCAATTGGTTGTTTACTTTTAATTATAACAATTTTATTTTTGAAAACAATTTTAGCAATTCATCGTTCACATACAGTAGCTAGATTGGCAAATTCATCAACATTATCAAATAATCATTTTGTATTTATTTATGCACGTTTAGCATCATTAATGGGTTTACAATGGATTTTATTAATTTTTGCGCTTATTTTTCGTCAAAATTGGTTATGGATTATTTTTGAAATAATAAATTCTATTCCAGGTGTATTTATTTGTTTGGGATTTTTATGTTCACAAAGACTTTGGAGTCCAATTAAACAGCGAATAACAACAAAATTAACGACGAAACAAGAAGCATCTAACAGTAACACAGCAACGAGTAGTTTAATATCACGACAGCCACTTCGATAAAAACTAATACCATTCTTGTTTTTTTTTGACAACTATTTTGTCTAAATTAATAAAGAATCTCAATATTAATATCTATTTAGGCTTTTTTTTTAATGCATTATCTTTATCGCGTCCTTTTTCTTCGTCCTTCACCTCAAATATTATCTTTATTAGATATCGTATAGTACCTTTTATTCAACAGATAATCAATGAATAGTATTTTCACAGCGCATTTTCTTAGAAAGTTCAATATGTCGAAAGAATTTAAAATCGAAACTTTCGAATAGATTAACTGTAAATTTCGATTTATTATCTTTGCAAACCTTGTTTTAGAATTTTACAAATAATATAATCTAATCAAAATTTTCAATTCTATTTTTTTCGACGCACGACTGGCTTTATTTTCTGATGAATCTATACGAATTCTTTTAAGATTAATAAAATAAAAAGAAACCCATACTGTTGAAACTCGATTGGAAGTTACCGTTAGTATTTAATTATTATGTAGACGTAGGCAAAGAATAAATTTGTCAAATAAAAAAAGAAAATTTTTCGTTGACAAATGATAACATATATTTTCTTTCGTTCTTTTCAATGACAACAATGGTGGTTTTTTCCTTCAAGTAAATAAGTCACATACACATGCAATTAACATAAATAGAAATAAAAAAGTCTTTTTTTTCTTGACTTATTTGTCATAAAGTTTGAAAAAGCCGGATTTTTTCCCCATCTGAGTCATTTCATGAAGTTACGATTTAAATGAAAATTATAATGAGTCATACTTTTTTTTTTGATTTTTCAAAAAGTCTATATTTTTCATTATTTATTATAGTTATGTCCAGTATAACAATTTCATCAACATCTCTTAATGAAGAAATGAATCATCTAATAAAATTATGTTCATATATTTCACAAACAGCTTCTCGTATACGATCTGAACATCTTTCAAATGTTTCTTTTTCACCTGATTATATAAAATACTATCATCATCAATTATTATCAATAGCTGAAAATATTGAAGGTTCTGCTGTTTTACTTGAATCATTATTAGCAATTGAAAAACGTCGATGTATTTCTATTGAAACAAAGAAAACAAGATATTATTATACACGTGAAGATTTATTAAAATTACGACAACATGTTTCATCAAGTTTATCCATACAAATAAAACACTCATTAGATTTAGTTATTGAACGTGAAAGTAATTGTATAGATAAACAAAGTAAAACATTCGGAAGAGATATTCGAACAATTTTAATTTAGAATTTATTTATATTTTTTGTATATTGAATAAAATTCTATCTATTGTTTATAGAAATCTAGAATTTAATATTTATCTATTTGATTTTCTGATATCATTCGTTTAGAGAAAGTGTCGCAAAAACACAATTTTAATTATGGATTTTGTTTTTCCACATTTCGAGATAAATGAAACGAAAGAAGAGCATCATTCTATAGAATTATCCACGGTTGATACTGATCATTATGAATGAAAATAAAACTCGATCGTATAATTCGTCGTTTTTATCTATTTTCGTTCGACCTCACGAACCTTCATCGTTTCAGTTTTCTTATTTAAAATTATAGCCGTTCAATTAATAAATGTTAAAATCTTTTTAAATAAACAGAACTGCATTTATCAGTTTAGTTCGTATTGAATAATTATTTTATTACAAATATTGCTGTCTGCCATAAACAGTGAGAAGATTATAGTTTTTGTCCTTATTAAACAATAAATACCTATACTTTGTAGTTGTATGTTCTACATATTCGATGTAACTATATTCGAGAAAAATGAATTATAAATGCCTTTGCCTGAGTAATAGTTATTATTGTTTTAGGTCATTTTACTCAATGTGTTGAAACTACATTCATTTTCTATGAAATACAATTGTTTTTTAAACATCATTAAAAAAATGCTACTAATTTATCAATAATTCCTAAGTAATTTTTAATGAAAATTGAATTAAAACACTTTTATAAACATTCAAATACTTTCTGCACATTATCCAACAATGAATGACAATAATTTATAAACATTTGAGATTTTCTTTTAGCGTAAAGTTTATCTACAATTCATATTATACTCTCTTTAAGGATATATTGTAATAAACAGGAGTACACCATAACATTTACTCTTCAATGGTTTAGTTTTATTTACTATTTCCGTCAAAATTATCACAGAAAACAAATGCTCTGATGATCATTCCCAGTGATACATTCTTCATCTGAATACACTTAATATTCCCGTGCAAGATTTTCTTCCTCTTACATTCCGTCTAACTAATTCTTCGATCGCATTTATTGCATGAGATCCGATCCAATTATTCGAGACGACTAGTTCGGTGAGTGTCTAGATAAACAATGGGAGGTAAAGACGTGACACAAATATGAAGACAATCCAACTTACTGTGTTGTTTTGTAATGTATCACAAAGAGACCGTACTCCAACATCTCTGATTTGATTATGTCCAAGATTCAGTGTGGTGAGTGACTAGATGAAAAAGTACAGATAAAGACATGATATAGATAAAAAGAGAATATAAGATTTACCGTGTTGTGCTGTAATCCCCTCCCTAAACAATCTCCTCCAACATCTCCGATTCGATTATCTGAGAGATTTAATGAGGTGAGTATCTAGATGAAGTAGTAGAGATTAAGACATGGTACAGATAGAGAGAGAATGAAAATTACTGTGTTGTATTGTAATGCATCACCTAAAGACTGTGCGCCAACATCTCCAAATCCATTGTCGCGAATATTGAGTGTGATGAGTGTCTGGATGAAGTAGTAGAGGTAAAGACATCGTATAGATAGAGAGAGAAAGAGACTTACCGTGTTGTGTTGTAATGCAACACCCAGACATTGTGCTCCAACATCTCCGATTTTATTGACCGAGAGCTCTAGTATGGTGAGTGTCTAGACGATGTAGTAGAGGTTAAGACATAATATAGATAGAGAGAGAAAGAGATTTACCGTGTTGTGTTGTAATGCAACACCCAAACATTGTGCTCCAACATCTTCGATTTTATTGGCCGAGAGCCCTAGTATGGTGAGTGTCTAGATGATGTAGTAAAGGTAAAGACACTGTATAGTTAAAGAGACAATGGGAATTACTGCGTTGTGTTTTAATGCAACGCCCGAAGAGCATGCGCCAACATCTCCGATCTTATTGCCCTCGATATTCAGTGTGGTGAGTGTCTAGATGAAGTAGTAGAGGTTAAGACATTATAGAGATAAAAGGAGAATGAGAGTTACTGTGTTATGTAGTAGTCCATCGCTCAAAGATTGAGCTCCAACTTCTCCGATTTCATTCTTCTTGATATTCAATGTAATCAGTGTCTAGATGAAGAAGTAAAAGCTAAGGCAGGGTATAGATAGAGAATAATAATCACTGTGTTGTGTTGTAATGCATCACCTAACGATTGTGCTCCAACATCTCCAATTTGATTCCATCCGATATTCAGTGTGGTGAATGTCTAGGTGAAGTAGTAGAGAATAAGACATGGTATAGATAGAGAGAGAATAACAATCACTGTGTTGTATTGTAATGCATCACCTAACGATTGTGCTCCAACATCTCCAATTTGATTCAAGCCGATATTCAGTGTGATGAGTGTCTAGATAAAGTAGTAGAGGTTAAGACATAATATAGATAGAGGGATAAGGAGAGTTACCGTGTTGTGTTGTAATGCAACACCAAAAGATTTTGCTCCAACATCTCCGATTTTATTGTTCCAGAGATTTAATGTGGTGAGTGTCTAGATGAAGTAGTAGAGGATAACACACGGCATAAATAAAGAGACAATGAAAGTTACTGTGTTCTGTTGTAATGCATGACCTAACGATTGTGCTCCAGCATCTCTAATTTCATTGCCCTCCATATTTAGTGTAGCGAGTGTCTAAATGAAGTAGTAGAGGTTAAGACATAATATAGATACAGAGAGAGAAGGAGAGTTACTGTGTTGTGTTGTAATGCAGCACCCAAATATTGTGCTCCAACATCTCCGATCTTATTGCCCTCGATATTCAGTGTGGTGAGTGTCTGGATAGAGTAGTAGTGGTAAAAACATGGTAGAGATAAGAAAACAATGAGAATTACTGTGTTGTGTTTTAACGCAACACCCAAAGATTTTGCTCCAACATTTTCGATTTGATTACTCGAGAGATCTAGTCTGGTTAGTGCCTAGATAAAAATGTGGAGGTAAAGAAATTGTATAGAGAAAGAGAGAATGAGAATTACTGTGTTGTGTTTTAATGCATCAGCCAAATAGCATGCTCCATTAGCTCCGATTTGATTATAATCGAGGTTTAGTGTCGTGAGGGTCTATATGGAAAAGTGGAAGTGAGGACTAGTATAAGAAAAGACAGAATAAGAGTTACTGTATTGTATTGTAATGCACGACCGAAATATTGTGCTCCAACATACCCGATTTGGTTCTCTCTAAGCTTTAGTGTGGTGAGTGTCTAGATGAAGTAGTAGAGGTAAAGACATGGTATAGATAAAGAGAGAATGAGAGTAACTGTATCGTGTTGTAGTACATGGGCCAAATGTTGTGCACCAAGATGCCCGATTTTATTGTCCGAGAGATCCAGCATGGTGAAAGTCTAGATAGAAAAGTGGAGAGAAAAAAACGGTACTGATGGAGAGAGAGAGAGAATAGTAGGACGATGTTTTATAATGTTAGAGCAGTAAAACAAGCATTGCTCTGGTTCCATTATAGACGCTATAGATACCAAGATGAGTATTTATAGGATCTAAGACGCTGCACAATGCAAGATGATGGTTTGTGAACATCTCAACTAAAAATAAGGTACTAAGAGGAAAGTACGGATAGAAGATTTTTATGTATGAGTTAGTGCAATATCTAAATGTTTTTGAGAGTAAGAAAAAGTTTTGACTATTTGAAAATAGTTTATAAAGGACTTCGGCGCGAAACAATTGTGGAGCGTGCTATTATGTATTGAAATGGGAATGTGTTGTCGTGAACAATTTAGAGCATAGTAAAGTATGATGAAGCGTTTGTTAGTATTCTGTAGGTATGACAAAACATAGTTTCTTGTCAGTAGTTAGTGGATGGTTTTCGTCGATGTTTATTGTTCAGGCTCGTTATATGCTTTGCATCTGAACGCCGTGTGAGTATCAAACTGAGTCTTATTGATCCGTATCTTTCATTTAAACGAGAATGTATATCGATTTCAATAGTTTTTTTCGATACTAGGATACGGTTGTGTTCACGAAGCAACATTGATTTATAAGAAATGAAAAATTACACAATTTATTTCGTCATATTAGATTCATTATGAGTAGAAGGCGAATACAGGCTAAAGCATCATATAAAAATATTGCTGACAAATTATTTTCGAAATTTTGTTCTTAAGAAAGCGTCCCTCGAATGAAATCCGGTTCGCAGCAATTATTTTGGTAAAAAATTGTTTTAGACGTAGTATTCTTTTAAGCAATATTCCACTTTGATAAAGTGGGTACGAGTGATGTGATTGAACAAAAATGTGAATATTGTTGTGAATCAATCTTATCTTCATCCACGACCACTATCACCTGCATCGATAGTCATACATGTCCTTAGTAGAGTATTTCTTGAAGATATTTCTCAAGGAATTATCGAAATGGTATTTAAAAGAAAAGATGCTTTGATACACATAAAAAGCAAATAGTAATGTTTTGTTCCTTTTTTTCGTTCTTATGTAAACATCGTATATTTATGACATGTTACTTAGTTTGAAACGTGAAATATTTTGAGTGAGGAATAGTTTACTCACGTATATCTTATTACAGTCAATAGATAAAAATTAAACTATCGTGATAGACAAATGTTTACCTGGTATCGATCGTAGCTATCTAAGATCCTATTGAATCGTTCACATACGTTTCTCATTGAGAATATTATTGTCCAATTCGATTGATGATCCAGAATTCGGTATATTAGTTCTACGGGTAACGTAAGGATGTTGACGACAGTTTGATTTGCCATTCTAGGCTGTTTATGAAATGCGTGGTACGTAGATTTATATGCTGGTTATATGATGAGTCATTATTTTTTCTTCCGATTAAATGAGTAGATGTTTATTTTGTCATTGCTTTCACATGATGTTGCAATTACTTGTTGATAGAAAAGCAAAAAAAATGATGTCAACTACAGAATGGCAGAATTGCCATAACAACTGTAGACAAAGTTTTCATAATGAATTTATTTTTATTCAAACTATACTGTCATTTGATCGTAAAATCAAATATACATATTTTATAAGATGGTACAGAACTTGTTCTATTGAAATTGAGTCAGACGTGTGAATCAACGAAAAAATTAGATTATCACTTTCATAGTTGATGAATTTTACTATAATTTGATCTGTTATTGTATTAGAAATATCAAAATCTTCCATTATGGTCATAAATATAGATATGATTAATCAGAAAGAAATAAAAATAAGCAAACCATTCAGAAAAAATTCTTCAAGAAAAATTATTTTCTCAAGTAATTGCTTTCAGAGTATGTAGTCGTTTGTGTTAGTGTAGAACTGGAATGAGAGTAACCTAGTTGAACTGTTTCTAATTATCAGATTTATAGTATGAGTACTAATTATCTGTAATAGAACTCTATTCGACTTGTTGCTAGAACCAATTTTTGAAGGTATAGCGTAAAAAAGTATAAGAATTAATTATGTTTAAAATAGAATACTGTTACGATCGTTACAAGCTTGTTTTCAAAATTTGTAAACGTCATAACATACAAAAAGTTGTGATTTTTCCAAGCTTGATAAAAGCACAAGATATATTTTTGCATTCTTTATAAACTATTAAACAATGAATTATCAATGTTCTTTCAACATACATTAGTTTAGATTCTCAAATCAGATGAACCAGAAATGTCTAAAAACGTTGAAATTATCATTTCAATATCGAGCTTCGCATCGTATTTCCTAACTTGAGTACCATCTATTTAACGCCTTTCTCTTGTTTATTGAAAAAGAAAATCATTTTACTTGTCTTCATATTTAATGCTATTTTTAGAATTATATAATTTGCTATTTTATTCATATTACACGAATTTGTAATCGAGACTCTTGTTTTTATTCTTAGAATCTTCTATTTTTCTATTCTAAAATCAAATATGTTTTTGACATGATATTAGCTTGCTGTTGTCGCCTACTCATCTGTGTATGAATAATTATATTAAAACATGACGAGAAAATAAAGTAGATTTCATTATATTTCTCAAAAAAATTATTATTATAATAAGAATGTCGTCTCCACTATTACCTATCGACGATATCAACGACTATCTTCTTTCTACAGTAGGTATCACGTTTATCATTTTAGGTACTATAGGCAATCTATCTAATATTATTCTATTTACTCAACGTTCTCTAAGAACACTTTCAACTTGTATTACTTATCTCTTAGCTGCTTCTATTGCTAATATAATCGATATTTATTCATATGTTTTACTACGTGCACTCTATGGTTTTAATATTACACCAGCCTATAGTTCATCAATCGTATGTAAATTACAACTATATTTATTTTATATATCATTTTGTACCTCGAGTTGGTTTATGGTTGGTTGTTGTGCTGATCGATATTTTTCATCATCACATAACGCAATCCTTCGACGTTACAGTTGTATGCGTACAACCTTTCGTATGATATTATTTATAATTATCTTTATTTCACTTGTATATGCGCACGTTTTCTATTGTTATGATGCTAATCAATTCAATAGACCATCATTATGTTTTATACGAAATAATGTCTGTCTTATACTTGATACTGCTTATTATTTTACTTTTCAATGTTTTGGACCACCTATATGCATGTTTATATTTGGTATTGGTACTTTCATTCATATTCGTCGAGGAGAACAAATTCGAATAGAAGCAAGAAATAGAGCAAATGTGAATATTATAGAAAGATTACCTATTCATATAGTAAAATTAAGAAAAAACAATCGAAAAATTTTACCTATGCTTATTGTACAAATTATTCTATATATTTTCTGTTCATTACCTCTAATGTTTTATAAAATCTATTCGACTTTACAAATATCAATTATCAGAAATAATATTCCACTTCCTGTTGAAAATCTTTATCTTAGTATTGCTATCTTATTCAGTTTTATTGATAAGATATTCTCATTTTATATTTATACATTAAGTAGTGCTTATTTTCGTACAGAACTAATTCGATTTCTTACTCAACGCTGTTTAAGACGACGTATTGTGCCAGAAAACTAATTGAACAATTGTACTGTTTACTTTCTATAGAAAACAGAATGCAATGTTGATTAACAGTTATTGGAGGACATATCTAAACAAATAAATTTTTTGTGTTCTTAATCCTATTCATATAATTTCTTATTCATCAATAAATCAGTAATTTTGATCATTTATTGTTCATTCTCTTTCTGAATAATTGTATCCCTAACTGTTATATATACTAACTTGTACGTGTTACCTACAACCTCAAAAATTTCTTAATTTTCATTAACATATACTTTTAACACAAATTTCATTAGTAGAGGATGAAAAATGACGTGAGTCCTTCATCTCATTCATGTCACTAACATACCTCATATGGCGAAGCAGTTTGATGTAAATTTAAATCAACTTCAACTAACGAAGATCATGGTAACATATGCGTTTCTACATGACCTTGAAAATCATAATAAAATCTTATTTTCTCACAGTTCTATTTATACCAAACAACTGCATAGAAAAAAATAGTGATCAAATTTTTTACGAATAATATTCATTCTTGATTCTTTGAATAGTTGATGTGGTAAATAACTTTCTGACACTTTAAAAATATCATTAATGTAACGAAGTTTTCTTATATCAACCAATAGAAATTAAGCAATCATTTTGTTTTTAATTTCATCTTCTTCGTATATGCCCACTCTTCATATTATCTTTATTGAATTAAAACTTAAATTTATGTATACATGCACACTAAATATTTCTTGTGTTCATTATATTAACAGTATTTTAAATAAAATCGAATTAATTAAAATGATATACCGAACAGATGGAAAGTGAACTGTTGAAAGTTCTTTAATATTTAATTATGTATCGATTTTTTTAAATGATATTTGAAAAAAGTTCATTGGACAAATTTTTTAAGTTTTTTTTGTTTTGCTGAAAGAATACGATTGATGAGTGAGATAATATTTTGTCACGCGAGTTATTAAATATTTTCATAATATAGATGAGTGTCAATAAACGATAGACTCTTCATTCAATTTTATAGTATTATGTGTGAAAAGAAAAAATACATATGAGAGTGTCACAAGCTCAACACACGATTGAATCATGTGTGAAGATCGTTGACAAAGTCTATAAAATCTATGAATAATATTATAATTTTCACCATCTTATCACTTATAACCGTTATAGTTTTGTTTTAATAGTCGACAAATATTTTTAGGAGAAGAAAAAAAAAAGAATCAAGATCATCAACAATTTATTGAGCACAGCATGACATATACATATATATGATTGGAAAACACCGCAAGGGGCTGTCCGTCATGGTTCGAGTCTAGACACTGACACATGCATCTTGTCCCATTTGAGAATAAAAGAAAACAACATTGTCCGGTATCATACATTCTTTAATTTGATTGAGATAAGAACTACATCTGTTTTTTTCATTGAAAATAAAAATAATATAATAGAATTTTTAGATCTTTGATCTATTTTTAAATTATTATTTTTTTTTAAAGTTGTTTTTGTCGAGTACTTCTTCTTCTTCTTCTAATTGAGTCATATCAGACTATATCAAATTATAATTTGTTTCAGTTTTTATATCAGTTTCACTCAATTGATATGAACCAATTGAGTTAACAATCAGATGAAGTATTTGTATATGAACGAATAAATCGAGCAAATTAATTTCACACCCTTTTCGTGTAGTTTTATTCTCTTTGATTGATAAAATAGAATGAAAATGATAGTCTAATGTTGATGAAGGTTAAAACAAAATATAGATATGAACAATCAGCAGGGTCCTTGAAATAATAATTCGAATACCAACAGCTTTTAATTGAGTCAAAAACAAATCTCTCGTGCACACCCATGATGCAATCATCATTTCTTATTCTCTTCATTATTTGTTGTTCATTCACCATCTGTTTTCAATTGCCTATTGGTCATTTCATCCATTTTCGCAAATGAGCGAGAAAAGAAAAAGAAAAAGAATAAGAGAAAAACATCCTTCTTCCTTCTTTTATAGACATATATTATACTAAACATACATCCGATAGTGATATTAATGATGATCATGAATACCAACATCAGTAAGGTATGTCAGTTCAATTCACCTTGTCTAAATAGAATCATAGTTAGAAAGACAAACTTTAACCGTTCAACTATTCGAAAAGAAGACTTATGTATATATACACATATGTATTTGTCTGCTAGTAGTTAATGAACAAAATGTCGATATATATGTATATCAACATATATTTTAAGAAATCAGTGATCGAAAATATTAAAAAAAATTGTCATTTGTTTTTTTTTCTCTTCTTCATGATAAATATATAGTCGAGATTAACATAAGTAGAATATTCAATTTGTAAGTTTTCATCACTATATTCTTATCATCTTTTGAACAGTCACGAAAGTGTTTATATGTCGGCTCAAATCGTTTTATTCACTTGAGTTTCCATGAGAGTGCACGAAACCTTCAATAGACACATCAAGATTAACATTTGATAGGCTTCTATTGGAAATATGTTCTGATCTTTATCTATCCATTTTCTTTTCTCGACAATCATTTAACTTTTATTGTTCTAACCGCTCCTCCCATGTTAGATCGTTTTTCACTAATTACACCCTTTAGGTTCATGTCATTACGATTCTTATGCCAATCATGATAAAATGAACAGACAGTTATTGTTCATTGACCGGATGTCCTTGAGAATGATTTCCTTCGGTCATTATCCTTGATAATCTGTATAAAGATGATAAGTTTTTGAATAGGCATCCGACTGTATAACGAGAGAATGAGGTGTAAATATTGTTTTAACACAGAACAGACGCATTCAATATACATCTTTATCATCAGAGAAAGAGAAAAGGGCAAATGCACCATCAAATTGTGTTTGTACAATAAACGAAAGAAACAAATGGGAGCGGCCAGTTTCGTTTTTCTTTCGTAAGAGAGAAAAAATAGCATCTGACCACTACACATCTTGTTTTTGTTATGATTTAAATATACGCGTGGAAATCAACAGGCCTCAAGCTATCTTTTTATATACACATACACATCTATATGTATATATATATATACGTGCAGAATGACCCATGGATCGAAAAGTCAGTTCATTTCGATCTAAAGGTGTTGTTATTATTAGAAAGCAAGAGCGAGAGAGAGAGAGTGAAAGATGAATTGAATGATCTTTCAATACTTAAGAAAAGTAAGCGAGAGTTAATGGTCAATATAAATGCTTCTATCTGATCCATCTGTAAACTTAAAAGACCATTATTTTTTTTTTATTTTCTTTTCAGATGTTTACATTATTTATTCTTCTTCTTCTTCCTTGTGTATCTACATTTGAATATTCACTAATTATTAAAGAAAAATCTCCAATAACTAAAAGTATTTATCAATTTCCACATTCATATGAATTATTAAATAATTTTCAATCAAATTTTAATTTAACGAATAATAATAAAGAATTAATATTAACTAAACCTATTGATCGTGATTATTGGTGTTTACAAAATATTTGTTCATGTGAACATTGTTCATTCATACTTGAATTATTTTCAAATGATAATAAAACTTCGCCAATATTTTCTACAATTAATATTACAATAATTGATATCAATGATCATTCTTGTCAATTTTTGGATATACAAACGAATATATCTTTATCTGAATCAATTCAAATTGGTCATCGATTTCCTATAGCACGTGCAATTGATTATGATTCAGGTATGAATGGTGAATTATCATTTAAATTACTTAATAATATCAATTATTTTGAATTAAATACAATAAAATTATCACTTAATGAATATGCTATTTATGGTATTATAAAACATTCATTTGATAGAGAATTAAATGAAAAATATGATTTAATTATTGAAGCATATGATCATGGAATATCTCAAGTACAAGTTAATCGAACAAATGTAACAGTTTGGATTTTAGATGAAAACGATAATGCACCGAAATTTAATCAAACAGAATATTCTATTCAAGTAATTATATTTTTTTTTCTTCATTCTTATAATTTTTCATATTTATAGTCTCTTCCGGAAGATACACCTATTGGTACGAAATTATTAACAATACAAGCTACTGATATTGATAAAGGTTTAAATAGTCTTATACATTATTCAATTATAACTCCACCAGATATTATATTATTTCCATTTGTAATAAATTCTACTAGTGGAGTTGTTAGTCTTCATTCACCATTAGATTATGAAAAAGTACGTTCATATCGTTTTTTAATTCGTGCATCCGATTCTGGTTTACCACAATCATTATATACGGATACTTGGTTATCAATTTCAATTGCAGATGTAAATGATTGTCCAGTTGAAATAGTCTTTGTACCAAATCGACGTTTTCAATATGATAATCAAACATTATTTATTTATGAAAATACTGAAATTAATAATTTAACATTAGGTTATATTCGTTTATTTGATCAAGATTCAATTCAAACGAAACTTTCAATAACATTAATGATATTAGATAAAAATCCGAAACAAAATTATGAACTTATTCTATCAAATCAAATAAATACATATGTATTAATTGTTAAACAAGGAATATTTGATAGAGAAATTCAACAAGATATTAATCTTCGTTTTATAGCTAGTGACAGTTTATTAACAACAATTAAAGATTTTAAAATTCATTTAATTGATTTAAATGATAATCCAAGTGAATTTCCATCGAATCCCATGAAATTTTTTGTTGAAGAGTTAGGAAATTATCATATGAAAAAAAATCCTATTGAAAATTTTCAATTCGGAGTTGGTTATTTAAATGCAACCGATCGAGATGAAGGTGAAAATACATTGAATAAATATGAATTAGAACCAAATTCATTTATTAAAATTAATTCAAATACAGGACAATTAAGTTTAATACAACCATTAGATCGAGAAGAAATATCAAAAATTATATTAAAAGCAAAAGCAATTAATATTGCCGAACCGAAATGGGAAACAGAAGTTCAAATTGAAATTGAAGTGTAAGTTTAGTTTTTTTCCTTTTATGCCCTCCTTTACGAATCGTATAACTCAAGAAATTAATCAGTAGGTCATCAATGACATTTATTCTTGTCCTATTAGAAGAAATATGTTATCGATCATAGTAGAATCATAGATGTACTTTTATTCAATGTAAATTATGTAAATAGCTAATTTCTTCCATACGATGACCTTACAGAAAAGAGCACCTACATGACATATACTTCATACTTATTCTCGTATTGTAGAAAACTTTATTTTTATTTCTATATTTTTAGTTTGGATGTCAATGATAATATTCCTCAATGTTTAACATCGTTTAATCAAATATCAGTACCAGAAAATTTTTCTACTGATCACTCATTAATTAAAATAAATGCAACTGATTTAGATTATAAAACAAATGGAACAATAAATTATTCTTTACGAGTAAATAATTCTTGGCCATTTGAAATAAATGCTCAAACAGGTGAAATTTATTCTCAACAAATTTTTGATTATGAATCAGAATTTCGAAATTATTTAATAATTATTGACCTTGAAGATGAAGGTTATCCAATAAGAAATCAAAATAAAAATGCATGTCAGTTAATAATCAATATTGAAGATATTAATGATAATTCACCGCAATTACTTGATGATAAACAAACAAGCATCTTTCTTGATTTACAAAAACCATTTATAAATGAAATTATTGTATTCAACGTTACAGATATTGATTCAGGTGATAATGGAAAAATAAAATATACTTTACAAACAAATGAATATAATTCATTATTTTATCTTTATCAAAATGGTAGTTTACATATGACACATGAAATAAATCAAGTATCTTTATTTCATTTAAAAATTTTACTCGAAGATTATGGTATACCATCACAACAAACAATAATTCATGTAACAATAGCAATTGGTGATACATCAATACCAGCATTTTCAACATTTGAAAAAATTCAAATGAAATATTTACAACCAAAATCTCTTGGTCTTATTTTGGGTTTAACAGTTTTGATAATAACATTTTTATTATTCTTATGTTTAATTATAACTTGGATATTACTTCATAAACATCGTCGACGTCATCAAGCAGCAATTGCAGCAAGAAGTAAACTTTTGTGTTCATCATCACAACAATTAACATCATCAGGTTCAACAAATACAACATCATCATCATCAATTGAAAATCAACAAATAGCAAACATTGTTCAAATTAAACCAATTTATTATGATCGACGTACATCAAATTCTTTTACAGGTAGGACACCATTTTATTCTTTTGAAAAATATTTCTTAACAATATACATATATATTTTAGTTAATACATCATCACCAGAATCTCAAACATATAAAATTCTTCATATACCTCATGATAATGAATATTATATGAATTATTATCAACATGAAAAAGTTGATAATCATAGTTCAGATCACGGTTACCATGGAAGTTATGAAACAAGTGCATCATCATCATCAACAGCATCTTCAGCACAAATATCAGTTCGTCATTCATATTTGGTTAATCAATTACCAGATTTTGTTACGAGGTGTAAAAGTGTGAATGGAGGATTTCTTGTCGAAATGAATGTTGATGGAAGTGATGAAGATCAAAGATAAAATTTCATATTTTCTTTTCTATTGTATAGATGTACTAACGATTTTTTATTTATTATTCCTGTGTTCTAATAAATCTATGAAAACAATATTTTGTCAAATTGAAATAGTTAATATATGATATGATTCCAAATCAACATAAAAGATACATATTAAAAAAAATATTACTTCAATGGTAGAATGATATGAGAGTCAGTATTCTTAAGAAGTTTTCTTTCTATTTGTTATAGTTGAATAATTATTAAGACAAATATTGATATTGGATGCGAATCAATATTGAATCCGAAATGATTTTATCAAAAATTTATAAATCAAATTAATTTACAAATCAGTTTCACATTTATAAATAGTACAATATGCATAAATTGCACATCAGTGATTCAGAATCTGACCTTAAAATTGTAAAGTCTATATGACAAAATTTTTCCGAGAGTTTCCGCTGTAAATTTAGTTAGAATATCAGTTTGGTTTTGATACTACCTGTGCGAGTATTGAAGTCAACTCACTTTATAAATTGATTTATATATAGGTCAGACTCATAAATAACTAAAATGTTTATAAGCCTTATAAATTTTCGATTCAGAAATTTTCAATTCATAAATCGATTTATTTATATCGATTTATAAATCAACCAATTTCGGACTCAACAGTGGTGTGGATTGGTATAGGAATCATATTTATATCGTATTCACACCCACACTCTTAAGGGTTTATCATGCAAAATTTAGTTGCAACAAAAATTCTATCTATGTGATAATTAAGTCTGTCAATTTTATATAACAAACCAGAAAACATTCAAACGAATTGAAATAGGTTATTGTATGAACAAGATATGTTTATTACAAACAAGAAAAAAGAACAAAAAAACAATATTAAGAAGATAAAGATTTAATAAACGCACGCGCTTTGGGACAGTGAAAGACAGCATGAATCTTACGGCATGTGAACTCGAGGGGATCACCATCGGAGCCACAACCTTCAATGCCGTGCCGACATGGTAGCATACCAGTGATGGTACCAATATCACCGTCAATGGTAAGACCCATGCCGGCATATCTTTGTCTGCTCACATTCTTCGTAAATGATTCGTCGATTATATGTTCAGGACGAAGGCATCCAGTTGTATCACACAAGTGACTAACTAAAACGAAATATGATTTTAGATTTAGTACCGAGCAATTTAAAAAACTCACCTGTCGTTTTTGCTCCCCATACGACTAAGACAGGCATACTTCCTTTCTTCCGACGTAATACAATATGATGTTTGCACAGATCTATTCGATTGATGCCTAATTTCTTCGTGGTATCCCTTTTTTCCATATGGGAGGAGAGTTGACGGTGTAGTTGGGGTCTATTTGGCAGGATAGCCGGTCGATGATGAAGTTATCCATAATGAAGAAAAGTTTAATATAATTTTCATATCATTGAGAGTATGTGCCATTTTTTCCATTACCATCTTTTAATGTCTTGATTTGATCTTCATCAATGTTGACTAAGTTTTTTCGCTTAATATGGGGTGCTAAGTTGTGAGATACCATTTTTTTGTCAAGGCCTTCGAGGAATTCGTCACTAACGCGGTTGAGAAACAGGTTGGACTTGGATGGTTCAGAAGGGACGATGGAGACAACAGGAGCAGGTTCTGGACTGGACGAAGCAGCGGCCGTAATTTTTCGTTGTTGTTTTTTCTCATCACTTCGTAAGCTGGCGAATTTCTTCTGCAAAAAAATGAAAAGAATAATTCTTTATGAGAAATCAATTCAATGTATGCTACATACTTGGCATTCTGATTGTTGAGCACCAGTTTCGTCAAATAATTGGTTGTTAACTTCATCAGAATCTAGAAGAGAGAAAGAGAAAAAGATATAAATCTTACTGATATGGGTATGTGTGCGATTTGAAGAGTTTTTACTGGCAAGAATCATAGAAAGGTACACGGTGGAAAGGCTTTATATAAGACAGCCAACGAAGGCAATACGTACCGATTGATATTTTATGCTGCAATTCACCATGTATTTATAGTATAGAGGGACGTCAACATATACCCTCGTTTGAAATAGTAATCACTCACATATCATGTATTATGTTGTGATGTATTTCTTTTTCATTCTTTTTCTTTGTTATCCTCGATGAATATTTTATCACATGGATACATGATACCTCTTTCTAATATATCTTGTGATATCTTCCAACTATATATCTCCTTTTATGTAACACGTTTTATGTGGATATCTTTACATTTTATTTTACTAAAACATCCTGACTGATACAACCTATTACTTATTTCTTTTACTTTTTTTATTTTTGCATCATGTCCACTTCCTAGCTACCATTAAATTGAAATTTTGCTAATTGCTTTACAATTCACCAAAAAAGTATAAGAAAAAGGTAATCCCTCCGTGGGACTCGAACCACACATCTCCTACTATCCTAGCAGTCGTCACAGTCCGTTAGACCAGAAGAGACATATAATATTTGCTTTTAACATCGTAATGTATCATCTGTGTCACTAATATCTCCACAAAACATTTTCTCAGCACTAACAAAGATTAAAAAAATAAAATTCATTAAAAAATGCAACATTATAACTAGCAGTGTTACTTTGTCTTTATTTTAAAAATTAAAATAAAGAAATTGTTTTTTCTTAAGAATCTAAAATTTTATCTTTTTCAAGTAGATCGTCAAATATGATAAGAGCACAAGGTAAAAATGATTCTGGAGAGAAGTTTTTTTTCATAAATCTTTTATGCCCCACATTTATTTGCTAGCACTATTTCATATTAGAATGTTACTGTTGATTTGAACAAATTTTCTTTATTCTTTATCTTAACTTTATTTTATCAACAGAAATTTTCGTTACTTGATTCTTTATTATAAACAAAAATAAAAATAAAGTGACACTTCTAATTGGAACTAGTTTCAAGTCACAAAATTCTATTAAAACAACAGCGATAAAATTAAATCAGCATAGCCAATAATTTTGATTCTTCGCTTAAAATTCTGTGAAAAAAATCTCTCATTTCACATCATCATGTTTCGATGCTAATAATATAATTAGAAAAAACATGAGAGAATTATCGTCTAATAAAGAATTAAAATCAGCCAGCGTTGTTTCACAACGAATACATGATCTATATTACTTAATTATATTAAAGAAGTAAAATATTATGTTATAAGATTATCTCTACAAGTCAAAGACTTTTTATGAAAGTAAGTAGAATATGAATAAATATAAATTAATATATATAGAAGACATCTCTTGATTCAAATTAGATTTAACAAGAAGATCAGAGTTCTTACTTCATTCTATTATTCGCCCATTCGGAAGATGAAATAATCCATGAAACACAAGGTGAAACTAATGTACAAAGAAAAAAACCCGCAATCAGAAGAAATTGAACCAATACACATATAGAAGTGTACAAGATAATAGTTTGTATATGTGACGCAATAAGATTTCATTCTAGTGATCTTACTTACAACTATTTATTTTTTTCTAAGTTTTTCTACTTTTAGATAAATGTACACCCTGGAAGCAGCAATCAATATTGACGAAATACAGTCAAAACATATAGATGAGCAAGTTATAATCTTATTTCACAATGTTTATGTTGAAAAAGACATACAAATAGCCAAATGACCGTGTAAGTACTAACCCTTTACTTCCTTCTTGCAAACCTGTAAAGTTCACCAGTCTATTCTATAAAAGTCGGAATAAGTTATAGGAAGATGTAGAGTTTGCTAGTATTTCCTATTGAAACATTTTCTCGTTTAAGAAGCTGTAGATCATGTGGCTGTATTTGATGAAATTTATTCCACTTTAGGAACCTACACTTTTTGTCTCGGCTAAAAAAAGGAAGGAAGAATTTTTCTAAGGTTGCGATTGTATTTATTCTAAAGCACATATTCATGGTTTCGATTCTTTTTGTTTCAATTTACGTCAGCATACTCTGTGGACTGCCTGAAAATTTAGTAAAGTGTCTATAACTCGAAGAAAAAAAAGACCTAATTGCACGAATCTTTTGGAAATTTTTCTCTAGATCATGAGCTCTCCCATTGAAGAAAATAGGAGCTTAAAGAGAGGGTATCAGTTGGTGAGGTTCTTTTGTAATATCGGTTGACTTCGACTTCGCACTTTTGTTCATGAATTATTGAGTTTTGTTTGAATAAAATTATGACACCAGGTGATTAAGATCTAGATAATTTTCAAATGAAAAACGAACTTTCCGCGGGTAGTATGACTGACTTTGTTTTTTAGGATAACTATTTATTTAATTACGATGAAGAAAAAACGACGATTTCGAAATCAAATACGAACTCCTGACAATGGTATTGACGATATGGGTGTGTGTTTAACTATATGCACTCTTTGATACGCACCCTTACACCCATCACACCCACATTCACCCTGAAAATGGTTTGAATTATTCAACTATATAATAGCATAAGAATTGAAAACAAATACAATCAATCTATAGAATAGATTTTGTTCCAAAAGCAGTATATACAATTAATTAACGGAATCTCCCAAGAACAAATTTTTTTATTTACACACGAAAATCGAATTCATTAACAAAGTCATCGAAATCTTAATGAATAAAATCATTCTTAAAGTATTTCTTGAAACAAATTAATAAAATTTTTGTCAAAATAAATATAAAATAGAATTTGGGTGTAAGTGTGTTACGGCTAATATACTCATACTCATACCCACACCCTTACTTAAAAATAGGTATTGCATAAAAAAGTTGTGGTATATATTGTGGTTTATTAAGAGAAATTTTTGTGTATTGGATCATAAACAGCCATAGTCGGTATATAGTATCAAGTGCAAATTATCGCATTAATAGCCTATTTATTAATGAAACTAATTATTCTTTTCACGGATAAAATAAGCACAGTTGTAAATAATTGCTTTCTAATCACATATAGCTATATATTTCGATATGGGTATACTGCAATATAATAATAGATAATTTAATACTATTATAGAAATATTTTTGCTCAACTGGTAAGAAAAAAAGATAAAAAAAATAATATTGATTAGAATCAAATTTATTAAATAATATAAATGTAAAATATTATGTAAATATTACTTTGTAAACTAAAAATCAACATGCATCATTATCCAACAAATTTTAGTAGTAAATGGAATATGCTCATTAAATCTTGTTTTGCAATATAAATTATAAAAGCCTATCTATTACCAACCTATAGTAGTCTATTCTTTTTTTTAATCGACCATCTGCTGAGCTGATGTATATAATGCACATGAGCAAATCATTACAAATGATCTCATAATAGAGCCAAAAAAAATAATACGAGAAGAGAAGAACTCAATGATATTCTTTTCTCGCATTTCTCGACTATATAAGCACTTACTAAATCATTAATATATTATCTTCGCAAGTCACTTTATCAGATTACAAGCGTATATTCTTCTTTTGAAAACTATGGCGCAAGAAGGGTATGTTATATAAATTCACATGGAAATATTTTTGAATAAAATTTTAAATAGAATGATTCATGATCCAAATGATCCAGAATTTCAAGAATCAATGAAATACTTAGCATTACCATCAGATGAAAAAATTAAACTACGATCACAACCATTTGATGCTAAAAAAGCATGTTGGGTACCCGATCCAAAAGAATCATTTATTGCTGCTGAAATTGAAAGTGTTAAAGATGATCAAGTCACAGTAAAAACTAGTAAAGGAGAAGTATGGATATATATTCTATTTACAAAATGTTGATCAATAAATTTAATCATTTATTTTACAGGTTAAAACACTTAAAAAAGATGATGTTCAACAAATGAATCCACCAAAATATAGTTGTTCAGATGATATGGCTGATTTAACCTATTTAAATGATGCTTCAGTTTTAGCAAATTTACGTGATCGCTATTCACGATGGTTGATTTATGTATATCATAGAATCTCTTTTAAAAAAATATTTGTTAAACTTTTCTTTTTTTTTTTATTTAGACTTATTCAGGTTTATTTTGTGTTGTAATTAATCCATATAAACGTTTACCAATTTATACAATGAAAGTTGTACTTGCTTATCGTGGTAGAAAACGTACAGAAGTTGCACCACATCTGTATGCTATATCCGATAATGCATATTCAAATATGCTTCGTGGTAAATATTATAAAAAAAATAATAAAAAAAAATAAATATTCATCATTTTAAAAAATGTCCAGTTATGATATAAACCATATGTTAAGAAAAGAGATATGATTTTTAGAAGAAAATTATTTACATATCTAGTAACAGCAATATTAAATATGTATATCTAAGCTAAATAATGGATAAAATTATGAGGAATATGAGAAAGTGTTAACACGATATTTAAGATATAATTAAATATACTGCTGTCTTTTATATGAATACGAGAAGTAGAAAATAGTGACACAGCAGGTTATAATGGCAATGAATATCAGTCGTTTTTTTTCTCTATAATGATCAGTAAATCGAGTCAATTGAAATAAAGAAAAAAAAACAAGTTTACTAATTTTTCCTACTTAATTACGAAAAAAATGAATTTTTACACAAATTTCTTACGAATTATTTACAGCTGTATATCGATGATTCTTAAAGAATACCATACAAATGAAACGAATTATAATCATTCAGTATTAAAATTTGATAAGAAAAGAAAAATGTTAGTTTTTTCAAAGAAAACCTCTTATCATAAAATCAGTCATGAATGTTCAGTAAAGTCTATTTTTAATTAAGATCGTGAAAATCAATCGATGTTGATTACAGGTGAATCAGGTGCTGGTAAAACAGAAAATACAAAAAAAGTTATCCAATACTTTGCACTAGTTGCTGCGGCGGGTGCAAAAAAAGAAGAAGGAAAAGTAACAATTAAATAAAAATAAAAATAAAATTTTTATCATTCTTTTCACTATAGAAAACTATGACATTAGAAGATCAAATTGTATCTGCTAGTAAGTATAAATCTTTCAATTAGTTGAATTTTCATTTATAACTATACTTATTTCTTTTCAAATAGATCCAGTTTTGGAAGCTTATGGTAATGCAAAAACTACTCGAAATAATAATTCTTCTCGATTTGTACGATAAAAATAAATATATATCTTTTTATTCATATGTATTTTTTTTCTTCAGGGTAAATTTATTCGAATACATTTTGGTAATACGGGAAAAATTGCTGGTGCTGATATTGAAGTTTATCTATTAGAAAAATCTCGAGTTATCTTTCAAGTAAGCTATATATTTAACTAATACGATAAATTTCTTATTCTCTTTTTTTTTAAATTTAGCAACGAGGTAAAAATATCTATTTTTCATCTGTAATTTTTCATTGATTCATCTTTTAGCTGAACGTAACTATCATATATTCTATCAACTTTGCTCAAATGCATTTCCTGATTATCACAGTTAGAATTAAATTTAAATAAAAAGTTCTGATTGAATTCATTTGTTTTCTTCTTCTTCAGAGGAATGTCTTATTGAAAATGATCCATCAAAATATTTTTATATTGCTCAAGGTATGCTTACAATTGATAATGTTGACGATGTCGAAGAAATGCGACTTACTAATGAAGCATTTGATATTCTGGGTTTTACTCAGGTTTATTTAATGGAATATAGAAATTTCATTTTCAAAGAACAAAGTTGTTTTTTTGTATAGGAGGAAAAAATCAATTTATTTAAATGTACTTCTGCTATTATGCATTTTGGTAATTCTCAATGGAAACAACGACCTCGAGAAGAACAAGCAGAAGCTGATGGTACACAAGAATGTGAAAAAGTCGCACATTTACTTGGTGTTGAAGCGGCTGATCTTATTAAAGGATTACTAAAACCTCGAATAAAAGTTTGAATAAATATATTTTCTTTAATATGATCTTAATTAGAATTAAATCTAGGTTGGTAATGATTATGTTAATAAAGGTCAGACTAAAGATCAAGTTGTTAATTCAATTGGTGCTTTATCAAAATCAGTATGTTTATTCAAACAAAAACCTTTAACAAAGAACTATAAAATGTTTTTTTTAAAATTAGATCTATTATCGTATATTTTCTTGGCTAGTTGAACGTGTCAATGTAACACTTGATATTAAAGCTAAACGACAGTATTTTATTGGTGTACTTGATATAGCTGGTTTTGAAATATTTGAATTTAATGGTTTTGAACAATTATGTATAAATTATACTAATGAACGTCTTCAACAATTCTTCAATCATCATATGTTCGTATTAGAACAAGAAGAATATAAAAAAGAAGGCATACAATGGGTATTTATTGATTTTGGAATGGATTTGCAAGCTTGTATTGATCTTATCGAAAAGGTTAGAATCATTTTTTTTAATATTTACAATAAAATCTTCTAACTAAAATATTATCTTTAGCCTATGGGAATTCTTTCAATTCTTGAAGAAGAATGTATTGTACCAAAAGCTACAGATAAGACATTTGTTGAAAAACTTTATAATAATCATTTGGGTAAACATCCACAATTTGGTAAACCTAAACCAGTTAAAGGTAAACCAGAAGCACATTTTGATGTTCATCATTATGCCGGTACTGTATCTTATACGGCAACATCATGGTTAGAAAAAAATAAAGATCCAATTAATACAACTGTGTATGATAAAAATATTGAATTTTTGTATTAAATACGGAAATAATTTGATTTTTAGTGCTGGACTTTTTGCTAAATCGAGAAATGTTCTTTTAAGTCATTTATTTGCTGATGCTGTTGAAGAAGAAGGTAATAGTGGAAAAGGAGGTGGTGGAAAAAAGAAAGGAGGTGGTAGCATGCAAACAATATCTGCTACACATCGTGTAAGTTTTGTTTTTCTCATAAAGAGAATAAATTGAACGATTTCTAGAGTCTATGAAATATAATATTCCCTTTGTATTATATTTAGGAACAATTACATAAATTAATGAATACTTTAAAACAAACTCATCCTCATTTTGTTCGTTGTATTATTCCGAATGAAATCAAGACTGGTGGTGTACTCGATTCACATTTAGTTATGCATCAATTAACATGTAATGGTGTACTTGAAGGTATTCGTATATGTCGTAAAGGTTTTCCAAATCGAATGATTTATTCGGAATTTAAACAACGTTATTCGATTTTATCACCAAGTGCTATTCCAAAAGGTTTTGTTGATGCGAACAAAGCAACAGAAGATATTCTTAAAAATATTGGTTTAAGCGAAGACCTATACCGTTGTGGTTCAACAAAAGTTTTTTTTAAAGCTGGAACATTAGGTCAATTAGAAGATATGCGTGATGAAGCTTTATCAAAAATTATTGCATATTTACAAGGACAAATACGTGGTTTTATTATGAGAAAAGAATATAAGAAAATGTTAGATCAACGTTTAGCTTTATCTGTTTTACAACGTAATTGTCGTAAATATTTATCATTACGTAATTGGCCATGGTGGAAATTATATACAAAAGTAAAACCACTTCTATCAGTTGCACGACAAGAAGAAGAAATGAAAAAACTTGAAGAAGAATTTAAAGGATTGAAAGTAGCTTTAGACAAAGAAGAAAAATTAAGAAAAGATATGGAAGATAATAATGCGAAATTAGTTCGAGGTAAAATAAGAAAAAAATTTTAGTTGTTTTTTTTGTATATATATTGTAGAAAAAAATGATTTATTTCAAAAATTGGAATCGGAACGTGCTGGAGCATCTGAAGCTGAAGAACGTTATACACGTTTAGTGACACAAAAGGCCGATCTTGAACAACAAGTCAAAGATTTGGAAGATCGTTGTAATTCAGAAGAAGAAACTAGTCAAGAATTAAATAATAAAAAGAAAAGATTAGAACATGATATTGATGGTTTAAAAAAAGATATTGATGATATACGTTTAAGTTTACAAAAATCTGAAAATGAATGTAAAACACGTGATAATCAAATACATACATTACAAGATGAAATTGCACATCAAGATGAAACAATAGCTAAATTAACACGTGATCGTAAACGTCTTGAAGAACAAAATTTCAAGACAACTGAACAGTTACAAAATGAAGAAGATAAAGTTAATCATTTAAATAAAATAAAAACTAAACTTGAACAAACTCTTGATGAATTAGAAGATAGTTTAGAACGTGAAAAGAAGAGTCGTGCTGATTTAGATAAAAATAAACGAAAATTAGAAAATGATTATAAATCTTTGCAAGGCAATTTTGAAGATGTTGAACGAATGAAACGTGAATTAGACGAGAATATAAAACGTAAAGATCAAGAAATTTTACAAATGAATGGACGTTTTGATATTGAACAAGGACAAGCATCAAGTCTTGGAAAAAAACTTAAAGATGTACAAAGTCGTATTGAAGAACTTGAAGAAGAACTTGAAAGTGAAAGACAATTAAGAGCTAAAACTGAAAAACAACGAACTGATTTAACAAGAGAACTTGATGAAATGAATGATCGATTAGAAGAAGCTGGTGGTGCAACATCATCACAAGTTGAAATGAATAAAAAACGAGAATCAGAATTACAAAAACTTCGTCGTGATTTAGAAGAAGCGAATCTTCAACATGAAGCTACAGCTGCACAACTTCGTAAAAAACATCAAGATGCTGTTCATGGTAATATTCATTTTTTTATTAAACTCATATATTAGATTCAAAGGAGAAAAATGAGATCGTATAAGAGTGTATAGCATAGATGAGTTTCACAGTTGAAGAAATTTGTTTTTTGTTGTTGTTATTTATTGATTTATTTTTAAGAAATGGGTGAACAAATCGATCAATTACAAAAAATCAAAAATAAATTAGAAAAAGAAAGGCAATCAGTTAGATCCGAATTAGATGATCTTCGATCACAAGTTGAACATGCACAAAAAGGTAAATTTGCTGCTGAAAAACTTTCCAAACAACTTGAACAACAATTAAATGAATTTCATATTAAACTTGATGAACATCAGCGACAAGTAACTGATTTAAATCAACAAAAATCAAGATTAACAAATGAAAATTCTGATTTACTTCGACAACTTGAAGAAGTTGAACATCAAGTTGCTATTATAACTAAAGGTAAAGCAACAGTACAACAACAACTTGAAGAAGCTAAACGAACAATTGAAGATACATTACGTGGTAAAGGTTCAGTTAGTAAGTGGAAAAATACTTTATTAAAAATTAAATATTTTAATCAAATATTTATTTCAGGTTCACAAATACGTAATTTAACTGCAGATCTTGAGCAAGCTCGTGAACAACTTGAAGAAGAACAAGAAGGTAGAAGTGAATTTCAGCGACAAGTAATAAAACTTAATGCTGAAGTACAACAATGGAAAGCTCGTTATGAATCAGAAGGTTAAAAATTTTTATTAATGAAATGTTTTTAAAAAAGACAAATTGTTTGTTCAATTAGGTATTTCACGTGGTGAAGAACTCGAAGAAGCTAAACGAAAATTAGCTACAAAATTAACTGAAGCTGAAGAACAAGTTGAAGCAGCATTGAATAAATGTAATGCTTTAGAAAAAGTTAAATCTCGTCTTCAAGGTGAAGTTGAAGATCTTATGGTAGATGTTGAACGTGCTAATGCAAGTAAGTGAATATCATATTTTATTATTTTAACTTTTTAAGAAAAAAGAAATTTATATATAATGCAGAAAAGATTACTCATATCAATATATCTGATTTTGATCAAGAATGTTGTAGGATATCAAATGATTCTAGGTGAATGACGGACCTCTTTATTTCTCATAAAATTAGAATTAGAACTGTAAGCAAAAATCTTATATTTAGCTTAACTTTATTGTGGTAACTGAATTTTGCTTATTGGCTAATTTTGACACAAAAGAAGACCAGCAAATCATTATATAGAGATTTGTTGGATAAAGTTTTTATAACGAGAATAAAGATGATGTATCGATAAATTTCAAGATAAGGAAATGGGAAAGCAGACTGGTTTTAGAATATATTTAACTTCTGTTTGGATACAATGTGATATGAATGTCTTCCACATTCTTTTATCCATTATCGAAATTATACTCAAACAATTAAGGTGAACAGTGCAATGCATATGTATGGTTAAATCAAGAACGATCTGCTTATATTCTCTCTCATTTAAGAATATCAATTTGGATCGCAAATGGTGCACTTGTTTAAGTTCATAACTAAGGTCATTTTTCTCTCTCTATTATATCACACAGAGCCAATGCTATTGTTAATAATACATAGGCTCTATTCATTTCAAAACCTACAGCTTAATAATTCTTACACTCCTCGAATTCTTTAACCTTTCAACATCTAACTTTTCCCTCTATCATTATTATTTTTTTATTCTTGCTTAATCTCACACATATACCATTCGTTGTTATTTCATAGCAATCTTATGTTAATATAAGTTTGCAAAAATCAAATTTTTTCACTGATATACCTGATACAAATTTTAGTAGAATAACTATGCTTGGAAATAATATTTTTTGTTTTATAGATGCTTCTTCTTTGGATAAGAAACAAAAACAATTTGATAAATTAATAAATGAATGGAAACAAAAATGTCAAGATGTTACTGTTGAACTTGAGGAATCACAAAAAGAAGCACGTCAATATTCAACTGAAGTATTTAAACTTAAAACTCAATATGAAGAATCTCATGAACAAATCGAAGCACTTAGAAAAGAAAATAAAAATTTAGCTGAGGAAATTAAAGTAAGAGAATATTCAAATTAAAACTTTATATGTAGTTTTGTTTTTGTAAAGGATCTTATGGAACAATTAAGTGATGGTGGAAAGAATATACATGAAATTGATAAAGCTCGTAAACGTGCTGAATTAGAAAAAGAAGAAATTCAAGCTGCTTTAGAAGAAGCTGAAGCTGCACTTGAACAAGAAGAAGCAAAAGTTGTTCGTACACAAATGGAATTAAGTACTGTTCGACAAGAAATCGATCGACGAATACATGAAAAAGAAGAAGAATTTGAAAATACAAGACGTAATCATGCACGAGCACTTGAATCTATGCAAGCTAGTCTTGAAGCTGAATCACGTGCAAAAACGGAAGCATTTAAACAAGTAAAAACAAAATATCAAAGTTTTATTTTTATTCATTTTATTTTTTAGAAAAAGAAACTTGAATCAGATATTAATGAACTTGAAGTTGCACTTGATCATGCTAATCGTACAAATGCTGATTCACAAAAAGCATTAAAAAGAATTCAACAAAATGTAACAGATTTACAAACACAACTTGAACTTGAACAACAACAACGTGATGAAGCTCGTGAAGCAGCTGTTTCTGCTGAACGTCGTGCTAATATGATTACTGGTGAAGTTGAAGAATTACATACAGCTTTAGAACAAGCAGAACGTGCTCGAAAAGCAGCTGAAATAGAATTACATGATATTGCTGATCGTATTAGTGATTTAAGTTCACAAAATGCAAATTTCTCATCACAAAAACGACAACTTGAATCAACAGTTGCTGCTATGCAAGCCGATTTAGACGAAGCAATTACTGAATTAAAGAATAGTGAAGAACGAATGAAGAAAGCTGGTAAGATTATAACTGATGAGATGCGCTATATTTGAGAACTAATTTCGCTATACTTTCATCGATCTTTGCAAACGCCAACTACAATCCAAAATGTTGTTACTATAGAAAATATACATCAGTTTTGATTTAATTTTAGGTGCTGATGCTACACGTCTTGCTGAAGAATTACGTCAAGAACAAGAACATTCTCTTCATGTTGAACGATTACGCAAAGGTCTTGAACAACAAGTTAAAGATCTTCAAGTACGTCTTGATGAAGCTGAAGGAAATTCACATAAAGGTGGAAAGCGTGTTATGGCTAAATTAGAACAACGCGTAAGTATCATGTTTGATTTTATTCTCTAAAAAAAAAAGAAAGACTTATTATTATTGTTATTAATTTAGATTCATGAATTAGAGAATGAAAATGAATTAGAACAACATCGTCATCAAGAAACTCTTAAAGAATTACGTAAAAATGATCGTCGTTTGAAAGAATTAGTATTTCAAGCAGAAGAAGATCGAAAAAATCAAACACGTTTACAAGATCTTATTGAAAAATTACAAACTAAAATTAAAATTTATAAACGTCAAATTGAAGAAGCTGGTAAATTTTCATTTTATATATATTAATTTATTATTGGTTATTTTCAGAGGAAATTGCTGCAATTAATTTAGCTAAATATCGTAAAGTTCAAACAGAACTTGGTAAGCTTGAATTAAATAATATTCTGAGAAAATTTTATGAATATAAATTTTTTTGTAGAAGATTCAGCTGAACGAGCTGATGTTGCTGAAAATCAACTTGGTAAATTGCGTGCTAAAAATCGATCTTCTGTTAGTCTAAGTCGTGCTTCTCCTGCAGTAAGTTAATAATACAAAAAAGGAGTTAAGAATAAACGTTTTTTTCATTTAGCGTGACATACGAGAATCAACTGTTAATGCACGAGCAAATTCAACAATTCGTGCTGGTTCAGTTCGTCAACGTTAAATTTAAAATAGGAGTGTGAATAATTTTGTAACTAATTTAAAATGTCTATCATTTTTGCTGTATTGATCATTACGTAGTTGTTCACGTATTTGCTGTAGCTTTTTTTGTGCACTTTAACAAAATATATCTACATCATAGTCCAATTTTTAAAATGGCAAAATAATATGCTAGATGTATGCAAAAAGTAGTATCAATGATATTTCAATACTATATAATAAAGTTTTAATAATTTAGAATCAAGCTGAATAATTAAAAATATCTAGATGATTGTTTGACTATGATAACACCTGTATACATATAATTATTTATAATGCTTCAAAATACTATTATTAATAAAATTTGGTTTATATCCATTCATATTTGGATGGTAATTTTCTTGGAAAAATATTATTTCCAACTGTATTTTATCTATTGAGAAATATGATTTGTAAATTGTCAAATCAAAATCACGAAGGAACTGATTATGACTCGTAACGTTGGTTTTTACCAACATAAGTAAAGGCAATATATATATATATATATATATATATATTTTCTCGTACGTATTCACGCTGTCATATTACTCACTGTAGTATTTTATCAATACCTTTACCTTTTCATATACTCAAAACATTTGTTAGTCATTTCTGTTTACCTTCCTTTATAAATATTGTTCGATCGTATTAGACAAGTCAAATTTATAGTTAATCGAATATGCACCCATATTATGCTAGTAAGAAATAAAAATAATGTTGATCTTTCACATTTACAAAAAAACAATATTTGTGTCTATGAATAGGAAATAGAGCAATTCCACCTGAATGGCGTTATAAAATTATGTCAGTTCGACTTGAAAGAAAAACACTATCAATTAATAGACAACATTACACTTTCGATAAAAAACTTGGTAAGGGTGCATTTGGTGCTGTTTATGCGGCACGTCGGTATTCAGACGGTAAGATTTATCTAACTTTTTTATTCTTATTTTAAAAAAATGAGGTTATTTTATCAATATAGGCGCACCAGTTGCTATAAAAGTTATATCACTAGCTTCACAAAAAGATAGTTTAGCACTGCAGAATGCAGAATCAGCTCTTACCGAAATTGAAATGGCAAAACGTTTAACTCGGACATCAAGACATATTATACATATGTATGATTTTGATTTTCACCAAACAGGTCTATCATTTATTGTAATGGAACTTGGTCAACAAGATTTAGAAAAATATCTTTCACAACGACTTGCATTAGAACCTGCTGATAGAAAATTTATATGGCGACAATTAGTCGATATCGCTGGTACTCTAGATAGTCAACAAATTGTAATTAATTTTCTTTATGATTATGTTTGATACTATTTTACTATTGTTTATAGGTACATCGTGATATTAAACCACAAAATCTTATTATATTTCCTGGCGGTATTGTAAAACTTGGTGATCTTGGTATTGCTAAACAAGCTTTTCATGACAAGTAATGTCTTAATTTAACAATAATTAAATTTCAACAATTATCTACTGTTAATATATGTTTAGAACTGGACCTACTGGTACTCCATTATATTCAGCGCCTGAAGTGACTAGGTATAAACCGATGGTAGTGCTTACAACAGCAGCAGATGTATGGTCATGGGGCGCTGTTCTCTATCGTATGACATATATGCAACATCCTCATTACGATCCACCATGTTATTATCCACTTGAAAATCAACGTCTAACATCTGATCGATATCTTAATGATGTACTTCGACGCACACTTGTTCTGAGTCCAGAAAAAAGACCAACTCCTTCATGGTTAGCTAAACATCCATATACAAACACATGATAAATATTATTTTGTCTAGCTCTTTTTTTAAATTCATAATCAGTAGACCTTAAAGTCTTACTATAGGAAATAGCATGTATATGAGTTTTTAGAAATAAATAAGTCGTATACGATATGTCAAATTTTGTCCAGTGTCTTTCTAATTATATTATAAGTTGGTGCATAGAATTTTGTGATTTTATCACAAAAAGTCGAGTTTGATATCTATATTTTTTTCATTTAATTTTCTCTCATAGGACACAATATTATATTGATGTATCTATATCATTGAATTGATGAAGTTTTTTTTTTACAAACTTCTACCTATTCTGTTAGTGCATATTCAAACAAGTACATGTATAGTCTATGATCATGAAGGTACGTAAAATATTTTCAATCTTTGCGTGTAAATATAAAACAAAAAATCTGAATTGCGTTTTGTGTAACAAATCGAATCGATGTCTGCGATTGTTCATACATGATTTTAGAAAAGTTTATAAAACTAAAGAAAATTCTTCAGTTTTAAGTGTATACATATGTACAATTGTACTCATTTGTTTTGGATGATAAACCACATAAAACTTACTGTCATACGTTTTATTATTTGAAGCATTGTTATATCCTATAATTAAAACACGATCGATGAACATAAAAAAGGCAAGTTTTTGTTCTACATAGAAGTCTTCGTTTTTCTCTCCACGTTTTATCACTATTCTTTTTCTTTTTTTACATTCTTATGTGTTGTCACTTCTTTATCAATCAATATATCGAATATATACATTATTGATTTCTTGTTACCTTCATAGCTGAACATCATTTTGTTCTCCTGTTCTCACTACATTAATAGAACAAATTGAGTAGAACATGTTTGCCCTTGCTCAACAAAGTAAAAAATTTACATGATGTTGAATTTTTATTTTGACTAAAAACGAATTTAATTTCTACAAATAGAAAGTACACTAGAGCTTGATACATGGCGTTATACAATTGTTACGATGCCACTTGAACGTAAAACATTGCTTATTAATGGTTATGAATATCATTTCGATAAAAAGCTTGGTAGAGGTTCATTTGGTGCAGTTTATGCAGCACATCGATATCCAGATAGTAAGTCAGTTTTATACTTTCAGAAAAAAATTTAACTATTATAATTATTTTTAGATAAACCAGTTGCTATAAAAGTTGTATCATTAGCAACGAGGAATAGTGCAGTATCATTGCAGAATTCGGAAGCTGTACTTAATGAAATTGAAATGGCAAGACGTTTAGCACAAACATCCGATCATATTATACACATGTATGATTTTGATTTTCATCGTCATACAGGTCTATCATTTATTGTAATGGAACTTGGTCAGCAAGATCTAGAAAGATTTCTTTCACATCGACGTTTCTTAACACCTGATGAAAGAAAAAATATATGGCGACAATTAGTCGATATTGCTAACACTCTTCATAATTATCAAATTGTAATTCAATTTTTCTCATTCATGATCTTTAACTTTTTCTATTTAGGTACATTTCGATATTAAACCACAAAATCTCGTTGTATTTCCAGGTGGTATAGTCAAATTAGTTGATCTTGGTATTGCTCAGAAAGCTTTTCAAAGAAGGTAAGTTTTTTTCAAAGATACTTAAATTGATGTTTATATGTAGTAATGTGTATGTTGTATAAATACATGTGCATTTGATATGTTTAGAATTGGTCCCAATGGTAGTCAACCGTATTCTGCACCTGAAGTAACATTGATATCTCTTCGTCATATAACAATAAATACGACCAAGGCAGATGTTTGGTCATGGGGCGCTGTTCTTTTTCGTATGACTTATATGACAGCACCAGACTACTTTGAACCATGCTATCATCCTCCTAGAAATCAACGTCAAACACGTGATCCACATCTTCGTGATATACTTCGAAATACACTTGTCATTGATGCAAGAGCAAGACCTGATCCTTCATGGTTCCTTGATCACCCATATACACTTTCATTTTGAATATTCTTTTGAATTATAACTTGGAGACTAGAAGATCTTAACTTGGTAATTAAAGATATATATATAAAGAAGTTGTATGAGTAAACAAGTTTTGATTATTGTGAATAAATATTACTGAATTCTGTTACATATATTTCTAATAAGACATACATACATACATAGGATGATAATATTAATAAAGACAGCTTTTGCAGATATCTATGATTGTTTTAAATTATAAGATTGAGTAAAGCAATCTAATCTGAGATCAAAACGTATCCTGAAATTCGTCTGTTTTCAGGTACTACTTGGAATATACTCACTTTTTGCACATCAACAAAGAACAGAACTATAATCAATACAAGTATTAAAATATCATTTTAATACATTCACAAGATTATCTAACGATATATAAAGTTTACTGGTTGAAAAAACTAATCCTTGAAAACCTACTGATTGATACAGAAGTATTTTTACTCGTTCATTTAAACAGAGATGCGGGAAAATTACATTCTATTTCTTAATACTCATCAGGTCTGTTAATTATCAGAAAGCTTGTTTTCGTTACTTCAATGTTGACTATTCTTCATATTAATGGATTATCAAATACTATAGAGTATTACGTTGAATAATAATTTTTCACTACGGTTGAAATCTTATATCTATTAGCAAAAACAAAATGTATGATTCATTAAATCAAAGGTTACCTGTCATTTTTCTTTTTACCAACATAAACGAAAACACTGTGTACCTTTTTGGCATATTATCTCGTTCTTCCTCATACGCCTCGTTGTTTATTTACCATAAATATATATGTAGTGCTTACTTTTCTTTTCTCTTCGCATATTTTCGTAAAAAACCAATCATTCTTTTCTTATAGTTTGGTCACCAAAAAACGACAATCTACGTCAAATATGTATGTTAGTCATCACACTATGAAATTAAAATTATATTGACTTTTTTTTCAGTTCTCAAAGAAGAACGTAGTTTTGATAAATAGACCAGAAAGAGAGAGAGTTTTTACTTCTAAACAATTCGTATTATATAGTTCAATTACTAGGAATGGAGAATAGAACATGGGCAATTCATGGATATTACTATACTTTTGATAAAATGCTTGGTAGTGGTAAATTTGGTTATGTTTACCAAGCTCGTCGATATCCGGACAGTTGGTTAATTTTCTTCTTTTAGTTTTCTTTTCATAAACTAAAATTGTTTGATTAATATAGACAAACAATTTGCTGTTAAAGCTGTGCCATTAGTAGCAGGAACGTTTGGAGATTTATATCAAAATACAATGTCAGTTCTTGAAGAATTTCGAAAGATAAGAGAATTAGCAGCGATATCATATCATATAATATATGTATATGATTTTGGTTTTGATTCTGAAAAAAGTTTAGCATATTTTGTCATGGAACAAGGTCAACAAGATTTAAAAAAATATCTTTCACATCGAGTTTTATTAACATCTGCTGACAGGAAATCTATATGGCGACAATTAACCGATATTGCTGTTACTCTTAATGATTATCAAATTGTTATTTATTTTTATTTTCATCTTAGTCAATAATTAATTACTTCCTTTTCTAGGTACATGGTGATATTAAACCACAAAATCTTATTGTATTTCCTGGTATGCATATTAAATTATGCAATCTTGGAATGATTAAGCAAGCTTTTCCAAAGTAATCTTCATATTTTGTATATACCACTAAGGATCCAATTTTTGCTCTTACTTTTAGAAATGGTCCAAGTGGTACTCCACCTTATTCAGCACCTGAAGTGATCATACCTAATTCTACAACGATTCTTACAACAAAAGCAGATATTTGGTCATGGGGAGCTATTCTTTATCTGATAACTTATAGAATAGCACCTCATTTCGGTGAACCCTATTATCGTCCGCCTACTAATCAATATCCATCACGTGATCCAGATCTTATTGATGTACTCCAGCGCACACTTGTCTTTAATCCTAATAAAAGACCTAATCCTTCATGGTTAGCTAAACATCGATACACAAAAACACATTAAATTTATGCTTTACATGTTATTTCATAATGAATAATCACACTCATCTATATTCTCAGAAATAAGCAAACTCTATTCAACGTGTATATTATATATACATATATATACATCTAATCAAAATCGGTTGCCTGTATTTTTTTATAACGTTTGTGGTTTGCTACACATAATTATGATTTTACTATAGATATATTTTTTCACTATCTACAATGTTTCTTTAGCCTAAGATTTTATCATTGTATCGAATAAAATTTCAGTGGATATATAACATAGAATAGGTCTAAACTTACGATAAATATTATTTGTATATAGTGTCAAATTATTGACCATTACACTGTAGAATTATGTATTTCCTTGAAAAATATTTTTCAACTCATTTGATCCCATCATTGTAATAACGCATAGTTTTCATTATAGCAAATATTCTCATAAAAATATTCAAACGTCGACCAATTGCACTGGAAAGTGAAATTCATCTTACATATGATAGTTGTTAAATTAAGTACTTGCAGAAATCTGAATTGATAATTTGATGATTTTTTATGACTTCAATTAATCACAAAAATCTAGGATATAGAAAAAAATATCTCGATATCAATGTGTATATTCGTACTACGTACTTCACTTTATGATATTACTAATTTTGTCTTGTGTATTGACTTACTTTAATATTGGAGTCATATTGCATACAAGTTAACTTGTATTTAGAAGAGGTAATAGAAACAACGTACTATGAGTTGGGTTCAGGTCATTTGAAATATTATTAAAATTTGTCTAATATAATTTTGATTTTTTTTTGAATCGTTGAATGATTCTTCAAATTGTATCTGTATCTATCTCAAACTATGTTTCGTGAATGATATCAAACAAGCATTGCGTAATGAAAAGTCACCCGTTGTTTTCGTCTCTATCGACATAAACAAAAACAACATGACTTTTTACCTATTACCTGGTTCTTTCTCGTACGCTTCGTTATTTCTTGTCTGCATAATTGTATCTCTTCATTTACTTACCCAGAAAATAGACATATAATATTCACTTTTCATTTCTGTTCACCTATTTTTCTAGATATCATTCTGTTCTCTTAATATCATCATTTTACAACAAATAACGCCTTTGAATATGTATGGTCTTCTACAGAGTATGGGATTGAGATTACATTTACTTTTTTTTCTAAAGACGTTTTTTTTCTTCAATTTTGTAGAAATTACTCCATTATTCAATGATCAACATCATGCAATTAAATCAGCATCAATGGAAAACAAAGTCTTTATTATTCATGGAAAACAATACACATTCAAAAAAGAACTTGGTAGTGGTGGATTTGGCTATGTTTATAACGCACGTCGACATGTAGATAGTATGTTAATTCTATGTCGTTATAATCAATATTAAAACTATTTTATTAATCTAGATAAACAAGTTGCTATTAAAGTTGTAACATTAGCATTGAAAAAAGCTGAAAAATCATATCGAAATTTAGAATCAGTTCTTAGTGAATTTCGACAAACAAGAAAATTAACTGAAATGTCAGATTATATAGTACATATGTTTGATTGTGGTTTCAGTGCTCAACATGGTGTAGCATATCTTGTTATGGAACTTGGTCAACAAGATTTTGGAAAATATCTATTAGAAAGACCTGCACTTACACCTGTCGAAAGAAAAACAATATGGCGTCAATTTGTTGCAATTGCTATTACTCTTCAAAACAATCATATTGTAATGAATTTTTTAAATGCTAGTTTGTTATTTTTTGAATAATACTTTACTTCTTTTTCTAGGTACATCGCGATATTAAACCACAAAATCTTATTGTATTTCCTGGTGTAAAAGTTAAATTATGTGATTTTGGTATTGCTACACAAGCTCTTGAAAGGTAGTTTTTATTGTTGATATAAAAAAATAATTCTTTTTCTGCTTTGTTAATATATTTAGATCTGAACGTACTGGTACTTATCCATATTCAGCACCTGAAGTAACGAAACCTACACCTACAACAATACTTACAACAAAAGCCGATGTTTGGTCTTGGGGTGCTGTTCTTTATCGTATGACATATTTAGTACGACCTGATTATGTTGCTCCATGTTATTATCCACCTGAAGGACAATTGACAACATCTGAAGCACAACTTTTTGATATACTTCGACATACACTTGTTAAAAATCCAGAGAAACGAGCAAGTGTTTCATGGTTGTCTAAACACGCATATACAAAAACAGATTAACTTTTCTTTTTCCGCATATAATTATCGCATTCTTATGCGAGAATAAAATATGATATAAATACGATTCTATTAGAAAGATTTCTCTTATGAAATGTAACAATATTTCAATGTATATACATCAATAAATAAACAAAATCTTAATATATATTTCGTTGTAAGATCAAAAATCATATTATTTAAATGTACGCAGTGTTATTATTGATATATAAATCGATAACATCTTTTTTTCTTAACAGTTCTATTCAAAAGTATGTTTACGTACAAAATATTTATCAAACACCATTTATAATTATGTAATGTATTTGAAATAGTACATTTCTTGCATGTCAATAACAAATGACGATGTATGTATGTTTTTATTGCATACTTGCAATATAATTTTCTACATACCATAGTAGAATATGCGAGAGAGTGCATAGTTTTTATTTTTTAGTACTGTAAACATTCCCACGAAAATGTTGATATGGGTCAGTCGGTAGATGAATAAACTTTCTGTGAAATTTATATATTAACTTCAAAAGAGAATACCGATAAAACAAAATTATTAGATATTTTTTGAAGGTTTTCTTTCAAATCATTTCTATTTCTATATCTATATGTTGAAAATAGAGATGTAGATAAGAATTTTGGCTTCTTTGAATGCAATATATACATATATTATGTACAAATACTTTATTATTTTACATTTTCATTGTCTCTTCGTTATTTCATCTATGCAAACGTTTTTCTATATATTAAAAGGACGTCTTTTTTTTCCTCTATGGAATGTCTTTATATATTTTTCAAAAAGATAGGGCGAATAAAGTTATATACACCTTAGCAATTATACCAATAAATATTTCCAACCACGCTATGTTATGCATCAAAAATCATCATTTCGATATTTTCATATAAAAACATAAGAAGAGGTTACTAATATACATGCGTGTTTACCATTTCAATATAATATGTAAAAACGTGATTTTTTTTATTGCGTATTTTCTAGTTCCTCCTCTTCCTCGTTCACCTTTTTACCTCTAAATGTATCATCATTTACTAATATTATCATTTATTTTCGCTTGTTTTTTACCCTCATATTATAGGACAAGGAATATCAAATATGAATCCTTATCTTAATCGTAAGACTTTAAAATAATATATTAATTTGTTTTACATTTTCTAAAAAAATTTATAGCTTATGTAGCGAAACCTAATCGCTACCAAAATAATGCCAGTTATAAGATTCGTCCAGTATCAGTGCAAAGTCGACCAGTAACAATTAATAAACAACAATATAATTTCAATAAAAAGATTGCTACCGGTCAATTTAGTTCTGTTTATGCAGCATATCGTCGTTCAGATAGTTAGTTAATTTTAATTTTAAAAAGAAAATTAAATTGTTCTATTAAATGTAGACAAACCAGTTGCTATTAAAATTATACCCGCAGCAACAAAACATAGTACAGAAGCAGCGAATGTGATGCACTTATTTCTTAATGAAATTCAAATGGCAAAACGTTTAGCAACAACATCAAATCATATTATACATATATATGATTTTGATTTCGATCAACGTACAGGTTTATCATTTATTATAATGGAACTTGGTCAACAAGATTTAGAAAAATATCTTTCACAACGAAATGCATTAACACCCGATGAAAGAAAATCAATATGGCGACAATTAGTTAATATTGCCATTACTCTTTATAATCATAGAATTGTAACTGAATTTTTTATATAAATTTATTCGATAATATTTTATTATTTTTTTTTCAAGATGCATCTCAATATCTCACCAGAAAATCTTGTTTTATTTCCTGGTAATTTAGTTAAATTAGGTGATTTTGGTATGGCTCGAAAGTTTCAACAATCCAGGTAAAATTTTTCATTAATAATTAAGAAAAACTTATGAGAAGAATAATTTATTATTGATTTGTTTAGAACGAAGTCGCTCGGTAATCCAGTATATTTAGCACCTGAATTAAATTCACCTTATCATAAGCCAACGCCTACAGCAAAAGCAGATATATGGTCATTTGGTGCTATTCTTTATCGTATGACTTATTTGATGCCACCTCATCACAATTCTCCATTTTTTCGACCTCCGTTAAATCAACGTTCTACTAATGATCCAAATCTTCTTAATATACTTCAACATACACTAGTCATTGATCCAAATGCAAGACCCGATGCATTATGGTTAGCTACACATCCTTATACAAAGACATATTAAATTTTGTTGTTTATTTTATTTCTGATTATATAATTTGCTTATTCTAGAACTTTATGAAATTTCTTTGTATTAAATTTTGAAAAAATTTAAAATTAATTTACCAATTATGAGCTGTATTAACAAATACAATGCCTTGCATAGGTAGAAACGTTTTTGTGTTTCTATTTAGATCTCTGAATGTACGTCAATGATTCTAATCTGATGTTGTCATTGACAGAATTTTTGTTTTTTTTTGCAGTATGAAAGTAAAAACGTTATGTCGTAAATTTTCTTGCGTCAGCAACTCGTAAGAGATAAAGAACAAACAGTACAGCCTCTCTTAAACTTACAGATAATCAAATATTTTAGTACTTATATATTTCTAGCGATGATTTATCTAATTATTATCGTGCGGAGAATATGATCTTTCATTTAATTTTGTTAATGAAACTCAACTTTATTCTACTTTTAAACGTTGAATTCTTGTATAACTTCACCTAAATGTTTTTCTTTCTTATCATTATGTTTGTTAATAGAACACGTGTCTAAAAAGATATTAAAAATAATTATTATCATCATACGATAAGACATATATACTTTAGAATATCGACATAAAGTAAAAAGTAAAGAAGAAAAAAAGACCATGATGAAATTTGCAAACTATTTTCTTCGTTTTCAAAATTCTTATTATGGAAATATTCGATCAGCTAATTCATCATGTCCAACAACAGATGTTAAATGGTGTATAGATGGTTTTGATGGATATAAATTGTGTATTGAAAATCCTTCAATACTTCCGACTTGTATTTTGGCTTTAATGATTGGTCTTTTTTGTTCAAAACGTATAAGTCAATTACCAGGAGAATTTCCATCACGATGGTATTATCATCTAACATTTTTTCTTTATGGTATTATGATGTCATCAGCTGGTATATTACATTGTTTTTTAAATGATGATACAAAGAGTTTTACATCATTAGCTGTAGCTATTATTGATGTCGGTTTAACATCAAATATTGCTGTTAGTTTTCTCTTTTGTGGTTTATGTGATATTCAATTTTTAAATCCAAAATCAGCTACGACACGTTGGTTATTATTTACTACATATTCTATTATTTTTATTTTATGGACTTTTGGATTAACAAAACAATGGAGTTGGGCATTTAATGTACTTTATACTGGTGTTGTATCAGTTTGTTGTTTTATTTATTTAATAACACAATTATCTATAAAATCAAAACATCATGCATTACCAGCTCTTTTTGTTGGAGGACTTTATGGTGCTATTGGTTTACTTGCAGGATCATTTGGAGCTGATGCTGTTTGTAAATCAGAAGGTCCATTTTGGTCACAATATTTTGGACCAGAATTTATTTGGTTTCTTTTTTCGGACATAAGTGTAGCATTTATGTTTCTATATGTTATACGAGCTAATCGAGAACAAAGAATTCTTGTTAAGACCTATCCTATTGATTTTGAAAAGTATCCTGGTAAACTTTAAATAATTTTTTTTAATCTTTTGTAAAACAAAAAAAACAATTTTTTTTTGATGATTCAATAAATAATTCGGAGATGTAATAATAATCAACGTATATCTATGTAGAAACAATGGAATATCTCAACCGTCATATAGGTAAGATTGAATTGAATAGTGCCAAATTTAGATGAAGCTCAAGTCTATATAATCCATATATTTATTTATTTATTTATCTCTGCATTAGCTTTAGATATTAGTTTAACCTTAGAATATGGTTGTAATCGACTTGTCTATAGCATAGATATTTAATTAAGATGACATATGATTGTAACCATTAACTAAATTAGAGTATATCCGTATACTCATTCCATCAGTATAGAATTAATACGTAATGAATAGTACTTGTACACAATGGATAGATAAGTGTATCGAACGTTTGAACAATGACTTTTTCGATATGATTGATTGAACGGATAAACAGATGTCACTTATATTATTAATAACGAAAAAAACTTATTTGTTATTCTATGTAATTTAGAAAATAAAAGTATTATTTAGAGAAGTCTATTTGTTTTTTTTTCTTCGTTTATTGATTAATATTTAGTTGTTCGTTTATAATAGATCGATTGGTTCATATATTAAACAAATAAAAAGCATTTAATTTTCTTCTTCTTCCTTCCTCCTTAGCACTGTTCTTTGTTCGAATAAACTGTGGATCAATTGTCTTGTTTATGGGATCACTTTATATTGATTAGAATTTCTATTCATGTACTTCCAGATGGCGACAATAAATGATCATCGGCCACCACCGCCTGTACGTGTTGATTCAATCACAGGGTAAAATTTCTTCCCACAATTATTTTCAATAACTATCTACTTTTTTTTGTTTAAGTTCAACATCAAGTCTTGAAACAAAACCTCTTCCTCGTCTTCCAGATGATGAATTCAATAAAAAGAAAAAAACTAATAGTAAAGGTAAAATAAATCATTCTTTATACTTAGAATTTTTTTTTGTATATTCAATAGATTGGTCAAAAAAAGATCCAGCTAAATTAACTATTTCTCGTCCAACAAATTTTAATCATCCTATACATGTTACATATAATCCATCAACAGGTGAATTTGATGGTATGCCTGATATTTGGTCTACTTTATTACAAAGTTCTAAAATAACAAAACAAGAACAAAAACAAAATCCTCAAGCTGTTATTCATGCATTAGATTTTTATCAACATGCTGCACATAAACGAGAATCAAAATTTATGTATTCATCTTATAAAAGTAAATATTCAATTTATTGCAAAAATAAAAATATCTTCGTTTTTTCTTCTTCAAAGATTTAACACCACCAATATCGGCTGATCTAGCTGATCGATTTCGGCAAACAGTTATTCTTGTATCAGATAGATCATCGCCAGTAATAGAATGAAATCTATATTTATTAAAAATAATTATTTTATTTAGTTACAAGGACAATCTTCAGTTCGTTATGATAATGATCAAATACCACCACCCATCGCAGCAAGACCAGAAAAAACGAAAAGCATTGTATGTTAATAATAGATTTCGATAGAAAATTGCAAGTTTACATTAACTCTTTCATTCGCATGATTAAATTTTAAGGCTTAATATTAAAATTTGTTCAGCAGTGTGTATACGTATTCGATGCTCAGAAGTGCTTGATAAATAATATGATGTAATGAAAAAATTTTTTTTTAGTATACGAAACCAATTGATGATGATAATAATAATAAATCAACAACAACAACAAATGGAGATAAATGTAAACGAAAACAACTAAGTGATGAAGAAATCTTTGCTAAATTACGATTAATTGTTTCACATGGTGATCCAATTAGAAAATATAAGAATAGAGATAAAATTGGACAAGGGTATGGATGTTTTACTTTGGTATGATTAATATTAATGAAATACTATTTCTTTTTTTTCAGTGCAAGTGGAACAGTACTATTAGCTTATGAAGTAGCAACAGGCGAAGAAGTTGCCATTAAACAAATGAATTTAGCTAATCAACCTAAAAAAGAATTAATTATCAATGAAATTGCTGTTATGAAACATAATAGACATATAAATATTGTTAATTATAAAGATTCATATTTAGTCGAAGACGAACTTTGGGTAAAAAAAAGAAAGTTTTATTCTTCTATATAAGTTTATTTTTTTTCTAAGGTTGTTATGGAATATCTTCCAGGTGGATCATTAACAGATGTTGTTACGGAAACAATTATGGAAGAAGGTCATATAGCAGCTGTATGTCGTGAAGTTTTACAAGCTCTTGAATTTCTTCATAAAAATCATGTTATTCATCGAGATATTAAAAGTGATAATATTCTATTAGGAACTGAAGGAAATGTCAGTATGTATCGATATATTTCGATCGATTAATTAATAGATACAAAGAATTGTTTGTTTTTAGAATTAACTGATTTTGGATTTTGTGCACAAATTACTCAAGATCAAACAAAACGGCAAACGATGGTTGGAACACCTTATTGGTAAGAAAAAATTGAGATATTTTTGTAGAAATTAAAATTATGAATATATATAGGATGGCACCAGAAGTAGTTACTAGAAAACAGTATGGCCCAAAAGTAGATATTTGTAAGTATTGATAAAATTTGATGACACAATAGAGAAGCTATTTGATTAATTTTAGGGAGTTTGGGTATTATGGCAATTGAAATGATTGAAGGAGAACCACCGTATCTTAATGAAAGTCCATTAAGAGTAAGTTAATATAATTTGAAAAGAAATAAATAGTGAATTGTAAATCTTAGGCACTTTATCTTATTGCAACGAATGGCAAACCAGAAATAGTTGGTCGTGAAAAACTTTCACCTTTATTTGAAGATTTTCTTGATCAATGTCTTGAAGTTGATGTTGATAAACGTGCAAATGCATCACAACTTCTTCAAGTTCGTATTAAAATATATTTACAAAAGATTGATTATATCTTTATGTTTTCTTCTTCTTCTAGCATCCATTTTTAAAAATGGCAAAACCATTATTAAGTCTTGTACCTTTAATAAATGCAGCGCGAGAAAGTATAAAACGTAATACATAATCATATTCTACAACCGAGTGTCAGATATATTCTGTTTGTTATACTTCTTACTATTTATTCTGTATTTTCTTCTTTTTGTTGATTAAACAATCATATTTACATCTTATTGAAAATGCATGGTAATAATAAACACATTTGTCTAGTTCGCATGATTGTTATATTGTATGCTAATACTATTGTTTATGTTAAAAAAAAATTATTTGTATGTAAAACTGAATAAATGAAAATAATGTGATTCAATTTTTCTGCTTGAATATATATCTTACATCGAAAAAATGTTGTATTCAATGTTCTATTTCTTTTTTTTCTATTAATGAATGACATGACATATAATTTTTCAATTCGAGGTTTTTTGTTTCTTGAAAGATAATAGTACATCAATGATATATATATATTTTATAAACATTTAACTATTGACTATAAAAAACAGTCTACCATATATTATATGTTTGTCTAACAATTGAAGATTGTTATTCCTATTTCGATTAACAACTGTTGTGAATTAGTTTCCAGGGTGAAGTTTTCGCGTTCTGTTACTTATTCTTTTCTTTATGTAATTGTTTGAAAGCATCACCATGTAATTCCATAATGTCTGTTTACTTCTGACTATTGTTGTCATTATATAGCAGAAAGAATGGATGCTTGTATTCGTAGTCGAGCAAAAACATCATATCATTCGAAACGAAATCAAGCATATGAAACAACATATAAGCGTGAATTTAGTTCAAAAAAACCAGTAGTAATTGTTGAAGGTGCACCACCTGAACAACGATTTTTAGTTGGTTGTCCATTTAATTTAGCTGATCCTGTAGGTGAAACAATATATACAATGGATTTTTCTCGTACAAACCCTGTTCCAAAACAACAACCTTATTTTCAGAGTACAAGTACAATTGAACGACCCGATTCAAAACAACTTCCTTGTTGTCCTCGACGATATGAAACTTTAAATGATCCTTTAGAAGATGAAATAAAACAAGCACTAAGAAATCAATTAGATTCAACATATCAAGTCGATTATACTGGTAAGAAACAAAATATTTCGAATTCTACTATAAATATAGTATTTTATTATTTCTTTTTTTAAAGGATCATGTCAAGGATTTCAATTACCATTGGCTTATAATCGACCACGTGCTTTTTGGCGTAATCAAGTTCCACATACATTCAATAGTGAATATCGAAATCATTTTCAAAATCATCCAAAAACAGCGATGCATTTTGGTGGACGTTTTAAATTTACTAGTCGAGTACCAGCTGATGCTATTGTTCCTCAAACATTACCTACATGGAAGAAAAAACCATTACATTCTATTTATTCATATGAAATTAGCCAAAAAACTCCTTCAGAACGATATATGCGAGACTTTGTAGATTCTTTTGGTGACTCAATGAAATAATAATAATAATAATATGAATTCTATTTTACTGCCATTTAAATTTCATTTTTTTCGAATCAAATAAAATAAATTATCCAGAGAAGAATATAGTTTGTCATTGTATCAATCAGATCGATTGATTTAATTTTCTAACACATGATTAAGGTGTATGAATCATCTGAGTCATATTTGTAACGTTGACTCATGTATAGATGCAAATATAAGAAGAAGCGTAAAAAAAATTTGCTGTTCTTTACATATAAGACACGTTGTACGCAATATGTAAGTAGAATAAATCATGTAACACATCACGGTAATGATAGTAGTTTTTTTTCAGTTCAAATAATATATATGACTGCTTCTCAAAAAGTAAGTTTTTGGTATTGTGATAAATGTAATCGCAAATTAGATCATGGTGAACTTCGTTATAATTGCACAATTTGTGATGATTTTGATTATTGTGAAAATTGCGCAACAACTTCTAATTCACCACATCCTCATAAAATGGTTCCTGAACTTGCATATGGACCTGCAGAAAAAAAGATGTCGCGCATGAAAGGAACAGCAGCTCTCATTCGAGCTGCAATGACAATGTTTTGTGATCGTCATTGTATGGGTACACGAGATATCTATAAGAATTCATATTCATGGATAACATTTAAAACTATAGGTGATCGAACAAAGAATTTTGGTCATGGATTACGACGTCTAATCGAACCTCGAGCATATCTAGGTATCTGTGCTGGAAATAGACCTGAATGGATAATAACTGATTTTGCATGTATTTTACAAAGTATCATTAGTGTACCAATATACACTTTATTTACTGATCGTGAAATAGCATATGTAATTAATAATACACAAATATCAGTGATTGTTTGTGATCAAAATATGTTAGAAAGATTTGTTGCATTACATTCACAATGTCCAACACTTCGACATATAATATGTATGGATCCTATTCCTGATACAATATCTCGTAAGTTTATACAATAAATATACATCTAATTATTTATATCAATTTAGAAGTCACAGAAGGAAATGATATCTGTATTCACTATATGGGAGATATTGAGAAATATGGTGCCACAAACTTGTATAGCTACGTTAGCACTAAACATGAAGATTGTCTTACTATTATATATACAAGTGGAAGTTCTGGTTTTCCTAAAGGTGCTATTATTTCACAAAATACATTTCGAGCATCGTTCCCGCGACGATGTCCATCATCAGCACCAGATTACATCCATTTTTCGTATCGACCATTAGCATGGGCAGCCGATCGTGATGCCATCATAGCAACTTTTCTACATGGAGGACGAACAGGATTTTCGACAGGTGATCCTTCTCGACTCATGGAAGAGTTAGCTCTTGTTAGACCTTCTGATTTTCCAGCTGCTCCTGCTATTTGGAATAAACTATATACTGAATATACTACTGCTCTTGCACTTGTCTCAGTCAATTCTCCTCCTGATACCATTGCCAGTGAAGAACAACGTCTTCTACAACAATTCTCAAAACTCATTCCTAATAGATGTAAAATAATCACTACAGGAGGTGCTCTTACTAGTTCAGCAGTATTAGATTTTATGAAGCGATGCTTCACGCATTGTTCTGTCAATGAATCATATGGCATAACTGAATGTGGAGGCATAGCAGATAACAATCAATTTGATTATGATCTTCAATATCGACTTGAATCTGTCGTTGATATGGGATATACACTTGATGATAAACCATATTCAAGAGGTGAACTTTTAGTTAAAACAAATCAAATGTTTTCAGGATATATTAATAATCCAGATGAAACTCATGCAGCTATCACTGAAGATGGATTTTTTCGAACTGGCGATATTGTTGAATTACAAACTGATCAAAGTAGTCTACCTCATATTCGTGTTATTGATAGGAAAAAGAATTTCTTCAAACTTTCACAAGGACAATTTGTATCACCTGAATATCTTCAAACTATTTATATTCAAAGTCCATTCGTTGAACAAATCTATATTCATGGTGATCTTTTATCAGATTCTGTTTCTGCTGTTATTGTTCCAAATCAACAATATGCACAAGCATTTGCACTTCAACATAGTCTAACATTATTAAATATGAATAATTCTCATCCATTATTTCATCAAGCTATTCTTCAAGATCTTCAGACAATAGCTAAAAAAGAATCACTGAGAAAACATGAAATACCATCACATATTATTATTGATTTTCAAGCATTCACACCTGAAAATGGTCTTCTGACTTCATCGATGAAACCGTGCCGTCATAAATTAGCAACATATTATGCTGATCAACTGAAAACATCAAACAGAATTGAAGAAAAACTGAAAACTATCATTAAAACAATTACAGGACAATCAATATTATCAAATACAGGTGAGAACGTATTTGTTAATACTGGTAATGATTCATTATCATCTGTTCGTTTATCTCGAATGATCGAAAATGATCTTGGCATATCATTACCATCAAATATTCTTTATCATCCACAGCTTAATTTACAACAACTAACAAATCTTATTCAAAATCCTTCTCAAATTTCATCATTTTCCAAACAAACAATTCAATCACAATTAATAAATGATTCTCAATTAGATTTAAATATTACAACTACTAGTCATAAATCAATCGCGTCAATCAATCATCCATCAAAAATATTCATTACTGGAACAACAGGTTTTGTTGGTGCATTTGTTTTATCTGAATTATTAACAACATATTCATCAAAATGTCAATTTGTATGTTTAGTTCGATGTAATAATGAAAATCCATTTGATCGTATTAAAAATAATATGATATTTTATAAAATCTGGAAAGATGAATATAAACAACAAATTCTGCCATTAAAAGGTGATTTAACAAAGTTTCATTTTGATTTAAACGATGAAATTTATAATCAACTTCATGATGATATTGATATGATTTATCATTGTGGTGCAAATGTTAATTTTATTCTTTCATATAATCAACTTTATCCTGCAAATGTTGTTGGAACAAAAGAAATGATTACTTTTGCTTGTTTTAATCCATCTACTTGTATACCTATACAATATATTTCAACAATAAGTGTTATGTCAAATCATCTTGATTTTAATCAACAAATATCGATTGATAATATTTCACCTAATAAATTAGTTAATGGCTATGCACAAAGTAAATGGGTAGCAGAAAAATTAATTCAAAAAGCAATTGATTGTGGATTATCAGTTAATATTTATCGTCTTGGATTAATATGTGCTGATAGTAGAACAGGTGCATGTAATCAACATGATTTTTATACTTTATTATTTCATGAAATTATGAAAATACATTGTTATCCTCAATCAATGATTTCATATCATTTTGATGGATTACCAGTGGATTTTACTGCTAAAATTATTGTTCATTTAAGTAACAATAATAATCAAGATAATAAGTATGGAAATATTTATCATTTAATCAATAAAAACTGTGAAATAAAATGTGAGGAAATAATTGATGGAATGAAAGAATGTGGTATTGAAATTGAAGGTATTGATGATAACGAATGGAAAATGAAAATGAAAACAACTGAGAATGGAGAACTGTTTGTTGGAAATATATTTGGAGAAAGAAATGGAGAATCAAATGAAAAAATGAATAATGATGTTTGTGGATTAGAGTGTCCATCAGTAGATAAAGAGTATATAATGAAATGGTTAGATTTTATATTAAATAATATTTCAAAACTTTGAAAGTATTTTTTATTTATTATAAATTTTTTTGATTAAATGACCTGTCAAATTCGAACTGAAAGATTATTATTATATATTTTTTAAATAAAATGCAAGAATAATATGTTTTACATGTACATCTTAAGGATAGGTGTGGATGCGATGGCAAGTGTCGTTCAAGCGACATGCCTAGATTGGTCCGCTCTAGTCCTTCTATAAACAAAAATTAACTTCGATTTCTTTAACTGAAATACTTATTTTACGATCGGCAATCTCTGTTGTTTTTTAAGTAATCAACATCAAAAGACAGGTTTAGCTAGAATGTATTTCTATTGGGGTGATTGGGCAACAGTAGATAGAACAGCTAATACATCATTAACATCATCGTATGCTTATCTTCGTGATGTACATATATTTATTAACATGAGTCGTCTCCTGAATCATACTGAAAATGTACAAAAATATACACAATTATATCAAGAACTAGCTAATGAATTTCATAATGTCTTTTATAATACTCATCTAAATGTTTATGTTGATGGTAGTCAAGCAATGAATATACTTGCACTTGCTTTACCTGATGTTGTTCCAGTATCTCTTCGTACAAATGTTCTCAATTCATTAATAAATAATATTGTTACAACGGGTCATTTTACTGGTGGTATTGTTAGTGTAGCTCCTTTATATCCTCTTCTTTCTATCGAAGGACATCATGATCTAGCATTAAAACTTGCACAATCAATAACTTATCCATCGTATGGTTATATGTTTCATAATGATATTCAAAATGCTACAACAACATGGGAACTTTGGAATACATTACCACAAGGAGCAACAGCATCATTAAATCATCATATGTTTAATAGTATTGGTGCATGGTTTTATCGATATTTAGCAGGTATTGAATTGAATGGTCTTCAGACAATTACTATTTATCCTCGAATGTCTTATGATGCTGATCTTTTGAATTATGTAAAAGCTGAAGTTGTAACAATCAAAGGATCAATTCGAGTAGAATGGTCAAGAACATCAGTTAATACTGTAAACTTATCAATTGTGATACCAAATAATATGGATGCTATTGTAACATTTGATTCATTGATTAAGAATGGACAATGTGTAAAATTAATGTGTGATGATGATATCATTTGGATGAGAGGAGAGATGAATGATGAAATGAAATTGTTGAGAGATATAAACGGAGTAAATGATTTGAATGAGAATAAGTTACAAAGTACAGTGTCAGTGAGAGTAGCATCAGGTGAATATACATTTGTTGCTTATTGGAAATAAAACGCCATCTCTTACTATTTTTATTTTTTTTGGCTTTCTATGGACATTTTCTAATAAAAGAAATTGAATAACTTACATGCAAGTTTGTAGAGCTTGTCGAGATAAATCAAGTAATCAGAACAATAGGTACATATGATTAAAAACATTTAATCTCATCCAGCTCAGCTTGTCAACTTCTGCATACTAGGGATGCGATAATTCCATATCAGTTCACGAGCTTAAACTACAAATATTTAAAAAAACAGATTTTGTAATTCATTTTATCATAAAATTTAATCATTTTTATTAAATATTTATCAACTTCAACTAATTTTAATCTCATAATAAACATTTTTTATAATTCATTAAAATTTCCCAAATTATCTATTCAATTATTTCTTCAACAACTTTAATGAGACGTTTTTCTTAAAATTAGGCGTTTATTTATTACAACTTTTCCGTGAAAACGATCCAACAAAATTCAGTTTTGAAGAAAAAAAAACAAAAAGATTTTTTGTTCTTAATATTCTTATCAAAATTTATTCTATTTTTTTTATTGATTCTCAACAATAAAACTTCACTTTTTCTTTTCTTTTTATTTCTCGGTTTTTATTCAGCAAAATGTTTTTTTCTTTTTGACAAAATCAAAACTTCATTCACAAAACTATTTCAAATTTTTGAATTCGATGATTACTACAATCAGCAACATAAAGGTTTGCTTCATCGTCAAAAGATAAACCATGGGGACAATTCAATTGGTTTGATTGATTTCCTTTAACATTTCCACCAACGACAACTTCACCATCTTCTTTTCCTTCACACCAACGCATTATTCGATGATTCAGACAATCTGCCACATAGATTTGACCCAAATCATCAACAATTACTCCTTGAGGCTGAGAGAATTGATTGAGATTTCCTCCTTTATCATTTCCTCCAGCCACAATTGCTCCTTCTTTTGAATCTTTTCTCCATTTCATCACACGATGATTGTTGCAATCCGATACATAAACAGATTGATCTTCATCAACAAACATAAAAGTAGGAGTATTGAGTTGATTAAGTTGATTTCCTTTTCCATTTCCACCTGCTACTACAATTCCTTCATTGTTATATTCACCCATTTTCCATCGTCTCACTTCATTCTTCACAACATCAGAAACATAAAGAAATCCATGTTTATCCATTGCCAAACGACAACAGTCGATATTGTGAATGAGAATTTGTTGCTTTTGATTCAACCATTGAATCAATCGTCTGTTTCCATAATCAGCAATGATGATGGAATGATTTTGTTGATCAGTAATCATATCTGTTGGTCCATTCAGTTGATTCATTCGATTTCCTTTGCCATTTCCACCGGCAATGGTTTGTCCTTGTTTTGTATTGTATTTCCATTCAACAATACGATGATTAGAATAATCAGCAATGAAAATATTTTTGTTTTTATCAATAAAGATTCCCACAGGCTTATTGATTTGATTTGATTTTTGTCCTTCTCCATTCCCACCAGCCACAGTGATGGCATTTTGTTTCCATTTGTTGAGTTTTGGTTCTAGAAAATGATAAAAACAAAAGGTTTTGATGAAAATAAGAAGAAGAAGAAGAAACTTTGGTTTTGTTTTGTCAAGTTTGAATTTTGAAAATAATTTTATTAAAAAAACAAATCATTTGAGGTTTTGTACTTGGGAAATAAAGTAAATTCTTATCAAAAGAGCTTTAGTCACAAAAATCTTTTTGTTGTATGTTTGAATATGATTTAGTAAAATGAAACAACGAAATGTATTTTTCAAAAGAAAAAGAAATTTGAAATTTATGTTTTTCCAAAATCCAAATTTAGACGAGAAAGAATTTTTATTGAAAGACAATTTACCTTTTGAAGCAAATTGACAAATATTTAATTTTTGAAAGAAAAGAAATGAAACTGAAAATGAGAACAACTTGTATTGATTTATTTTTGTTAAATAAATTTGATAATGAAAAAATGAAAATGACTTGAATTACAAAGGTTTTGTAATGTAAAATAAATTAACAAAAATATTTAAAAAACTTGAATTAGAAATAACTTTTATCTATGATTTTTTCGTATCAAATCAATATTGAAATAACAAAGAGAAAACGAAAAACTTTGATTAATTTTTATTACAAAAATGATTTTCAATCACTAATCATAGAAAATTATTACACAACATGTTTTTCTTCACTAATAAATATGAAGAAAATGAAACTAGGTTTGTTAACTAACTAAATTAACAATCACAAAGAAACCTATCGAAACTCTTTTCTTAATAAATATCTTTCTATAATACTACACTTTGAAAAATTCTTTTCAAAACTGACTTGAGAAAAGCTGTACTTTAAATAAACTGATGAAAACAACAATTTGTGAGATTGAATCAAATTCAATTTGATTTTAAGATCATAAATTAGAGCCCTACGGTTCCGGGTAGCAAAACTGGTAAAATTCGGTTCCGAAAATCTGTTTTGGGAACCGGTAGTTTTTTTACGATAATATAAAAAATATTAAAACGTATATTTTATTTGAGAAATTTGTAAATTTCATTTTAAAGATCATTGACATTTATTATTTCATTAAAAGCGCAACAATATGTTTCCAAAGATACGCGCAGTGTACCATTACAGCTATCATAAACTGTAGACTAAAGATTATGTTGTATCTAAATAGTATCTTAGCTACCATTAAAAGTATTTTCGATTCTATCCGTTCCGGTTTCAGTCCTATCTTCTTTTATATCACGGTTCCAGTTTCGGTTCTATTTTTTTCGGAACCGCAGGGCTCTGTCATAAATTCAACTATCTCTCATTTACTCATAGCTTTTATAGTACAAAAAGAAAATATTTTTGTTGTCATTGATTTATTCAATCGTTAAATAACGAAAATTCAGTTCAATTATTATTTTTCTATTCTAATAGAAAACGAAAAAAGTAGAAACTTTCTATCTGATTCTTACATAGATATTCAACTATCATAATTTATGGAATTCTCTCCAATACTCATCAATTAGTATATATTGACATTTTTTATAGCAGTTAAGGTCAAACTTATAAAATTTTTATTGACGAAGTTTTGAACACTCTAAACATAGATTTTATTTCGATTTGTTTTTTTTCTTCATTTTTTGTATATTCAATGTCAATTTCAATGTTGTAGAAAAAACTTCAACAGATAACATTTTCGCAGACTTTTTGTCCAGAATTACAAAAATTTTATAGAGATTTTTAGTTTACGATATGATATTTGATAAAAATTCAATCATGAAATTTGTATATGAGAGTTTATTCATTGATAAATCTTCAAATCAAAATAACATTTTCTTCTAAAGATATTCAAATCTTGAAAAGAATTCATATAAAACAAAGAATATTACAAATATTCCAAGAAGAAAACATTTTTTTACAATGGATCATTTCAAAGAATTTTACAATAATGAATTAATCTATCATCTCTAAGCAAATTTTCAGATTGAAATATAATCATTCAATGTTTTTGCTCTACAGACTATGTTAGAGAATAAAATATCTTGAATTTCGAGAATTAAATCCTTTGAGATTATTTCCATCTCACTAACCTCCACTGAATATACAAAATTCGAAACTTAATAGTAATTGAAAATATTTTTTTCTAAATTATTTATTTCAATGAAACGACATATTTATCTTTCAATACATTTTATTTTTAATATAAACAGAAAAATAAAACATCACATTTGCTGATAATCATAAAATCTTTCATATACTATATCATTTATTTCTTTTTCTAATGTGTAAATATTATACAGATTCTATAGAATACATTTATTTTCTAATTATCTATTCAATAAAAATAACAAAGAATTCAAATAATAAATTATTATTGTGATCATTACAAAATCTCATTTTTGTCTTTAAAATAACAGAAAAATATCTTTTTAATTCGAAATAATAAAAGATAATAAAAAGAATTTTGCTTTTCCTAATTTATTAAAAACTTTAATATAAAATATCTAAAGTGGTGAAATTTTAACAATGTATTTCTATTAATTTTTTTAAATAATTAACAAAATTTCAAAATAATTCAATTTTACTTTTTAATTAAATATTATTTCATGTCTTATCATTCTTTCCTTTTACATACAATTAAAATAAATTTTCTATGTCTGTCACGTCTATTATTAGTGACTAAAGAAATTAATAATAGTCTTTTTTTTTTTATCTTCTTAGTCATCGCTTTTCTTTATTTTTATAGTTCTTTAGCAGAGGGTCATAGAGAATGAAAATTATTCTTTTGGAAATAAATTTTAAAAAACTTACTTTTTGATAAGATAGTTGAAATATCATTAATAAATGATCGTGGATTTTGTTCAATAGAAATATTTGGTGGATTATTCAATTCTTCTGTAATTTCTTTTAATTGGTTTCTTAAATAATTTAAGTTAATTTCATTAAATTCGTTTTCTTTCTGAAGTAGTTGTATTTGTTCACTTACATCATTAAATTTCATTTCAATACCATTAATACACGTTTCTGATGATTTAACGACACTTTCTCTGTATTCTTGTGCTTTTTGTTGAATTTTTCCAATTGAATTTCTTTCCCATTGATTAATTTGTTCTATTAACGGATGATTATGTGGGTTTTGTTTTCGTTCATTTATTCTTTGTTTAAATTCATTATATCCATTGGTGATAATATGTAATTCATCATGTAATAATTGTTTATGTTCTGCTAAGTCCACAAAACAAAATCTTTGTGAACATCCTTCACAAGGATATGTTATTTTTTCTTTATTACATTTAAAACATTGCGTCTTGTTGTTTGCCATTGCCATATTTTTGAATAGAAGTTTATAGAAGAAATGAACGTCTCCTTATTTGCTTTTATAAATATAAACTGCATGACTCAACAACAATAAAAGCATTGCTCGGTAGTAAAAGAAATGGAAAAAGAACTTTTTTATGACAAAATCCCACTGATAAAGCTGATGTGATACCTAAGATAGTCGTTTTATCGCTTCTTTTGTTCTTTATTCTTCCTCTTTCATAAAACAAGGATCATCCTTCTCTTCACAATATTCACTCCTTAAATACTCGCAACGATATCAGTAGTACATGAGGAAATGAAAGAGAAACACCATTCTTTATGGCAAGAGATATATCATGCCATAAGAAGTCAGACTAAAACTAGATATTAATTTGTTTCCAATTTCCAATAAAAAACCAAACAATTCTTGTGATGTATGCAAAGATTAAACATAGATCTGCACCTACAAGTTTATCTATCAGGTGAATAGTATATCAATCTCTTATTTACTCAACTGCATTGTTATGTTCACTTTCATCATCAATATCATCACTTTTGTTCTCAAAATAGTTATTGTGTGATATTCCTTTTTCATATTATTTCAAAAAACAAATTTACCTAAATGAAAGTATTTCAGAGAACTGAAATTCTAAATTTGTGATATTTTGTAATTATTTCGGTATAAATAAGAATTCCGTATGTCTCACTTTGAATTTCTGTTTTATCGATTAAATTTTTCTAACTGTTTTGGAAGAGAAAAACATTTGTTGTTTTGTGTTTTTTTCCAACTATAAATTTGATTTGAAAAAGAAATCTGACAAAACATGTCAAATGAAGAGGAGAAGAAAAATAACAAAAAATACGTTTTTATTTTTGATTAAATACATTTTTAGTATTTTATAACGAAACAATATTGAAGAATGAAAAGTAAATAACAGAGGTGTGACAGTTCTATATCAGCTCGCATGAATTGGAGCCGGAACTGATCACTATTTCCTCAGTACAGTTCGTCATAGTTCACGAGCTTGAACTGTCATATCCATAATATGCACGTATTTATATCCGATACCTGATGCTTTGGTCTGTGAACTAGTTCATGACAAATTTTTGAATATCACTTATCAGAATAAAAAATAAAATCTTTTTATGTACAACTTTTCTCCTAGTTGACTAGATCTGTTATCAATTTTATCATCATATTTATTTTTGAACATATCGGATATGATTGAGTATTACTATTAGCATTAATATATCATTTAATATCATGTAGATGTCGGTGTGGATTTGATCTATGAAGATAATACTCGCACACTCTCAATTAAATACTGATAATAATTGTAAAATAGATTAGAATCTAAAAAAATCTATTTTATATCAATGATGAAATAACATACTATGATATTAATTTGCTCTCAAGAGTAATGTATATCATGAAAAGAAAAAAAACGGAAATAACAACTATATGATAAAATAAACGCAAAAATAGGCAAAAAATAATAATTTCAATTTTCATAGATGAATACTTTTGAGATGTTCATGATATAGCGTTTATTACATTTCAAAAGGGTTCTTTAGATTGATTAAATTATACATCTACGTTGTTTATATAGTTTAAAAAGTATATTATTTTACCTTGTAGAAAATAGAACAAAGAGTAGATTAAATGTTAAACAAGTATCAAGAGAAAATAAATCTTCGTGTAAAATAATTATTTACCTTTTTAGTTTTTCCCTATACTAAATAGTTACTGTTAATCGTTCACATTTCATCACTAAATTTGTGTAGCCTAGAATATGTTTAATAGATTTTCATTCTAATTTAACTGCATTGTGACTTTTGTATCGTCGAAGAATAAGACAGAATGATACTGTTTACTAGAGATTTATTTTTATGAGAAACTAAGATGATTGATGATTAAGCAAAGATAACAGTAATGATCATCACTATGAGTCTACAATTTTGGATTTAGTTCAAAACTGATGAACTGAATTACTTGAACAGTTCATTTTGTTCAAAAGAACTATGTCTATCCTTCATCGTCACTGTAGGATATGCCTATCATAACTTGTTTTCACATCTTCAAATTGTTGTAATAGATTCTTTTTCTAATATTTTGAACATTTTAATCTCAATTGCATTGTGACATATATGTAAATATGCATCCTCATGTAGCAACCAAAGATGATGATCTTCATATATCTATATGACGTTTCAAAGTTAACATATCATTTATTGTTTTATTCGCTTCTCATATCCAACTAAGAAAATGAGTTTTATATTATTTTCTTTTCAATTAAAATCTTGAGATATTCAGCAATACTTCTATTGTAATTAATGTAGAACAATTTAAAACCTTCTTTTTGCTTCGGTAGACACATGATATATCGCTCTTTACATTTTCCTCTAATAACATTTTCAAATATAGAAATGGTGTTTTATATTAAATATATAACTAAAGCACTGAATAATCTTACTTCTGTCTCCTTATCTTTCTACTTTCCGTCGTTTAGGCTGTTCATAATATTTTATAATGAAATACTCCTCAATATCCACATGTTATACATCGATTCTTTAGTTAATTGTTAAACACGAACTAAAATGAGTGTTTAGGGATAGAAATTTGCACTCGCCACAGACGTGACAGTAGGTATTTTGTGTTTTGCACATTATAATTCCGCAGCGATTGCACGACACAGCTTTTCTATTTTATGTCAAAAAAGTACAAATACAGATACGAATCTTCGACTGATTGACTCTTATTCTTTTTATTCAGATTGTTGTTACAAATTTAGTATTAATAATTCAAGTATAATTGTCAAACACAAATTTCATATTATTATTTTATTATAAAATGAATAGTACGTATTTTGTTTTGTTTCATTTTCATACTTTAAAGCATTAAAAGATTTTGATGATATGCTTCTAAGATGTTCCGATATATTGAATCACTTCAAAATTGAAATATAAAATTCTGCTTGTGATATAATCAACGTTTTATTTATTTAATTGTATTATGAACGGTGATAGATATATATATATATAAGCACACTAGATCAATGTTGATGAGAAATGCTTTCGATAACTATGATGTAGTAGCATAGATTTTCTTTCAGTCAGAAACGAATTCAGTAGTGTTCGTTGTTTTATATAAATCACTTTCGTGCTTTTTTTCTATTTCCTTGCAGTGACAAATACTTATAGACGAGCTTTGGAATTCTGCCGAAAATTTAAACAGTACTGTCAAAATCTTAATTTATTTCCATCTGTACCACTTTCAACTGATGAACATGAACTTCAAAATCAAAAAATATCAACAAGACTATACATTTCTTTGTTCACCTTATCATTAACAATTCTTCTCTTATATACATCATTAACTGACATTACAAAAACTATCACTGTTGCAAAACCTACCCTCACAAAATATGAACAGTTATATTCAAAATATTCACAAACTCTTACATGTCCATGTAAACATATATCAATCAACTATGACAAATTTCTTTATATTAAGTATACATTTCATCAAGTATGCACCAGTGTTTTTATTACCGACGAATGGATTACACATAATGATGTGATTCTTCACTATTTATATACTAGCAACGATCCTCGAATAGTAGTTTCATATGCATTTCAAGCTTTAGGTGCATTTTGTGAATTAATCGAAAGTACAATTAATAATAGTCTGATTCAATTTAATTCAACTCAATATATCACTGCATCTGTCGCATCATCAGACTTATTTCAGTCACAAGCTCAATCATTCGTTGATCAGTTTAAATTATCAACAACCAATAATTTTTTATTATCCCTCAATATGATCAGAAAGACAACGCAAGGAAACGCTTTTCTTTCTGGACAATTAACAAATTACCAATTAATGGTATTAGATGACAAGCAGACTGTATTAACAATTTCCATGGCTTATTCTGGTTGCAGTTGTCATTTGTCAAGTACATGTGTGAACCAACTTTCCATTTATAAGAATGATTTTGGTAACATAACATTATTCGATGTACCAGGTTTCTATATAGGATGCTATGTAATTGAAGCATTACTTCAATCAACTCTTCAGTGCTTTTATGACCAAACCTGTATAGATGAATTACTACTTTACTTAACAACTGCTTCGCCAATAAATGTAACAGCTCTTGATCCATCTTTATCAAGTCAATATTCTGAAGATTCAACAATTGAAAATCTTCTTAATAGTTTAATGATCGAAGAATGGAATCCAATACAAATATACGATCGATATTATAATGAATGTCAACCTATAGAATGTACTTATACTATTAAAACAAGAAATAGCGTAATTTACATTATCACCACAATGTTTGGTATCGTTGGTGGTCTTATAACAGTTTTAAAACTTGTTGTACCACGGCTTGTCAAGTTCATAAGAAAGAAGAGAAGTCGATTATCACCATCAAACATTGGTAAGACAAAGTTAAAAATTTTCTGTGATGTTCGACACATGAAATATTTATTTTCAATGCTTAGGATATTTGAACAAAATGAGAAGTTGTGTAGTTCTAGTCAAAGTCGAAAAATATCCTGTGAAATTAGAAGAGAAAATTTTCTAGTCGACTATATGCTATTCTTTTTTTGACAATATTCGTTTTCGAGCACATTTAGGGTGTGATTGTGTGTATTATATTCAGCACACATTCACACACACTTTTAATTAGAAGTTCATTCATATATCTTTTCTTACAGGAGTTTCATTGGCTACCTACATTCGCAATTTGTTTCCAATATTGAAAAGTTACTTTTTAACATTAAATTTATTTCCATCTGTGCCAGCGTCAACTGATGAACATCAACTTAAAAATCAAAAAATATCAACAAGACTATACGTTTTATTGCTCATCCTATCAATAACAATTCTTCTCTTATATACATCATTAGCCGACATTACAAAAACTATCAATGTTCCTGCACCTGCTCTCACAAAATATGAACAGTTATACTCAAAATATTCACAAACTCTTACTTGTCCATGTCAACATATATCAATCAACTATGAAAAGTTTCTTTCTATTGAATATACATTTCATCAAGTATGCACTAGTTTTTTTATTACCGAGGAATGGATTTCATATCTGATGATGTCTAATGAAGCTACATCGGCTTATATTAACTTTCAATGGACAGCTTCAAATGCATTTCAAGCTTTACGTGGATTTTGTGAATTAGTTGAAAGTACAATTAATAATAGTTTGATTCAATTTAATTCAAGTCAATACATCACTGCATCTGTCGGATCATCAGAATTATTTAAGTCACAAGCTCAGTCATTTATTGATCAGTTTATATCATCAACAATAAATACTTTTGTGTTATCTCTTAATACCATTCGAAACTCAACTCACGGAGATAGTTTAGTCTCTGGCTTATGGACAAATTACGTAATAACCTTAGGTACATCCGTATCTAATGAAGCTATTGTTTTTACCGTTCCAGCCGGTTACTCTAAGTGTGGTTGTGCTCAATCAAGTACATGCATCGCACAATCTTCCATTTTGAGTAGTCAGACTAACATGGGAACTTTTTATGTACCAGGTTTCTATACAGGATGCTATGTAATTGAAGCATTACTTCAATCAACTCTTCAGTGCTTTTATGACCAAGCTTGTATAAATGAATTAATACTTTACTTATCATCTGTTTCGCCAATAAATGCAACAGCTCTTAACTCATCTTTATCAACCCAATATTCTGAAGATTCAACAATTGAAAATCTTCTTAATAGTTTAATGATCGAAGAATGGAATCCAACAAAAATATATGATCGATATTATGATGAATGTCAACCTATAGAATGTACTTATAGTATTAAAACAAGAAATAGCGTAATTTACATTATTACCACTATTTTTGGTATTATTGGTGGTCTCATAACAGTTCTAAGGTGCGTTGTACCACAAATGGTCAAGTTTGTCAGAAGGAAGAAAGAATTAACACAACCACTCATCGGTAAGTAATAGTCGAACAAAGCATCTTGAGAGTGCGGTGTGGGTGAGGATGTAAGAATAGAATAGATACTCTCACCCACGCCCATACTCTCAGAAAATTATGAATAATCAGAAAAACATTGTTATATTGAAGTGTAGATATCAAACAATTTACAAAGATCTTTTTGTTTTAAAATCTACACGGGCGAACAAATTAAATTTTAAGAATCAAATTTAATAACTATTTTATTTGTTTTTTTAAGTAATGTCTAAAAAGGAACGTGCTATGATATTGTGGCGAAAATGCACAAACTTATTGTTCAATTTTAATTTATTTCCATCAGTGCCACCTTCAACAGACGAGCATAAACTTCGAACTCAACGAATATCAACAAGATTATACATTTTATTGCTTATCCTATCATCAACAATTCTTCTTTTATACACTTCATTAGCCGACATTACAAAAACTATCAATGTTGCAACACCTACTGTCACAAAATATGAACAATTATATTCTAAGCATTCACAAACTCTTACTTGCCCATGTCAACATATATCAATAAACTATGAAAAGTTTCTTTCTATTGAATATACACTTCACCAAGTATGCACCAGTTTTTTTATCACCGACGATTGGATTTCATATCTTGCAATAGGTCGTATAGGTTATTATGTTACCGGTGACTTTCGAATAGCAGGCCCGTATCAGTTTGAAGCTTTGCGTGCATTTTGTGAGCTAATTAACAGTACGATGTCTTACAGATTGATTCAATTTAGTTCACAACAATATATCACTGCCTTTGTTACACCATTACAATTATTTCAGTCACAAGCTCAATCATTTATTGATCAGTTTAAATTATCAACAACCAATAATTTTTTATTATCCCTCAATATGAGCAGAAAGATCATTCAAGGAAATGCTTTACTTTCCGGTAGGCAAACAAATTACAAGCTAAACAAGGTAAACAAAACTTCTGTTTTAAGCACAAGTAGTCGAATTTACGACAACTGCATTTGCTCTTTATCAAACACATGTATCGATAATTCTTCCCTTTTTAATGGTCTCTATAATTACAGAGTTTTCAATGTAACAGGTTTCTATGTAGGATGTTATACGACTGAAGCATTGCTTCGATCTACTCTCGAATGCTTTTATAATCAGACCTGTATAGATAACTTACAAATTTATTTATCACCTCATTCGCCAATGTATGTAACAGCTCTTGATTCATCTTTACCAAGTCAATATTCTGAATATTCAACTATTGAAAATCTTCTTAATAATTTAATGATTGAAGAATGGAATCCAACACAAATGTATGATCGATATTATGATGAATGTCAACCTATAGAATGTACTTATACTATTAAAACAAGAAATAATATACTTTATGTTATCACGACATTAATTGGTATAATTGGTGGATTAACAAGAGTTTCAAAAATTCTCGTACCAATATCAGTTAAAATCATCGTATATTGTATTCGAAAATGGAGAAATAGAGTGGTTCCACAAATATCAATTATTCAGACATGATTTTTTTTTCTTTGCAGAGATTAATCATGTGTTCTATCAGAAACTTATGTGCAAATGAACAAGTTAAACAATTGATTGACTGAAAGCTTTTAAATGACATTTTTTTTCTTTTTTTGTACTAGTTAAAAGACTTTACAAATAACAAATAAAAAAAATTAACTCTTGAGATTGAATGTGGATGTGATAGTATTATTCATAGTCCAATCACAGCCACATTCATTGTATTTTCAGTCAACTGTTATTCACCAGCAGAACAAAGATGTTCAACATGAATGTCATTGTTTATTATGTCTACTGACAGATAGATTATGGGCACCATGTTAGTTAAAAATCAAATTCTAGGGTAAACTTCATCCTTTATTCGTAAAAATGAATATTTTTATGAAGAATGAATTTGACTTGAGAAAATATCAAATTTACTTAAATAAAATAATACATATGAAGTGTAGGATGATTTATTTTTATTAAATCAAAAGAAATGTTCATCTCTATGGATACGATTATCGTTATTATTGTACTAAAGATGATTGATAAAAACAGATTGCTTACAACTGAAAATTCTACATTATTATATTTCTTTCGATTTAATAAAAATGAATCATCCTACATTTCATTTACGTTATTTACTAATTAAACTATTTTATCAACAAATTTTTTTCATATTATATAAAGTTATTTTCTTGTTGATTACACCAATCTTACTGAAATAGAAAACTAGAGAAAAAAAAGAATATGCGCTTATCGTTTAAGTAAAATTGGAAAAAAAGTATTAGACTCAATAATATTCTAGTTTCGACATATATATTGTTTAGAATAAAAGAAAGAAATTGTAAATTATTGTCGCTGTATGTTTCAAAATCCTTATAGTTATCATTTAAATTAATTTGACGAACTATTTTGGGAATCGCTAATCTTCATATTTCATAATACTTTTACAATTTAATAATCATTCAAACACTAATCTAAAGACATTCATATCATTTTCTTCTTGAAGAAAAACACTTAATGAATATAAACTGTTTGACTACACATAAACAAAAAAAAACAAATCTAATTTTCATTTTGAAGATATTCATGATATTCTCCACTCATTTTACTCTCTTTAACTTTCAACAATTTTTTATGATGAAAGCAATATCCTAAGTATTCTATATTGTCAGGAAATTAATTCTTTTTTTGACAAAATTAAAATGAGAGATGTTTTCATGTATAAATATTAATAGTTTTTTTTCATATTTTTACTCAAAACTGTTTTCTTCAAATAGATAGATCACAATGTCGTATCAATTATTCATTATCATAGTTGTTATTAATGCTATTGGATTTATTAATTCGACAATATGTAAGACCTTTAAACTATCTATATTGATTTTGAAGAAGATTTCATTTAATTGTAGTATATGTCAATGTATCATTCACCGCAGTTTGGGCTGAAAATGCAACAACAGTAGCAGGATTATCGAATGGTACAGCTGGAACATCAAATAATACTCTCAATTCTCCTCGTGGTTTAAGTATTTCAAGTGATGATATTTTATATACAGCTGAATGGAGAAGTGCTCGAATAGTCGTAGTTAATTTAACTAGTTTACAAGTTATTAATATCATTGGATCAGGCTCAGGTAGTGCAATCTATCAGTTTGATCATTCTTATGACGTTATGATTGTCAGTCAATCATTATACGTATATGATTCATGGAACCACCGGATACAAGAATGGTCAAGGAATGGTACAAATCCATCGACTATATTAACAGGAAGCTTTGGTCATGGTTTTCATGAATTTAAAGATAAAAATAATAACTTATACATAAGTGTATATGATAGTCATGTTGTATTACGATTTGCACCAAATTCACAAACTGCAATAACAATTGCTGGTACTGGAGTTGCTGGAACTTTATCAAGTCAATTGAATTCACCTAATGGGATATTTGTTGACGATGACCTTACTTTATATATTGCTGAACATCTAAATCATCGCATTTCAATGTGGAAATATGGATCATTTTTTGGAACAATAGTTGCTGGTACAGGAACACCTGGTAGTAGTTTACAACAACTCAATAAACCTACTGACGTTGTTCTAGATCCATACGGATATATGTATATTACTGAAGAAGGAAATAACCGAATTGTTCGATGGAAACTTGGTTCTGACTCTGGCATTTGCATAGCAGCTTGTACTGGTATCAATGGAACTCGAATGAATCAGTTATATGCTCCTGTTAGCATTGCATTTGATAGTACCGGCTCATTATATACTAGTGATTATTTTAATAATAGAGTACAAAAATTTCAATTTCTGTATAATGCAAGTAAGAATATGATCAGTTTATTATTAGAAAAACATTCTCTTCTAAAATTTTCTTAGATCAAACAACAATAACAACTACAGGTCACTCGATTGCAACAGGTAATTTACAAAAGAGAAAGATTATTTAGATCTTACATTATTTGCTCACTAATGAACATATAATTTTATTCTTAGTACCGACTGCATCAACCTTACGTATTACGACAAAATCGACTACAAAAATAACAACAACAAAGCGCAGCTTAATGACTTCTACGACAAATAATGGTCAAAAAATATCAGCATCTTTTACATTATCTGGAACAACAATTATGGGATGTTATCTTCTATTTATGACTCTATATTATAACTGCTAATAATGAATTTTACATTACTCATAAACTGTAAAATATTGAACTCTTAAAATTAAAATTTAAAATAAAAGAAACATTATCATTCAATTAATAGTCACAAATAAAGCTTTTATCATAGAATATGCTAAAAGAAGTTCATATACAAAATCTTGAGGGTGTGGATGTGACTTCTCTGGCATCCTCACTCATCCTAGTTTATATATGTCTATTACTTTACCGAGAATAACAATAAAGTAAATGCATCTTTCTTATCTTTGTATAAGAAAAATATTGGTTTGAAGAACAATATACGTTTTATATAGGACATTTTTTATTTGAATTCGGTCAAATGTCCTAGTTTAGATATTATTCTCTTTAATAGATTTTACAATCGAAGATATTTTCATTGTCTTTCATGTGTTATTTAAGCATTTACTATTGATCTGTTTTCTATAAACAAATTCTTTTTCGATCAAAACATAAAATTTGCATGAACTTTCGGGTGTGTACAATACACATACTTTCATTAACTTATTACAAAGTAATCTGCTAGGTCATATTTTCTAAATTTTATTTGAAATTGTTCTTTTCGTAACATAATGCGTTAAACAGAAATATTATATTGTGAATATGGCACAGACAGCATTGATATTAAATGTTTTTCACATAATTTTAATCGTAAAACAACGCCAGTTATTATAATTCTTCAATCTTCTAGGTTTCAATTCTTTGTATTTCAGTATGGGTAAATTAAAGGAAATGAGAAATAAAGACATCACTTAGATTCATCTCTTTCGCAACATAACTATATCACATACAATAACAAAAATGTTAAAGTTTTGTTTTCTTTTTAATCTATATTATACTGATAGCAAAATGATTCATTACTAAAATTACTGTCCAGTAGAACAAACAAGATGGGAAAGTGTGCGTTTCGATATTAGAAAGATAAGATTGAAGAGGTTCAACATCTACCACAACATAATTCATCAGCGACGCATTAACGAGATGTGGATGGCTGCGGATGTAAGTTTAACACAGATATTATTCCCTCATGCATCCACACCCTCACCCAAATGTTGGGTGTATGTAATTTAAAACTCTTAGTGACATATATGTGAAAAAACCCAACGTATAAAGGTTTACAATGATATCATATATACTTGGAGGAAATGCTTTACTTGCACAATTTTCAAAGGTAAAGAAAAAATCATAAAATGGCGTATAATTATGAATATATAGACGAATCTTCGATTGATGTTAGTTTAAAATTTCTTATTTGTTCAGATCCATATACAAATCCTTGTTCAACAGTATGTGATCATACTTTTTGTCGATCATGTATTACAAAATGGTTAGAAACAAGTGATCGATGTTCTGCATGTAGTAAAAAGCCAATGACAAATGAAGGTTTATATCCAACGAATCGTGTTGTTTTTGATATACTTGATCGTCTTCTTGTTCAATGTAAAGCTTGTCGACAAACAAATATTCAACGAGGCAATTTTGATGAACATTCAAATCGATATTGTTTGAAAACATTTACAGCCTGTTTAGCTGTAGATCTTAAATGTCCTTGGCAAGGACCTCGAGATCAATTAACTGCACATTTATCGACATGTTCGTATGAAGTTATGCGACCAGTTCTCACACATTTAATGAGTACAATCAATAATCTTACTGTTCGAATGCAGCAATATGAAAACCAACATACAGATTATCAGAATCGTATGGATTTATTTGAAAACTGTTTGTTCACAACAAACAAATGTATTGAAACACTTGAAAACGACTGATCTTCGACGTGAAGGTGATTGTAAACAACTCAATGAAAGAATGAAACTTATGCAAATATTATCAAGTAAATTAATTGAACATATATATCTAATGTATTACCACTCTTATCATTTTAGATCCGACCGTTAATAGCAATCCACGTCTTGAGACGATACTTTCTCAATGTCCTATTAATTCAACAATTAATTTGATTGATTTACGATTAAATAATTTTGATATTCCTTTTATTATTCGTCATGCAATCATTCGCAAACAATGCTTAGTATTAAATTTAAGTAATAATTTAATTGAATCAAATGGAATTGAATTGTTAGCAAATGCAATACGCTCAAATCTTATTCTTAAACGATTATGTTTAAAAGGAAATCAAATTGGTTCCATAGGTGTAGACTTTTTAGCAAAAGCATTAATGATTAATAGTACACTTGAAGTTTTGGATTTAGAATCGAATAATATAGCAAATTTAGGTGTACAATCATTAGCTGAAATGGTTCGTGAAAATCGAACATTAAAAGATCTTCATCTTGGTTATAATTGCATTGAAAATAGAGGAATGGAAGTTTTTTTAAATGCAATAGACAATAATAAATCAACAATTGAATTACTGAGTTTATCTGGTAATTGCTTAGATGATAAATGTCTTGATAATCTTGAGAAAATGATTCATGACAATAAGAAATTGCGACAACTTGATTTATATGAAAATCATTTTTCATTAGAAGGAAAAACAAGATTATTAAAAATTGGACATATCAAGAAAGGTTTTAAAATGAACATATAATGAAATTTATCACAAGTTTTTTTTATAGTTTTTTTCAAATAAAATCAACAAATTTGATTTTCTTCTCTTCTTTCTATTGGCACTATGATTAGCAACCTTTGAAACAACACCAATTAGGATCAGTCTTGAGGGTGGAGGCGGGTGTGAGTGTCGTTATTCTCCACCCATTTACATCCCACCCTAACCTTCACCCGCACCCTCAAGATTCATTGCATCGATCTTTCATAGTACTTATGCAAGAGAAAATTTATTTATATGACAGAAATATCTCCATATAAATAGTTGCATGATTTTATACACATTAATCTATTGTATTACTTTTTATACGTCATAGAAAATCTTTGTAGGCAACTTCAATTATGCTTGATTAGGATTCCATTACTATTTTATTAGAATTAAACTTTACATTTTATCTTTTGTTTTTGAGAACGCTACCTCATTATATCCACCATATGTAATAGGCAGAACAGAATAATTGTATGCACGATAGAATGACGTCAAGCAAAAAAGTGAAAAGAGAGATGCACCATCTGATAAATTATTTTCTTCGTCATTTGGTTAGCAGAAAAGAAGAAAATAAATATTTAAAGAAAGTAGATAAAGAAAAAAATACAAAGAAAAGATAGAAAAATATACTAAACTTGTGAAATACTTCAAAAGATCTTGAGAAAATAGATGAATCTTGAAGCACAGAACAACTCATATTTACCTTGCCAAGAGTATATTCACTATAATTACAAACAAGTATGATTTTGATACGAATTGTAATATATAATTAGAAGAAAAGAAAAAGTCGAGGTAGAAAATGTAAGTATTCATCATTAATGTATATCTTGTTAGAGAAAGTCTTTATTTAAAATAGAAAAAAATAAAATCATTTCTCTTATGCATCATTTTCATTAGTATAATAGATATATTTGAAAATAACATTATATTTAAATATATTAATTCTGATTAAATTGTAGATATAGGTGTTATATTAATCTATTTAAATATGTTTATTATTATAAATATGTTTTTTTTGTTGAAAGATTGAGCATGAGAAATAGATGAAGATGACAAGTTTATAACACTCAACTATATTGTTAGACTTAATATAGATTTAAGATTATTTGATATATATATATATATATAACAGATATGAATAGGACTAATATGCACTCAAAATCCATTTGCAATGATGATATTATCTAGTAAAAAAACATATTTTAAGAACGCTCATTAGACTTAAATATAAGGAAATCTTCAAACACTTGCTGTGCACATCTGTATAATTGCTTATCTGTCAGACGTATAATTTTTTACGCCAAAAAATATAGATGAAAGAAAATATATTAGAATTAGTTAGTTTATTTTCTTTTGATATTTTTTCTTTGTAGATAATATAAAATACGTCAGCTAGACATATTAAATAAGTTCCTCGTTTAATACAAAAAATCTCGAGATATTGGAAGCGTATAGTTAAATAATTGCATTTTTTGTTAGGTATTGAAAGAAAATAGTATGTACTTAATCGGTTTTTTATGACGTCTTTTGTGATACTTTTGACCTTTAAGTTTCTATCAGACGAGATTTTGAGCAGCAGACATCCTAATTATCGTTAATATATCATCTAAAATAAAGATTAAAGACGTAATTGTCACACTATCAATATCATATAAAATAACCAAAACGAAGAATTTCCTACAGATTAGACATATATTTCTATTCACATACAATACATAGAACTTAATAAAAAGACTTCTTATCGAATCTATCCCATATTACACAATTTCGATAAATAATAAATTAACAAACATAACTTTCTAACTTTAGATTAAAATGTCATCAGCCGATGTGACAATCAATCAATTAACTCTAGCAACAACAACAATTGTTCTTATTCTATTATGTATTGCATTTACAATAGGTATCATTGGTCTATTTTTAAATATTATTGTTTTTACACGACCAGCTTTATGTCGTGAACCATGTTCATTTTATTTCTTATCATCAACATATTTTAATTTGTTTGTAGTACTTATTGTCATACCTGTTCGTATTCTTTCCAATAGCTTCAATATAGATCTAGGTTTTTATAATGTTGGCATTTGTAAAGTAGAATATTTTGCTTTCTATTCAATCCGTACAATATCTTGTTGGTTAATTACATTAGCATGTATTGATCGATATATACATAGTTCAGCAAAATCTCATATCCGACGATTAAGTTCATTAAAAATAGCAAAAATAACCAGTGGAATTATTATTATTTTAATACCCATTTTATATAGTCATATGATTATTTATATGAATATAACATATTCGAATAATCAATTAGGAAATAGAGTACCTAATTGTATATCAAATAATGATATTCATCGGGTATTTCTTGCAATTTGGTATATGACTTTATATTCACTTTGTCCATCGTTTTTAATGATTCTTTTTGGTTTTCTTACATTAAACAATATTCGTCAACGTCGTCAAGCAGTTGCAAGAGTAACGAAAAACGATCGAATTACTCGACGTACAGATAGTCAATTGTTAAGTATGTTAGCGGCTCAAGTATTTGTCATTGTTATTACTACTCTACCACAATCAATTATTCAACTTTATGTAACATTCACTGCAAATGTAGTTAAAGATAAACTTCGACTTGCTCAAGAAAATTTAGCAAGTAAAACTCTTGGTGGAATGACATTCTTTGCTCATTCAAGTAGTTTTTATTTCTTTACATTGTCTGGTACGGTTTTTCGCAAGGAACTTCAGAAGTTTCTTCGGCAATATATATATCCACATCAAAATCGTGTACACATAAATAGTGGCGAAACACGGCTTCCATCAGCTGTACCTGGAAATCAACAAATCAATTGTAATAATATCATTTGAGAATAAACTAGTTCTTATTTTTTCTGTATAGTAAAGTAGATTTTTATAGTAATAAATAAGGAAGAATCAACATTCTATATGAAGCTTTTTATTTTAGCAATCAGAACAAGAAAGAAAAATTAAGTTGCATTCGCCCAAAATCCTACCGATTCTCTTATGAACTTTTTGTTCGGATTTCATTCACTTAATATCATCTATTATATTTTCTGGCATGATTGATTTGTAATGTGTATGTGTGTAAACGAGAATGAATAAATAATCAACCTTGAAACGTAAGAGGTAGAATAAAAGATAAAACTCTTAATTAGCAGTATGATATTTTTCAAACATTCTATCGACTATACGAAACAAAACAGACAATTGAAGACATAATTATGATATATTAAATTACAATATTTTATGTTGTTACTCTATCAAATTAATCAATAGTCAAAGCAAATGATAGTTGGTTTGTTTTCATTTAAAATCTCGTAAGGAAATAAATGTCTGCATGACGATATTTACATCCGAGATAGAACATATTATGCTTTAAGAAGAAGAAAAATTATTTATTAAGTAAGTATTGACATAAAAGTTTTTATACAAATATTTCCTATAAGAATTTCATTGAATTATGATAGACTAACAACATAAAATTAATAGTGCTCCATCATCGTTATCATCAAAATCGAATTTGTTGAATGATACGATATGGAGTGATTGACAACGAACTAATTTAAATTTTTCTAGGAAAATAAAAACAAAAATTATGATAAATATATATATGTATATATATAATTATTACTTTTCATATCAATTAAGTAGTCAAAAAATTCATATAAATCGTTGAGAACATACTCAATATATTCATAGTCATACAAATTTGGAAATTGATCTTGTAAATTAAAAAGTTGTTCATGATTCGATATTGTACACTAATGTTCTTCATCTAAACAAGAAATTTCGTTCAAAATTCTATTATATGGTATTCTGATTATATTTGTTACCATTGATAACAGTACAAGTATATTAATTTCCATTTATTAAATATATGGCACTGTTCATTAGTTATATAATTATACTTTTATTCGTGATTTTTGCATCTTAACTACAAGTCTTGAGGGTGTGGGTCTGGGTCTGGGTATGGGTATGGGTGTGAGTATGAGTACTATATGCATCGCATAATCACACCTACACCCATGTCGAATAACATCGATAAATTGTATCATTATGTTCATCATCAAAGTGAAATCTATCGATCGATGTAATATGGAATGATTTACATGGAACTAATTTCATTTTTTCTAGCAAAACAAAAAGATAGAGTATGACAAATATATATATATATAATTATTACTTTTGATATAAACTAAGTAGTCTAAAAATCCATATAAATTATCGAGGGCCGAATCAATATAATTGTAATTAAAAGCATCTGGAAAATCATCTTCGAAACTCATTATATGTTCAATATGTACAATATGCATATGGATGTTCTTAATCTAAACAAGAAATTTTACTCAAAAATATATTACATGATACTGCGATTATATTAATTACCATTGTTAACAGTAAAATGATGTTATTTTCCATTTTCAATAGTTATATAATATGCGGCACTGTTCATAAATTATGCAATTATACTTTTATGGGTGGGGTGTGAGTGCAACATATATAGATAGCCATACCCACACCCCCATTCACACAAACACACACACACAATATTCTGGAAAAACTGGTTTTCTAGAAACCATCTTATAAAGTCCTAAGAAGATTTCTTATACTCATATTCGGATTCAGCATAACCGATAATCTCTGGCTCATTGCTTTCATGGAAAAAGCGATTTGATAGTTGAAAAGATTCTCTCATAAGAGTGCTACACAACAGTACAATTTGATATTCCGTTTGATCATTTGTGGAAAAAAATTAGATAAACGTCTCTTTTCTTAGCTACAACAATAATATCTATAATTGAAGTTTCAACATTCCTAACTTTTTCATCTGAAAATAGGTGATTAGATGGAAGCCACCGTCAAACGTTTTATATAGGAACTAATAATAGGCTGTAACGAGTGATGTTGAATATTATCATAGTTCAGTACTTTATTTATTTAACTTTACAATCACTACGAGATGAGCACCTTTCTTCTCAGAAATCATAGGTTTCTTTGCAACATTATTAATATAGGCCTCCGAGACCCAGAGGTCCTCCATAATATAGGATTTAAGGATGCAAAGAGATCCTCGTAATATAGACTTTGAAGGCCGAATTATACCGGTATATAATAAGACTTTAGCGCCTATGAATACTTCTTTATTGTAGTTCTTGAGCACTTGCGGATACTTCCACAGTTCATCAATACCAATATCAATTCTTATCAATACCTGTCAATACCAATACCTCAATACTGCATTAGTATTATTACATTCTTATTTGTGGCTGAGAAAGAGAAACGATAGAGTCATTTTTAGCCATTGAGATTCAGTCTTTGCTTGAAGGAAGACGAAAATTTTAACTCTGTCACACCTTTTTTTAATTCTCAAGATCTATCTCTTTTGACCAGTTGAGCATTTTCTGATGAATTGCCTTTCATAACTTTCATACAAAGACTGATGGGAATGGTTTTAAGGAATACGTGTTTACTCGTTATGATATGAACTACATTCCCAACATCCAGTCACTATGTTGGATCAATATTATATCTTCCAAAGATATTTTTTTATGAAATACACAATCTTTGAGCACCTCTTGCTTCAATTCTTATAATCAAGAATCATCAATTCCTAACGCTTTCTCTTGAACACTCCTTGATGATTTAATATTTGAATAATCTTATTTTAGTTCGTTTGTGAATACTGACGATTTTTCCTTTGTACTCTTTTGTGATACCTTATATCCAATAAAATGAAATATATAAAGAATAGACAATCAATATAAAATGCATCTTGAGTGTGGGTGTGGGTGGTGATTGGGCTGTGAGGATGAGTATGAGTACTATATGCATCACATACCCACACTCATACCTCCACCTCCACCCTCAAGATCAGTTTGAGAAAACTCGATGTACCCAAAACGATCATTCCAACCATCGATAACGGCATCTTAAACGCCCTAAAATAATTAGCAAACAGTGTACTACTACATAAATTCTTACCGTGTTTTGTCGTAATCCTTCATCTCGGAAAAGAAGCCGTTTTATACCATTTTTACATCGTTCGTGGTCGTTTACGTTACCGTTGTTTTTAAGTTGGAATCGATGTATTAGTCTTAAATAAAAATAAACATATAGAACATGTGTCTTTGCATATAAAAAAAAATAAAAAATTTGAAGAACGAATCAGATGATTATTCTAGTTAGGAAAGTGACAAGGAAATTAGAATGATGTTACACTCTAAATAAATTAGGTAGTCCACTGAACTCCCAAAAAAGGTTTCGTCGTGACAAAAAAGTCTCCAAACATGTTCAAAGTTTGAGTAACACAATAAAAAATTCTACGAAATCATTAAAGGATCTTCCCGTGTATCGGACGGAAGAACTTTTACCTACGAAACCTTTTTTTAAGTTCAGGACACCAAAAAAAGGTTTCGTAGTAAAATACGAAGCTTTTATGATTTCGTATTAAACTACACAAGAAACTTAGGGTTTAGTACGAAACTATTAAGGTTTCAAATGAGACTCTGAAGGTTTCGTAATTTACTACGAAACCTGTTTTTGGTGTCCTGAACTTAAAGAGAAAGTATCAACTCGTAACGGTCGGTTACGAAAGCCCAGTGTTTTTTTAAGTTTTACTGGGCTTTCGTATCGCCTTATTAACAGGGCTTTCGTAATCAAAACTTAATGCACTTTCTTATCGATTTTACAGGGATATCGTATCAGTTTTGACAGGGCTTTCGTATCACAAATATACAGGGCTTTCGTATCTTATTGACAAAGTGTACCTATACATTTTACAGGACCTTCGTATCGTTTTTTGCAGGGTCTTCGTACCGCTCGTACAGGGTTATCGTAAAGCCGAAATTGTTAATATTATCTCAAATTAAATACTATTAACAGAGCTTTCGTATTGATGTAAGTATTTTATCAAAGTAACCATGAACAAAGTTCAAGAGTAGCAAGAAAGAACCAGAATATAAATGAACACATCTTAATCTTTTTTTTAAATTTATTTCCTAACAACACAAAGAAGATATGAAGAACAAAAAATAACACAACAACAAAAAGACTTTTTATTCGATACGAATGGATCGTACTTACTAACTAAACATATATACATATATACATATATATATATATATATATATACTCTCAAGAGTATTCGCAACGAATACCTTGTTTTCTTATGGAGTATTAGTCTCTTAGCTTACGTGTCAATACAATAAAAAATTCGTTACGAATGCCCTGTTAAAACCGATACGAAAGCCCTGTTAAATTCCGGTATAAAAGCCCCGTTAAAACTCGATACGAAAGCTCTGTTAAAATCGATACGAAAGCCCAGTTAAACTCAGGTACGAAAGCCCTGTTGAAAAAAACTGACAGGGCTTTCGGGTTACGAAAGCCCGGTAAATCCACCGTTACGAGTTGATATTTCCCCAACTTAAAAAAAGGTTTCGTAGGTAAAAGTTCTTCCGTCCGATACACGGGAAGATCCTTTAATGGTTTCGTAGAATTTTTTACTGTGTTTTTCAAACTTTGAACATGTTTGGAGACTTTTTCGTCACGACGAAACCTTTTTTGGGAGTTCAGTGGACCACCTAATTTATTTAGTGTGTAGTCAGATATTAAATATGTTAGGTGAAAAAATTCTCAATTACTTATAATATAAGTGCGCGGTATCGTATTAGCAGCGATGAGCATAATGAATAAAATTTTAAAAGATAAACAAAAATTAAATTGTAAGAGAAACGAATTTAAGATACAAAATCTAATTAGCATCGTTACAATCAAATATGTATAGAAAGAGAACGATAAAATAAGTTGAAAAGAATTATAATTCTAAGTCATATATTCATGAGAAATTGAATGAATTATATAAAATAGATAAAGAAACCCAGAACGATGGTTCCTGAAGCAGGTTTCCATGAATTTCCGGCAAAGTCCCTAAGGAAACTCGCCATTTTCGGGCGGAACCCGCTCGAAAAATACCAGGGATTCGATGGAGAAGTGAGGTAACCGTATCCGGCTGCCGGTTTTGACATGTTTCTGACGGTTCCGGCCCAAACCAGATAGATCTAGTCACCAGATCCATTCAACTGGAATACTGCTTCCATGAAATCTCCGGAATACCACGGAACTGGCCGTTTCCGTGCCGGATTGTTCGACCTGGGATTTCAAACAAATTTTCACATTTTCTTTTGTTAAGTTTAATGGAAACTGTTTCATCTTATTTGTTTCGGTTGACAGTTTTCTTCTTTTCTGATCACAATTATAATTTTATTTTTCTCTCTTCATTTCCTAAGTTCTTTGAATTCAAATAATTTCATTTGATTATAAAATGATTTATTAACAAGATTTTTCTAATCTATGTACAGGTTTGATTGATGCATATTTTATGCCAAGAAAAAATGAAAAAAAAATACAAATAAAAAAACCAGTTAGTTGTACAAATATCATTGATATATATGATAAATCATATAGAATTTCCATTGGTCGACATGTAGTAGCAGTAGCCAGTTGAATCAAAACTGATGAACATACAAGATTGATAAGAACTAGACGAAACCAACAAAACCATCGATATGGATTATTTAAATGAATAGGAGTAAATTTTTTAAATATCTCTTGAGATACATAAATGAAAATGAACGCACAAAAACATAAAATCCAGTCTATGACACTCATTGACATATAACTATCGATGTTCTTGATAGTATTTTTTCTTAATTGCAATGAACATCGTTCTAAAAAATAGATATATTGATATTAAAAATTAAATATTGATATTTATGGATAGTAATCTAACATCCTAGGGACAAACATCAGACTTCATTAGAGTTCAAAGACTTCATGAAACTTCACGCAAAAAGCCTCTGTTGTGTCCCTCTAATAAACATCACATATGATTCAAGCTTTCAAATAAGCATCGATTTATCGAAGACTACAATATGTACTATACTATCGGTCTCATTTCGAAAGTATTTTTATCATAGAAGATTGCATAAAAATGTGTGAAGATTTTGAAAAATCTGTTAAAATCTCAAAAACTAATTTGACTTTAGTTCTCTTAAATGATGTTGATACGTTCGACTAGTTTGTACCATCGACAATATCCAAATCAAATACAGCTATTAGATTTATTTTTCACTATCGATAATGTTACAAAAATTCTATTCAGTAAAATATACTCTTTGACTATTTGTTTCTCGATTGATTTCATTTCTTTGTAATAATATATTCGAATTATAATTAAAAAAACACTTTCTACAATTATTCATACATCAAATCGAAATTTATAAATATACAGACGATACTGAGATCCATAATGCAATAGATATAAGATTTATTTATCTAATCAGATACCTATTGTTTGAAGTTTACCTTTCCAATTATTTATTTACTTTTCTAATCAAATAAAAGATAATTTCTTACCTGCTAAAGTCCATTCAAAAGGTGTATACGACATCAATGAAATATTAGCTGAAGATAAAAATGATTTCATGTGTGATACTGAACCACCACTTATAAGAGGTGGCCAAATATATAAACAAAAGCAAAATAATAATACCAAAAAATGTACTAATTCTAATCGAGTTAACCAAGTAAATAAACGACTCATTCTTGTTTTCAATCTAAAAACAAAATCATATAAATATACTTTAATAATTTAACAATGAATTTAACATTCATATATTATCTCGAAATTTAATCTCATTTTCAAAAATATTATTAGTCATCTTTTCAAAGATTTTAGATTCTGTTTAAAAAATAAAACATTTTTCTCTAAAACAATAATATTAATCAATATAATTAAAGTTTTCATCAATGAAAATAACCTAAAACTTGTTTTATTGATGTAGAATTCTCTCTTTTTTTCTAGTTTAATTTAAAATCTTGGATATTCAAAAATAACTAATTATATTTATTGATAATATTCTCAAATTTAGTTTTAATTATAGAAGATTGCTTTTTTTCTGATATCAATGAGGAAAAATTGAACTTGTAAGATTAGCTTGAATAATAGATAAATATTCGGTTACTATATTTAGAAATAAATTTGATTAACCTAATAAAATATGATTTTGATAAAAAATGATACACTCAGCTATAACCAAATACTTTCATGAAATTAATTTGTTCTTTCTATAATAATCATACCCGAAATGATGATAAGAGTTAAAAATGTTTGTATTTAACATTGATGGTTTTTGTTTTTGTTGATGTGGAACAGGAAATGATTGAACTGTTGTCATATTTATATCACTGAAATGAAAAAAATTAATTCTCTATAGAAAAATATTCATAAAAGACGTTCTTAATAAAATTTGTTAAACAAAATTCGACAAACTGAAATATCTTTATCATTACTTTTCTATTCAGTTAATATTCATTTCAATAAGATAAATTAATCTAATTGCTATAAATCTTGAGGATATATTTGAATTTCCAAAAAGAAGCAATTCTTAACCATAAAATTTTCATTGATCAAAGTTTTCACTGACTTTTCATATTATAAATGAATGTTTTAAATATTATGTGCTATCCTTGATTAATAAATATATTTTATTTACTTACATCTATTGAAAATAATCTGCCAATGTCGATGACACTTTATTGTATAAATCGATATGAACGAATATATGTTACTTCTGTTTCAAGGATAATATTTATAGCCCTTGCACTATAGTTGACCGAAAGAAAACAATGATTGAACTTTCTCGACTTGTCTTTGCAATAAGAAGAATAACTATCGGTCAAAATATAGGAAACAAATTGTGAACGTGGACGATCAAGGTGTAGGTTAGGAGAGGAGACATCTACCCACACTGACACTCTCAACAAATCATATAATGTCAATTTGCTTACTCGGGAAAAAGGTCTTCCTTTTTTTTAAAGTAATTTTTAATTAATAAATTTTTTGTTTTATTCCCCCTACTTGAAATACGATTATGCGTCGAGCAGATATCTCAGAAAAAAAACGAGTTGATTAAAACTTCTAATCCTTTCCCGTTAAAAGGCTTCATCGAAAGATAATCGAGATCGAGGAACTCAAATCTGAAGTCAGTTTGCTGGTAGTGAAGACACACTGTTTCTACGGGAAAGAGCTGAGCAAGTCTCCAGACAAGCGTTACTTGTATCTTTAACTATTTTTTGGACCAATCAGTGAAATGCAAACACACAAGCAAGAAAACAGTTTATTCTTGCAAGACTCTTCTCTACGAAATAGAGAATATGGTCTATCTAAGTAAGGATGTGGATGTTGGTAGAATAAATAGCACACACACGCACACCCTTATTTTAGTATGAAATTATATGAATATAGAAAATCTATTCGTACTTAAATTATCACGATAATATTATATTCAGACAAATAAAACTAACTAAAGCATTATAACTATTACTAATCATTTAATAAGTTTACAGTTTTTGTATCTTCAATTAATCTATAAATAGTTAAATTTCTTAAACTAAAATTTTATCTCGAGTACAGATATGTCAGCAGTTTCAATTTGTAGATCATCAAATACAAAACATAATTTTTATCTGAGGCATGCAATATTGTTTTATTATAATGAAAGCTTAAAAAATATATGGAAAAACAATGATGACTAATAGTTGACGTCGCTATTGTTTATTATTATAGAAGAATCGAGAGAAAAAAACATGTTTTCTGTTCTGTGTGTTTTACTAAACACGTTGCACTGAGTAAATACTTTTATCATAATTTATCATACGAAGTTAGTGCTGAGTCATTTTTCTTACAGTATAGTTGTGCAATTTTCTTCTTCGTCATTTGCCACGTTTATGCTTTGATCATTAATCCAATAAAATGTGCAGTACTTAATATGAAATTTTTCATGTAACATATAATAAAATTGATTACACATTATATAGATCTCTTTTTCTTGTTTTCTTTTCAAGATGAATAGAGATAAAACTGATACGAAGAAACCTAGTTATTGGTACTGCGATAGATGCGGTCGTAGCATAAACCATGGTGAATTTCGCTATAATTGTACTGTTTGCGATAATTATGATTATTGTGAACAATGTGCTACAACAGCTACTCCAATACATCCACATCGAATGGTTCCTGAGCTTGCGTATGGTCTCGAAGAAAGTCGAGAGTGTGGTAGAGTAGATTTTTCTACTGGAATTCGAGCTGCAATAGCAAAATATTGTGATCGTCATTGTTTGGGTACACGAGATATTGATAATGACAATCCTTCCATCTATAAAGATTCATATTCATGGATAACATTTAAAACTATAGGTGATCGAACAAAAAATTTTGGTCATGGATTACGACGTCTAATCGAACCTCGAGCATATCTTGGTATCTGTGCTGCAAATAGACCTGAATGGGTAATCACTGATTTTGCATGTATTTTACAAAGTATCATTAGTGTACCAATATATACTTTGTTTACTGATCGTGAAATAGCATATGTAATTAATAATACACAAATATCAGTGATTGTTTGTGATCAAAATATGTTAGGAAGATTTGTTGCATTACATTCACAATGTCCAACACTTCGACATATAGTATGTATGGATCCTATTCTCAATACAATATCTCGTAAGTTCATAATAATCATAATGAATTTAAGTCCACATTAGCAATAATACTTTCATAGCGTAAAATATAAACATTTCAGTTTTCTTTGTTTGCCAGTAATAATGCGGTAGATATTTCCTAGTTTAGAAAACAAGTAATCATACTCATATTTGTATTATTATTTATCCATTGTCATTTAGCAAACAAATCAGATAATGATCTTTCCATTCATTATATGGGTGACATCGAAAATGATGGTTTAGCGAAAAAATATGAATATGTCAGTATGGAACCTGATGATCATCTCACAGTTATATATACCAGTGGTAGTACTGGCTTTCCTAAAGGTGCGATTATCTCAGAAAGTACCTTTCGAGCTACATTTCCACATTGGGGAATGTCATCTTCTCTTGAACGTATTACATTGTCATATCGACCATTAGCGTGGTCAGCTGATCGTGATGCTGTTATTACTACCTTTCTCGATGGAGGTCGAACTGGATTTTCGACAGGTGATCCTTCTCGACTCATGGAAGAGTTAGCTCTTGTTCGACCAAATTATTTTGGTGCTCCTCCAAGTATTTGGAATAAAATATATACTGAATTCAATACTAGTCTTGCACTTATCACAGCAAATTCTACTGTTTATGCCACCTCAAAAGAAGAACACCATCTTCTACAACAATTCTCAAAACTCATTCCTAATAGATGCAAATCGATTACGATTGGTGGTGCAAAAGTTAGTCCAGCAGTATTAGATTTTATGAAACGATGCTTTACACATTGTTCTGTCAATGAATCATACGGCATAACTGAATGTGGAAGTGTAGCATATAATAATCAAGCTGATTATTATCTTCAATATCGACTTGAATCTGTCGTTGATATGGGATATACACTTGATGATAAACCATATTCAAGAGGTGAACTTTTAGTTAAAACAAAACAAATGTTTTCAGGATATATTAATAATCCAGATGAAACACATGCTGCTATTACTGAAGATGGATTTTTTCGAACTGGCGATATTGTTGAATTACGAACTGATCAAAGTAGTTTACCTCATATTCGTGTTATTGATAGGAAAAAGAATTTCTTCAAACTTTCACAAGGACAATTCGTATCACCTGAATATCTTCAAACTATTTATATTCAAAGTCCATTCGTTGAACAAATCTATATCCATGGTGATCTTTTATCAGATTCTGTTTCTGCTGTTATTGTTCCAAATCAACAATATGCACAAGCATTTGCACTTCAACATAATCTAGCATTATTAGATATGAACAATTCTCATCCATTATTTTATCAAGCTATTCTTCAAGATCTTCAAACAATAGCTAAAAAGGAATCACTGAGAAAACATGAAATACCATCATATATTATTATTGATTTTCAAGCATTCACACCTGAAAATGGTCTTCTGACTTCATCAATGAAACCTTGTCGTCATAAACTAGCAACATATTATGCTGATCAACTGAAAACATCAAATAGAATTGAAAAAAAACTCAAAACTATTATTAAAACAATTACAAGACAATCAGTTCTATCAGATACAGATGAAAACTTATTTGTTAATACTGGTAATGATTCATTATCATCTGTTCGTTTATCTCGAATGATTGAAAATGATCTTGGCATATCATTACCATCAAATATTCTTTATCATCCACAGCTTAATTTACAACAATTAACAAATCTTATTCAAAATCCTTCTCAAATTTCATTATTTTCCAAACAAACAATTCAATCACAATTAATAAATCATTCTCAATTAGATTTAAATATTACAATTACTAATCATAAATCAACCGCATCAATCAATTATCCATCAAAAATATTTATCACTGGAACAACAGGTTTTGTTGGTGCATTTGTTTTATCTGAATTATTAACAACATATTCATCGACATGTCAGTTTGTATGTTTAGTTCGATGTAATAATGAAACTAATTCACTAGATCCATTTGATCGTATTAAAAATAATATGATATTTTATAAAATCTGGAAAGATGAATATAAACAACAAATTCTTGCATTAAAAGGTGATTTAACAAAGTTTCATTTTGATTTAAATGATGAAATTTATAATCAACTTCATGATGATATTGACATGATTTATCATTGTGGTGCAAATGTTAATTTTATTCTTTCATATAATCAACTTTATCCTACAAATGTTGTTGGAACAAAAGAAATGATTACTTTTGCTTGTTTTAATCCATCTACTTGTATACCTATACAATATATTTCAACGATAAGTGTTGTGTCAAATCATCTTGATTTTAATCAAAAAATATCGATTGATAATATTTCACCTAGTAAATTAGTTAATGGTTATGCACAAAGTAAATGGGTTGCAGAAAAATTAATTCAAAAAGCAATTGATTATGGATTATCAGTTAATATTTATCGTCTTGGATTAATATGTGCTGATAGTAGAACAGGTGCATGTAATCAACATGATTTTTATACTTTATTATTTAATGAAATTATGAAAATACATTCTTATCCTCAATCAATGATTTCATATCATTTTAATGGATTACCAGTGGATTTTACAGCTAAACTTATTGTTCATTTAAGTAGTAATCAAGATAGTAAGTATGGAAATATTTATCATTTAATCAATAGAAATTGTGAAATAAAATGTGATGAAATAATTGATGGAATGAAAAAATGTGGTATTGTAATTGAAGGTATTGATGATAATGAATGGAAAATGAAAATGAAAACAATTGAGAATGGAGAATTATTTGTTGGAAATATATTTGGGGAAAGAAATGGAGAATCAAATGGGAAAATGAATACTAATGTTTGTGGATTAGAGTGTCCATCAGTAGATAAAGAGTACATAATTAAATGGTTAGGTTTTATATTAAATAATATTTCAAAACGCTGAAAGTATTTTTTATTTATTATAAAAATTTTTTTTGATTAAGTTTATTTTTTAAATAAAATGCAAGAATGATATGCTTAACATGTAATATAGGATTAAAATGGGTAACATTTATGAAAATACTTACATTAGAGAGAAGTTCTAATGAATCTCATGGAGTAAACGCTTTCATTTTTCGAGAAATAACTTGAAATAAAGTTGTACATTCATTCTTAAACACAGTTCCTGTTAATGTATAGATATAAAATGGCATTCCAAAAGTCATAAAACTAAGAAGATAAAATGCTTGAAAAAAAAGATTTTCAATCGTAGATCTTAATGGAGTTTTTAATATATATAATGTTGATGTTAAATAAAGTCGATAAACTGCTAGTGGAATATTAAATATTGTCGATAGAACTACTTGAATAATTAACATTTGAATTAATTGTCGATCAGTTTTTTTTATTGTTTTTGCTGTTGTTTCTGTACTAGCTGATGGTGCTATAGAAGTAAGTAGTTTTCTTACATTTTGTACTGTTGCAAATCCAAATATTAACATAATTATTGATGGAATAAAAACAAATAATAATGCTGATGATATTTCATTGTAAAGACGACATGCTATACTTCGACCATAACATGTTAATGGAGAATTTTTAAGATTTGGTACATAACAATAAAAAGTTTCAGCAAATACGATTGATGCACCTATAAACGTAATTATCATTAAACGTTGTGTATAACGAAGATTACTTAAATTTCGACGATTTACATTTCGACAACTAATACAATATCGATCAACAGTTGCATAAGTTAAAAACCAAGATGCAGCAGTAGTTGAAACCCAGATAATAAATGCTCGAAATTGACATAAACCTTCAGTCGTTCCTGATAAATCTAGTTGAAAACCAGCAAATATTCGACTCAATAAACCAGAATATAAAGCAATAAGACCAGCAATTGATGCATAAAAAAAATATACAGCACACGGATTTGTACGATGTTTAGGACGATAAAATATAATTAAATTTATAATATTACCAACTGAACCAAATAACATAATAAATATTGACATGTATCGATTCATTTGAAATGTAAAGAGATTAAGTTGAATAACAAGAGTAGAATTAACTGAATCAGACATGTTTTTTCTTGAAAAATGAGAGGAAAAAAATACTAATATGATAAAATGCGATTAATACGTGATAAAAGATTTTCTTTCTAGATTTATAATTAACACATAAGATCTTAGATGTTTACTGATCTCGTGATATAAAGAAAAGTAAAATATTGTGACAAGTTGTAACTCATTATTAAATCAATTATACTCTTAAGAGTAATAAAGTGCAGATAAGAAAACAAATTATAATTAAGATCAGAATATTTTCCTTGGACTGTTAGTATGTTGACGTACCTTATTATAGAGAATTTATACTGATACTTCTTATTTAACACTATTTTTATACTATACAGAAATACTTTGCCTAATGAAATGACAGTGAAAGAAAGATAATGTCTGATTCTCACAGGCACGAAGTTTATTAAATAAATATTCATTAACAAATGTATATAGTATATATATAATCAGTTATTCATAGCATACCTTATTACTTTAATAAGATCATTATAACATACTGAGATTATCCCGTAACTACAGTACCAACATATATTATTTCTTTGTTCTTATATCATGAAAACTTTTACTTCCGCTAATAACTAGAACGATTCAGTCTTTCTTCAAAAAATATATTTGTTTTGTTAACTCAGTATGTTACTGACGCACCAAGACTAATTTTAGACTTTTAAAAATGTACCTAGAAATATAATTTATTTAAATCAAAAATAAGACGTACAAGTAGCTGTCTCCCCTGGGAGCGAGAAAAGCAGGCTTTGTTAAATTCTTTTCGTTATATTTTTAGAATATTAATGAGATGATAGTATTTTTAAAAGGAATTTTTATAAAAATTATTTCAATTAGACGCTTTGAAAATATAAGTTATAAATCATTTATTATTACAATTTTCTATGTCTATATTTATGTTTTGTATATTTTTGGAGAATATAACATATATTACAGATAGATCAATACTATAAGAATAAAATTGTATCCATCATACTTATCAAAATTATAAGCGGAAATGCCGAAAAGAAAAGTTTAGAGGAAAATTTCGGAGATACATTGTACTACCAAAAATGGCTTTTTTTCTAGAATAAAATGTTGATAGAATTCCCGCCAGTCATAATATAGTTATTATTACATTTTTTTAGAAGGCCTTAGTATTTGCGAATTTTATTCGTATACTACATAACCTCCATAATAGGCAGATTTATTGATATATATTCTTCGTTATTGTTGACAATAATTAGTGCATGGTCTATTTTCATTCAAAACTAAATTTATTAATGCAGCAATTTTTAATTTTAGTAATATCTATAATATAGTGAATTAGTTCAAATAAATTACCCATTTTAGTAATAGAACTATCATAAGCATGACTCATATGAATTTATTTTGCATTCGTAGAAAATATGAATCAAAATAAAAGAAGAGATTAGGGATACAAACGCTTTGTATATTCGTTGTTTCATCAAGTCGGAAAGAATACAATGAAATGAAATGTCCAGTAAGATGATGAATTGATATAAAAACACATTTAGTATACTAATCAATTACTAAAGTTATTTCAGAGCCATATTTATTACTACCTAACACACATATCTACTTACTCTTGAACTCTTCAAATATTTGTATGGAATCGTTCAAGATCAAGTTATATGATACAACAAATCAACACCCACAAGTCTATTTCGATTAATTATTTACTAAATAATTGAGTTTTAATAAAAAAAATCTTTTATTCATTTATACGAATCATTGTAACTTTTTTCTCTTTTATATAAAATTGTTTTGCATAAAGAAAAGACATAATCTTTAATTTAAAAATAACATATGCATGGAGTGATTTACTTCATAACATCTACCCGATTGATTTATATATGTATGTAAGATGAAAGAAAAAAAAATCCATTAAATATATATATTATATGTAGTTTTAAAACATAAAAGTACTCTTGAATATTTAATTAGTTATGTTTTCTCAATTCTAATAATCTTGTATATGACTTAAAATCAAAAGAGAGTAATGTCGTCATCAAGTTTAATATCGCATATCGATTAACGAGAAAAAAATGACTATAGATTCATATACATTTAATTTATCTGTATATTTCTAGAATAATTTCTATTCAATATTATATTATTTTTACTTATGATTGAATACATCGTACTATTTTGCAAAACTTGAAATTCAGGTAATAATGTTAATTTCATTTAAATGTAGTCTACGCAAAAAGCACTATTTTTATGACATCAAGTGTTTTTTTTTCTCTTTTAACCTGCAAACGCTCGACCACAACAAAATCATCATGTGACATTTGTTCTGTTCTGCGTACGGAATCCTATAGTTTGATTCGTATGTCATTTGATTTAAATGATTGCATTCGATGTATGCGCGCAGTATCGAGTAAGGATTGATAGTTACAAAACAGAAAAAAAAAGAATTTTTTTCCATTAAAATAAATATGCCATTTCGATCATCAGCTATTCGTAATGATGAATTAATTCATACTGCTGTTCGTCGTGGTCATATTATTTCACTTGAGATATATCTAAATCAAAATCCGACTTGTATCAATAAAATATATACATATAATCAATCGAAATGGACACCATTATTAGCAGCATGTTATTATAAACATGAAAATATTGTACGTATGTTACTTCATCGTTTCAAACCCGATATTGAAATTCTCGGTACTATTGTTTTTGATTTAATTAATAATCAACAAGAAATTATCGAAGATGTATCACCATTATGGACAGCTGTTGCTGTTGATCATTTTAATATTGTTCGATTATTAATTGAATATGGTAATGTTAATATAAATCATTTAACAAAAACATATGGCTCAATATTTCGTGTTGCATGTTTTAATAATAATCTTAATTTAGCTAAATATTTAGTTAAACATGGTGCTAATCCATATCATGTTAAAACAGGTAGTTATACAAATTTAATGCTTTGTGCAAGTCGTCGACATTTCAATCTTGTTAAATATTTAATTAATGAACTTAAATGTAATATAAATAATCAAGATGAAAATGGTCAAACCGCACTTTATTATGCGGTACGATCGAATTCATATGAAATTATTAAATTTTTATTAGAAAATGGTGCGATAAATATACGTGATAAATTACGAAATATAACTCCATTGATGCGTGCTGCACTTTATGGAGAAATAAATTTAGTTGAATTATTTCATGATTATTGTTCGGATTTAGAATGGATAGAAGCAAATGAATTACTTGGAGCAACATTTGGATGTGTTGCACGTTTAGAAAATTTTAATAAATCTATTAAATATTTAACGGAAGCATTTCAGTTAAGATTAAAAAAAAATTTACCAAAAATTTTATCAAATGAAACCATTGAAATATTTAATTTTATTCCTGAATGTCAAACAATTGAACAATTCAATCAACTTATTTCAACAAATTCAAAAGAAAATTTACGTATTGAAACCATACGTATACATCAACGTCTTCTTGGTAATATGAGTAATGATTATCATCATATACTTCGTTATTATGGAGCTATGTTAGCTGATACTTCACGATATAATGATTGTCTATGTTGGTGGTTTTATGAAATTGATTTAAAACAAAAATATAATATCTGCTTAAAAAAAGAATATTTACGTTGTTTTATAAATATTTTTCTTGAAATGAAACAATATAATTATATGAATATTCCTATTGAAAATTTAATACGTATGTTGAAAGTCATGGATAATGTACTTCAATTAAATATTCAATATGAAAATTTTGATTATAATTTACGTACATTACTTTATTTAATTACGATTATTGCTCGTATTTTATTCAGTACAAATAAAGAAGAAAAACAAGAAATATCAAGAAATCATCGTCAAGAATTATGTAAATTAATTCATTTAATTATTCAACATGAATATAAAACAATAAAAAATGGATCATTTCTTTTACATTTATCTTCAAATTCTTTCACAAATAGTTTCTTAGATAAAATCACGTAAGAAAAAAAAATTACCCTATTATTTATTTAATAAAAATTTTCTATTCTTTTAATAGTTATCCATGTTCAATGACACTTCGTTTACTTCTTATTTGTGGTGCTAATGTAGATGTATTAGATCTAAGTAAAAATACTCCATTACATACAGTAGTTCAAAACGAGACAATATCTAATGAAATTATTTCTATTATTAATTTATTATATCATGCTGGTGCTCATTTAGATCATGTTAATAATAAAAGAGAAACACCGTTTGAATTAATACCATTATTTCAAAATGAAGTAATTCAACATTTGAAACAGACAATAGATGTTCGATCATTGAAATGTATTTGTGCACAATTAATACAAAGAGAATCTTTATCATATGACAATCTTCTTCCAACATCTCTTGTTAATTTTATTCAGAAACATTAAAGATTAATAATAAATTTTTGTAGAAATATTGTTATACCATTTTAAATTATTTTCAAGATTAAATTAAGAGTTACGCTAATTTCATGAAGAATATAGTTATTTATCCCTTTCGCTCTCGGCAATACATATATGTGTGCTGATGTATTTATCGAATAAAGGTCGTAATACTATACATTTCAAGTGTTTAGAACAGCTTGTTATCGTCTGTTAGATAGTGCCAATGTGATATAATTCTTCTCTTTTCTTTTTATTGATCGTTTTATTCGTGCACGCTCCATTCATATTTTCTGTCGCTCTGGTGTGCTCATCCCATAATCTTCGACGCGTTACGCAATATATGTGTCACTATGTATTGTTGGTTGCTTCAAAGACTATCATAGGAAGACGAACTATCAATGCTGTTTTTGATCAAAAAATGAAATTTCTTTGATAAACATTACTTTTCAAAATCCTCATTCTCTCAAAAAAAAGCCAGGAGTTAACAAGAAAAAAGAAAATGATGACTGACTTTATACGCCATCTATAGATAGTTTTCAAGTCTTGTTCTAATTTTAATATAAACCAATAATATGAATTGTAACTAATAGTCACATCTTCTGTTTATTTGCTACTCGTTGGCTCATGCCCGAATCTTCTGTAAATTTTTACTCAATTCTTGCCGGTATTTCTGCGTGTTCTGCATCTGTATTTGGCAAATTAACATTTAGTCAACCGACATTTGTATCAATATTAACAATTATTTATATAATTCTCTTTGTCTTTTCCAATGTGTTTATGTGGCGTTGTTATTCTAAAGCATTAAGTTTATCAACAACAAGTATTCAACCGACAATTCTAACTAAAACAAGTAATTTTCTTCTATCGGCTCTTATTGGTTATATATTCTTTTTTGAACCTATTAATTCTACTTGGTTAATTGGTTTTCTATTAATTCTTATTGGTGTTTATTTAATTTCAACTAAAAATGACAACATCATCACAAAAATATCAAACCATACCGACTAGTGAAGATGATGATAGACGACCATCAGCATCTATCATTGAATTAACAAGTGGAAAACCATCGGATGATGATTATAATTCAATTGCTGATTATAAATCTGCTTTTTCTTATTCAAGACAAATTAATTTACATACTTTAACAGGTGAATAATTTAATTATTTGAAATAATTAAAGAAAATAAATTTGTTTTATTTTTAGAAAAACGGCCATTAGTGGGTGTTGAACAATTCGCCCATTACATGGTTATTCTTTTTTGTGCAATTTTTACACTTGTTCTTTTACCTTGGTCATTAATATTTGCTCTTAAAGTAAAAAATTTTCTTTTTGAAATTAAAAAAAAAGATTTTTCTAATAATAAATGAATATTTAGCGTGTTCGTCAAAATGAACAATTAGTTGTTTATCGTTTGGGTCGTGTTCAAAAGAAACCACGTCGTCCTGGTTTCACTTTAGTTCTCCCATTTGTTGATTATTCAAAACGTATTCGTACAAAACAAAATAATCTTGTCATATCTCCTACACAAGTAAAATTAATTTTATTCCTTTTTTTGGATTATTTAACAAATATTTTAGATTATTTGTCGAGATAATTCAATAGTTGAAGTCAATGTTTCTGTAGAATATAATATTGATGATCCAATACTTGTATCAAATAGTCTTAATGATATAACAATATCATTAAAATCTTTAACACGTTCAACATTAGTTGCATTCGTTGGAAAAATTGATGGAATGAAAATTGAACAACAAATTTCTCAAATTGAACTTTCACTTAAAGTATAAAATAAACATAGATTTTAATTAAATATTTACTTGATTTTGTATTTTAAAGAATGAACTTAATCATTTTGTTCGTAAATGGGGTATTGACATACATAAATTTCATGTGTAAGTATTGATTAAAAAAACAATGGAATTTATTTTTCTCTATTATAATTTAGTGTACAAACAAAAATTGTTTCAACAGCCGATGAAAATGAAGATAATCAAGCATCTTTTCATCCTGCACTTGATGTATTTACAAAAATATTTGCAGGAATTATGCAACAACAGCAACCAGGACAAGTCGCACCAACCACAGGTAAAAAAATATAGATTTCAATATCTGCTAGGGTCACGTAGAATTTATTTAGTTAAACCACCTGATAACACAGCTTCACCTGTTCTTCAATTGATTGTTCAACGACTTCGACCTGTATTAACTGAAGAACTTGTTCGACAAGTTAAAACAACCTATCAATTTAATATTGCTACATTAGGCGAATTTTATCTTGATCTTAAAAATGGTTTGTAGAAAAAATATTCGAAATTCCAAAAATAAAATTATTTATTTTTGTTCAGGTAATGGTACTTGCGATACAGGTCGTTATCCGTTAGCGAAACCAGATGTATCAATAACATTATCGAATCCGGAAGATTTACGACTTTTATCAGCAGGTGATTCCAATGAACTTGTTCAAGCTTATTTAAATCAACGTATTACAATTGATGGCTTATTACAAGATGCAATGTATTTAAAACATTTAGCTGAAGCACTTCGTCGAGATAATATTCTACTTTTTAATCCAACTATTCGAAAATAATCTTTTTTTTTGTTTGTTTGTTTTGTATTTGCGTAAATAAATCAAACATTTTCATTCTTTCTAGATCATGTTAGCTAATATCATTGCTCGTTATCATTTTCTAACAGATCAATTAATTCATTATTCTCGTTTTTTCTTTTCTTCACCAACATTTGCATTGATTAATACATCATCATCATCATCTACTCTAATATCTCCTTCAACATCATGCTTACCAGATATGTCTATATTATTAACACAGAAACATCGTGCTACTGTTGAGCGTCGTCGTATTCGACGTCATTCAGATTTACCAATGTCATTAATGTCAAGAATTGGTACACCACGTCAAGATCTTCATCAATGTTTAGAATGTGGTACATGGCATGAAAAAAAAACTATATGTGGAAATTGTTATGATCGTATAAAAAAAGAAACACAATCTATGAAAGATTCTTTTGCAAATAAAGATGAATTTAATTATAATCATCCACAACAAGAAGTTGTCTATGTTTATAATAATGATAATAAACTAACTGATGATAAAACAAAACGTATTGTGGAAATTCCACGTGAAAGACCAACATGGTTTTCAAAAAATTTAATACCAAAAATAAATACAACAAAATAGGTGGATAAAGGTTTTTTTTGTTTCGTAGTTTTTGTTATTTTAAAAATAAAAAAACAAAGTGAAGATCCGAGTATTTTTTCTGTTTTCTTTTAACAAGTCCGTATATAATTATTATAAACATTTGAATTAGGCATTGTTTCGCGTATACGATCTAATTGTGTAGATAAAATTCTAAAACCATCATGATTCTTTTCGGAATAGAATGATATAATTGGTTTTGGTAAATGATTCTGTACTTTTTCATAATTAAGTAAACTATAGCTATTAATTTTTGATTTCTTAACATATGTTTCATGTTGTTCTTGAATACCAAGACAAGAAATTGGTGTAAGAAGTATTGATAGTAATGAAGTATTTCGATTGAGTTTCATAGATGATGGCATTATTGATGAAGTTGATGTAGCATATGTATAAAAACATGTCGTTGTTTCTTGTTTAATAGTTGATGGTTGTATTTCGTCTACTTGTTTAACATTAGTTAATGGTAGAGGTAAATTCAATCGTTGCGGTTGTTTTAAATTTATTTTTGATTGTTTATTAAGTATTACTTTTGTTGAAGGTATACTTTGAATAGGAGAATCAGAAATAAATGATTGATAAACACGACAACGGTAAATATTCGATGGTTTATTATTAATTTGTTGTTGGATTTTTTCTTGTCGTTTTGAATTTGGTAAAAAGATATTTGGTGAATTACTTCGAATAAGACATTTATTATCATTTTGTGAAGACGTTGCTGAATGTATTCGACGATCAGCTCTTTGAGCATAATCAAGTGATTTGATATTATTATCTTCTTCTTCAGTAATTGAAGTATTGATAAATGTCTAATAATAAAATAAGTCGAATAGTTTATTTTTATTTACTTGAAAATCAATAACTTACCATTGCTCGAGATAATTTATTATTTATCTTTAAAGATGTAATTTCGGGAATTTTTTTCTGTTGTATATTAATTCCTTTTCGTAATTGTAACAAATCTTGAGGTATTTGTGAACGTAAGAATTCAAATTCGGAAAAAGTTTTTTCTTTACTTCCTTTTATTATTGTTTTTTCTAATGGAATAGAACAATCTTTTATATCACAAACGATTTTTTCTGTATTCTGTTCTTGTCGAAGTGGTTTTATATCAGACATAGGCAATCGAAATTGAATATTTGAAGTTGATAAGGGTTTATTTTGAATAGGTGATTGTAATTTATACCATTGACGTTGTAATAAACGATAACGATTGAGACGTTTACTAACACGAATATTTAAAAATTGTAATGAACTTGTTGATGATAATAATGTTACACGAGAGTCTGGATATAGATTTTGAATATCCTTCATATTTGATAATGGAACCATTGTTTTATTTTTGTAATAATTTATTGATCTTGATAATATTTAAAGTGTATGAGAGAGAAGAAAAATAAAGACTATTGTATGATATACAACAATCTTGTTAGAAACAAATAAAATATTTTTTTTTCTATTTTTAATTGATACTTCGGGCGATATTTTACATTAGTTAATAAAAAATTTTCATGTCGACATAATTGTTTTTTTCAAGTATTTTAAGTTGATTGGTATAAAATGTCTATAAAAAAAACACTTTGATTTAGCTCAATTCCTGTTTCCTTTTATTTTAGATATTATTGAAAACAAAAAAGAGAAGTTCTTACATGTCTAAAACAAATAAAAGAAAAAAAGAGTCAGTAAAAGATGAAAAAGAACATATTGTTCAAGCTGTTATGAGCAAGTAAGGAAAAGAAATTGAACTCAATAGATAGAAAAACAAGAATATTTTTATTATAGATATTTTGAAAAGAAAAAGGAAGAAAAAATAAGTGCAATTGAAAATGATGATAGTGATCATAAAGAAACAACACATGTTGTTAAGTGAGTATAAATAACTTGCCCTGAATTGACCTAGTTCAATTATTGAATAGGAAACGACGAAAAGTAACAAATGATGATAGAAATGATCGAAAATGGGAACCACCTCATTGGAAGGAACATTGGGAAAATATTTTAGCGATGCGAATAAGAAATAAACATTTAGAACCTCGTGGTTGTGATACAATTGGTGATACAATTACTGATGATAAAATTCGTCGTTTACATGTTCTTGTTAGTTTAATGTTATCTAGTCAAACAAAAGATACAATGACAGTTGCAGCTATGGATCGTTTACTTGAACATGGATTTACTGTACAATATGCTCTTGATATTGATATTGATGAATTAGGAAAAATTATTTATCCAGTTGGATTTTGGCGAGTAAGAAGAAGAAAAATCTTTATTTGATTGTGCACTTTTTTGTTTTGTCGTAGCGTAAAGCTCAATATATTAAAGATACATGTCAGATATTACGCAATAAATACAATGATGATATTCCGAATACAATTGAAAGTTTATGTGCATTACCTGGTTAGGAAAATTATTATTATTAAAAAATTAATAAAATTATTATTTTTTTTAGGTGTTGGCCCAAAAATGGCTTATTTAAGTAAAATAGAATATATAAATTGAAATTTAATTTTAATCTATTTAATTAATTAGCTATGGATTTTGCTTGGAAATCGAATCAAGGTATTGGAGTTGATGTACATGTACATCGTATTTCACATCGACTTGGTTGGTTACCATATGATACAAAAACACCAGAACAAACACGTTTAGCACTTGAATCATGGATACCAAGGTAATTTTCTATATATTTGTTATGAAGCAAAAAAAAGACGAGACTTTTTTTTCAGAGATTTATGGAATCAAATAAATCATAATATAGTTCGTTTTGGTCAAACCCAATGTTTTACAGTAAAACCCCGATGTTCAACTTGTTTAAATAGAAATATATGTCCAGCTAGTACTAGTAAAGATACAGTCAAACATCTCAAACAAAAATAAACTTTATTTGTATTACGTTTTCTTCCTTTTTCTTTTTGTTAGTTTTATTTATTTATCTTATATGTATATAATGAAAATGTGTATTTATTAAAATGAATTGAAATCTAGATGAAAAAATAAAGATTCTTATCTATCTATAATTATTTTTCTCATTTTTGCGACGACACGTTTTTTTGAAGAGCAGAATATCCGATATGAAAAAAAAATGGTATGTTTACGTTAGAAAAATAGTAGATTGTAATCGTTAATTTCGTAATATATTTTATTATTCTTATTTTTTTTTTGCACGGGGAAGTTTATAGTCAATATTATTCTAATAAGTATTGAATTTTGAAGAAAGAACGAAAGAAAAGAGTGATTTTTTTCTTCTACTCAAATAAAATCGAACGAAACAACTTATTTTCACCTTGGTAATACAACATCAGGTTGCTATTTTTTTTTGTTAACATTCGATGTTACAAAACAACATACAGAAAGAATAGGTATACATTAGTTTTATAAAGTTTTTTTGTACTGAAATAAATTCTTCGTTTTTATTTCTAGTGATTTAATCCAAATAATAAATTTTTATTGTCAGATTACAATAGAAAAAAAATATGTTAGACACTACACGTTTAGGCAATTATTTTCGTATGTCTCCATTTTCATTTGAATGTAATATTCCAAATTATTTTCAACCACTTCATCTTCGTGTACAATCAGCATTTATATCACTCCAAAATATGTCACGATATCCATTGAAATATTATCAAATTCCTCCACTTTTTGCTGAACCATATATTATAAATGGTTTTCGTTCAATTCATCAACCATGGCCATATTATTGGAAATCATTATTTCATAAACATAATGAAACAATCAATGTTTGGAGTCATTTATTAGGTATTTTATATATGGGATATTTACTCGTTTATTATTATAGGAAATTAAATTTTTATGAAAATCCACATTCATGGCCATTTGCTGTATCATTATGTACAGCAATAATTATGTTTATGTGTTCAGCATTTGCTCATTTACTTCATTCAAAATCTGAATCTGTTCATATGACATGTTTTTTAGTTGATTTTCTTGGTGTTAGTTTACATGGTTTTGGTTCGGGTTTTATTCAAATATATTATTCAGCACCCGAATGGTTTTATGAAAAAATTGAATATCAATATATAACAGTTCTTCTTCTATTTGGAATATTAGCATGTTTTCTTAATTGTTTTGCACAATATCATTTTCATCGACCATATCCACCATTAAAACGTTTTTGTCAATTTTTTCCATGTGGTCTCCTATGGATTTATTCAATAACTCCATTATGTATACGTTTATATTCATCAAATATATCATCAAATCCAGCATTAATGTGTCATTTAGCACAAATTATTTTATTTGTTATTGGTGCTACTCTTTTCGGTCTTGATTTACCGCAACGTTTATGCCCCGGTGCACTTGATTTTATTGGACAAGGTCATCATTTATTTCATTTATGTATTTATTTTGTTACTGTTTGTCAAATGCATGGTGTCTATTGGGATTATGAAGAATTTCAAAGTATTATTGATCAACGTAGAAAACCTGAATTAATATTTTGTGCTGGTTCAATGTTATTTCTTGTTGCTTGTGATTTTGTTATAGTTTATATGTTTCGACGAAAGATTCATAAGAATCATCATTTAGATTAGAAAAACAAAATTATTCTTTTTTGTTCAAATAAATTTTCGAGTTTTAGAAAAAAAACAGTCAAATTCGTATTAAAATAAAAAAAGAATTTGACTTAAAATTTGTTTTTGAATGAAAAGTAAACAAAAAATGAATATCAGCTGATGTTTTTTATGTGTAAAGTTTATGTTGACCTTCATTTATTTTAGTTTTTTCAATGGATTACAAATAAATACTGCATTTTTATATCATCCTTCGTTTAAATAAAAGGAAGAAGAAAAGTTTAGCCTATTCTATATATATATATATATATACTAACGCGGCGTGTTTTTCTTTTATTGATTTATAAACATGCCGGCATTATGTGTTCCACAGATAAAAGTATTTCGAACAATATGGGGTGCAGAAACTCAATTTTCATGTGATATTAATATTTTATTTAATGAACTCCATCGTCTTGGTTTTAATGGTATTGAAGCATCGCTAAATGATATTCATCGAATATCAAAAAATAATGATGAACTTTTTATGGAAGTTTTATTGAAAAATAAACTTGAATTAATTGCTATTTGTTATACAAATTGGGCTGATTTCGAACCTGGATCATGGGAAGATTTATCTGTTGATGAACATATTAATAATTTAGATAAACAATTAGAACAAGTTATGAAATATAATCCAATACATATTAATATTCATGGAGGACAAGATAATTGGACAACAGAACAACATGAAAAATTCTTTCAAGAAGCTTTAGTTTTACAAGCAAAATATCCAAATGTATCATCATCACATGAGGTTTAAACATTTTTTTATGCTATTAAATTTATATTTACATATACTTTTATATACATATATAGACTCATCGTGGTCGTTCATTATTTAATCCATCAATTACATTACATTTAATTTCTCGTTTTCCAAATCTTCGTTTAACTGCAGATTTTTCACATTGGTTAGTTGTTTGTGAACGTCTTCTTGATCATCCATCTGATATGGAACGTATGCGTAAAATAATATCACGTGTTGATCATATTCATGCACGAGTTGGTACTGTTCAACATGCACAAGTAACTGATCCATTAATTGATGCACCAAAAGAAACTCAACTTATGCAAAATTGGTGGCAAATGATTTGGACAGAACAAATTAAACAAGGTAAAACAATAACAACATTAACACCTGAATATGGACCAATACCATATGCTATATCAAATGATGTTGATGTATGGTCATTAACTAATCGAGAAATGGAACGACAAAGAAAAAACTATCAAGAATGGATTAATCAAAATCAGGATTTAAAAAATTAAACATTTTTAATACATTTGAATAAAGAAAAATTATTTAACAAGTTTAGTTATTATAAGTTGTTCTTCTAAAAGAAGGAATTCCATCTAAATCTTTTATTCTATTTCCTTGATAGACTAAGGGAGGATCAAGCCAAAATGATTGAAGTGTAGGTGATGCAGCAACAAGTGCTTGTAATAAAAGATCCGACTGTAGAAATGTATTTTTTCGTACAAAAATCTGACGTATTAAAGCTTGAGCTGAACAAGCAGTTAATAAATAAGCATGAGAACATCGATTTGCAGTTTCTTTATGTGTCGTTAAAATTGGCTGAGCATTTCTTCGATTCCTAGCAAAATTACTATCAATGAAACCCATACAAGTACCAATAAATATCAATGGATCTTGTTCAAACCATTCATTACTATTCCTTGATAAAGATGGTTTATCTTTAATACATGTAGCTAATTCACCAATTTTAAGTGCACCTGTTCGTATAGCTGTGTAGATCGTTCGATTGAATTTTTCTTGAAAAAAAGGTACAAATACAGCATCATCTTCAAGAATAAGTGAAAGAGAAAAATTTCGAGCAACAATATCATGCCAAATATCTACATGTTCCATAGTAATTGCACATTGTCGTTTTTTCTTTTCATTACCTAAAATAATGTTAATTGTTTAGAGAATAATCTTTGATAAAATATTAATCTTACGTATTGGTGTTGGTTTCAAATTTATCTTTCGATATAATTCTTCTTTATTTTCATGTAAATTACAAGTATTACGTGCCCATTGCATACGCCATTCAAAATTTGTAATTTGATAACGAGAAAACATTCGTTCGATATTAGCTTGTCGATCTTTTAGATCTGGAGCACTCGTAATATAGATATGATCAACAAATGCAAGACCAGTATTTGTTTGTTGAGAAGTTGATATAGAAGAAATGGATATTAATTTATTTATTGGATGATTACGAGGTATCCATGGATGAATATTTGGTGGAAGATGTTCATCAGGTAATGGAAATGTTTTCCATTGTATATTTGCTTCTGAATGATTGTATAATTCATCAATGGAATAGAAATCATATGCAGTACCATTTAAAAAATAAACTTCATCTTTTGTAAACGTAATATTTTTATGTATGTCATTTAAATTGACGATAATATTTTGTGATGGTAATGATATATATAATTTAACTGAATAGATTAAGGTAGTTAGAATGATTGTAATAATTGTGGTACGTTTAAATATTATTTTGAATGTAAAACGTGATGGTTTATTGATTGTCATCACTTATTCTCATACTTAAATTTTATTTTTGTTTTATTAATGATTCATTTCAATATAAACATATATATATATATATATATAGTTGCGTAAGAAAGAAATGCAATCAACCGAAACGTAAAATTTAAAAAGAGTACATAAAGACACTCAATCGAAACAAATGTTGCCTTATTGCATGTACAATTGAATTTTGTGAATGAAAAAACAAGCCCATATATCGTGACATATCAACAACACGTTTTGTCTGCTTGAAACGTGTTTGAAAATTATGTTTTTCTAAACATGATGTAAGTACTATGGCATCTTCAATAATCATTTCGATCCATTCACTATCATTATTGCTTGATGGTGGTACATCTGATGGATATGTAGCAGCCCATATCAATTGTCCTCGATTACTAAATCGAAAAGAAACAAATTCTCCGTTATGAAGACATTATGTTACCGTATTCTTTTAATACATCAACAAGTTCAGCTCCAACAGTTGGGATAAAATACGGAGAACGTTCATATAACGAGACAGATATTCCCGTACGAAGTAAACAACTAGCTATGGTCAAACCGTTGTGACAAGAAGCTACAAATTTGTATTCAACAAGAAACGTTGATATAATTTAGTAAGGATTGTTTTAAGTTAAAAGAGAAATTCTCACAGGTGTATATATATAGAACGATTGATGAAATTATATGGATATAATTTTTTTGAAACAAAAAAGATATATTAAAGTATTTTTTAGTTTTGATTGTAACTATTTTAATGATTATTTTTATATTTAATATAATAAAAGTATGAAGGACAAAATTCTTTTGCAATGTCTATTATTGACCAATCAGAAAACGAATTTGAACAATCAGTGATACATACGTACGATATAACTGCCAAAATAGAGTATAACATCAAATGGCAATAAATATAACATCTGATCAACAATGTTTAATCGTCGATGAGAATGATAATCCACCTACATATCAAGATGCAACAGGTCAAGGTAAAATAATTGTGCTTTTCTTCGCATTAAATTCGAAAAATATCAATTTAGGTTATGGAACATTTATTGATCCAACTGCAACAAATGCTTTACCTTATTCCTATGGATTTGGCTCTCAACAGCCTACAGTAATTGTTCTCGGTGGATGTCCAGCTTGTAAAGTTTGTATAGAATACTTTTTTTTTCTTTAATATAATTATAATGAATGAACATATATTAGGTTGGCATGTTAGATACTGAATTTACATGTATGGGCCTGTGTTGTGCAATATTCTTGTTTCCAATTGGAATTCTTTGTTGTCTAGGACTTCGTCAACGACGATGTAATTTTTGTGGAGCAATTTTTGATTAATATGAATAATATGAACAGATTTTTCTGTATATAAATCTCATTCTGTATAAATAAATTTAAAAGAAATGGATTGGTCTATTTTTATATAATATAATGAAATTATCTTTAGAAGTATGTATGAGATAGTCAATCCAACGAGAATATCAATTGATTTATTAATACTATAAGATTAGACTGTAGAAACATTGTAAACAACAATTAATAGATGAAAAGATATTTGTGATGCAATACTTCATTGCAATGTGATAATCATCAACGATTGATAAAAGTACAATCAGCTTATTTGATTTTAATTTCAAATAACGTAACATTGAATAATACTAATCTTAGTATAGAATTTATTATTTTATAAAAAAAAA